TTTTGAGCTGACAGGTCCCCATTGGGTGGAAGTTTTAGTTCCACAAAAAGCACCTAAAAAGGGACTTACAAAAGTCTAAATCCTGTTTACATTTTATACATCTGTGTCATTCCCTGATAAAAATGCAGTGATCAAAGGCTCAATCTGCTATAACCCCTGGAGGCCCAACTATAAAAAGTTTTAATAGTCTCTTTTTAGAAAAGATTTTTTCTAATGGTTGAGCACCTAATCCATACATCAACTTTCCATAAATTTCAGTATCACTTCAGTGCACAACAGTAAGTTGTCTCCAGTTGTAACTATATGTCAAAACACCTAAACACACCTATGGCGTGGGTACAAAATAACTTGTCAAAAAAAAAAAAGCTAAAAAATACCTGTGCCACATCATCTGGTGCAGACAGAGCAAACGGGTGTCCTGCCAGTTGGTACGCCTGGTCCTCCAGGGCAGACAGCTTGGCCTGCATGATACTCCGCTGGCTATCACATCCTGCTTGACTGAACCCTGATATGAGACAGTTTAACCAGCACATGAGTGCAAAACCAATGTCACATTATGAATAAGACTTGCATTAACTGAGGAAAAAAGTCCAAAAAGCATTACAACATCACCAATTTGCACAAGACTTGAATCAATATAACAATGATTTTCCCCGATTTGCCTTAGAACAGTGCTACAAGTCCCTTCCAAGTACAAGCTGCAACAGACCTTTTACTAACCATTTGATGCCCTGAAAACACTCAATTTATTACCTTGCTATACAAAAATCAAAGCACACTTGCCCCTCCACAGTTAAAAAACAAGCTTGTTCTGTTATTATAAGAAAATGGAATGGAGTATTGACACATATTCTTAATGAATATTTACTGTAATAATGATTTTGAATATTTTGTGTAGAATAGAGCATAAGAACACAAGAAACCAGTTAGAATTTATTACAGTGAATATCTAAATGGCTCCTGGCAGTCTGAACCAGGTGGAGTAGGCCTCTTACCTAATCCATTGAGTTCCATCCTGGCCAGGGTCACCACAGAAGGCATCTCCACATCCACAAAAGCCTGGTAGAGGCCAGCCTCCTGTAGCTGTGTTGTGAAGTAGGACATGAGATGCAGTGTCATCACAGACTCCACACAGGCTCTCAGTCTACCAGGGCCAGGGTTCTCATAGCTTATGCCAAGGCTGCTTACCCCAATACCTCCACCAATGCCTATAAATCAATTTTAATACACTAATTAAATTTTGTAAATTACTTTTTTCTATTATAATTCCAAAGACATGACATGCTATATAATAAACTGATTGTCTGCTAAATGATGAATTTAAATAATTAATACTTATGCCTTGAAACTGCTGTATGTTTGGTCAAAAGGGAGAACTCCTTCTTACCTTCCAGCAAGTGATTCTCAAGTGGCAGATAATTCTTCACCATCCTGTGCAGGTTCTTTTCCTTCTCCCCAGGGTCCATCATCCAGCATGCCACCTTAGGGTCCTGGTACACCTCTGCTTGCACACACACCCCACATGCCCTGGCAAGCACCTTGTACTGCTCCTTGATGTCAAATGCCAGGATACTGCGGCCATTTTCCCTGTGTAATTCTAGGACAGACTTCACTGCATCCATCTTGTAGCCTGGTATCAGGCTGCTGTCCAGTGGAGGAGCTGATAGACTTTCATTTGGATCACCTGAGTTAGGGAGAATATGAATTTAACACTGTTGTTCTGTTTAAGGATTTATTTTACACCTTCATGGGTCACTGGAAACACCTGTATACTAATGGCAAAGGCATGTTGATTATTGAGACAAACCACAATGACCTCTCAAATTCAGGGTGGTATCCTACAATTTTGCCTAGCTTATATTTGGTTGTTTAAGAATTGAAATGTTGACAAAAACTAGGCACAACTTTAAGTGGGATTAGTGTAACGTGAAAGCAATGTCAAGAAAAATGCTTCTCACCACTTTCTGTTCCATCTCTGAAGGCCACAAAGTAGGCATCTCTCCTCTCCCAGCAAACTGCTATACCTACCACCATACACTGCTGGCACTCTATGACAAAGTTTTCAACTTTCTGGGGGCTACTTCTTGGTCTTCCTGCAATTAGAATATAAGTGACATTCTAGACAACTGCAGACAATTTGACAGAATAAAATTTTAAGAGAGGTTCATAATTACAAGTATTTTAAAGAAAAAATAACTTGTATCATGCAACAGGTGTTTTAGTCAGGGGCTATTACTTTCTTTTCACTTTAATAATTTTCCTTCATGTTCATACAATAAAAACTAACACTAGAAAAATTGTTATTAAAAAACATCTCCCACACACTTACCCCTTTTAATTTTGCCACCTATTCCTCCACCACTGACAGGCTTGGGAGGGCACTTTTCACAAGCAACTGAGATGGAAAACTTCTTCTGCTGTTTCCATTCTTCTATAAATGTATCAAACAACTGCCTGTCTGCAGCTACATCAATGATAGTGAAACTTCCCCCAGGTTGTGTGCTCACTCCTCCAACTTCCAAATCCTGTGCATTATTTTTACTGCAAAAATAATCATCTATTTTTCTTGAAGGTCTTGCTCTAACTGCACTATGTTTAAGAGGTATGTGGTTTACTGCCTGCCCCTTCATATTTCGATTCCGTAAACTGTATGGAGTTACTTTTAAACACTCTGGTGTAGCTGCAGCAGCTAGTGATACACTGGAATCAGGGGGTGTGGGGGGAACACAGTCACTGCCAACACTCACATTTTCTGCTGATTCATCCCCTTTTGCCGATGACTTTTCTGAAAATATTCCACATTTCATACTCTTAGGTGGAGACGATTCAGTTTCTTTTGTTTCCAAATTCTTCCTCTTTCTTTGATAACCACAAGCTTTTGCATTATCTTTCATTCTATTACTACTTCCTCTTCCCATTGGTGTATCTATCATAGCTCCACCACCATATTTTACAGTGACAGTATTTTGATAAGTCTCCTGCTTACAGGCCAACTGACACTTCTTGCTGTATTCTGCATTTCTCTTCTCTTCAGCAGCCTGTCTAGCAGCCTTAAACATGGCTGGAGTTGCTATAGGTGACAAAATATCACAGTCCAGAGCTTTTTCAAGCATAGAGAAAGTCAGAGAATCATTCATCTGATGTGGAGAGGGCTGGACACCACCCAGTTTCTTAGGTGTTATTTTAGGCTCATATGGTGTACTACTATTCCTACACATATCACCAATGTCTGATGGAGGTTTTGCTTGAGGAGGATTAGAGTTAGATGGGAATGGGGACAGACTTTCATTCATCATCTTCATAGCTGCTGCCATGTCTTGCTGGAGCACCTCATCAAGGCTGCTGTTCTGGGGTCCCTGTTTACTGACCGACTTCTGGTGCTGGGCCTCTGGCTGGAGAGCACCTGCCTGTGATAGCGAATCCTCAAATAGTCCATCCTCACTATATACCATCCTCTCATAGTTACTTGCCACCAGGAGAGGAGAGTCTGATATGCTGTCAAGTTCCTCTCTTGTTACACTAAGATGTTTAGCATCTCCAAGCTGAGAAGNTAATAAATTTACCATCATTTTTACATAATCAACTGACAATGTTGTAAAGATGCAGGAAATGTCATACAAACACTTTTACGTATCTTATTAGTTCAATAATGAGACTATTAACATGCCTAAGAATTGAATCTGAGGAAATGTGAAAAAAAAGCATAACTTCTAAAATAATGGCCTGATTATGCTGATTTTCATACTCAAGCTATGTTTTAGTAAGATTGACCACTCCTGTGAGTACAATGACAATTGGCCCATCTGTTTTTCTTATATTGTGTTATCAGTGTTGCATATAAGTTGAAAAAAATAAAAAAACAGCATTACTTCCATAAAAGTGGCTCTATCATGCTGATTTTCGAACTTGACCTGTGTATTATATTTACTCATCAGTTCTGTAAATTTCAAACCAAACGGTAAAACCGTTTTCCACTTATCGTGTTTATGGTGTTGCATATATGCTGAAAAAAGTGAAAAAAAAGCATAACTTCCCTAAAAATGACCCGATCATGCTGCTTTTCGAACTTGACCTGCATATTATAAATATTCATCAGTTCTGTAAGTTTCAAACCAAAAGGTTAAACTGTTTTCCACTTATCGTGTTTACGGTGTTGCATATATGCTGAAAAATGTGAAAAAAAGCATAACTTCCCTACAAATAGCCCGATCATGCTGATTTTCGAACTTGACCAGCGTATTATGAATATTCATCAGTTCTGTAACTTTCAAGCCAAAAGGTAAAACGGTTTTTCACTTATCGTGTTTACGGTTAAAGTGCACGCCAACGGCGACGGCGTCGGCCCCGGCGACAGCAACGACAGATGCAGATGACGGCTATATGTACAGACACATCTGTGTCTGTACATAAAAAATGCTTCTCACCACTTTCTGTTCCATCTCTGAAGGCCACAAAGTAGGCATCTCTCCTCTCCCAGCAAACTGCTATACCTACCACCATACACTGCTGGCACTCTATGACAAAGTTTTCAACTTTCTGGGGGCTACTTCTTGGTCTTCCTGCAATTAGAATAGAAGTGACATTCTAGACAACTGCAGACAATTTGATAGAATAAAATCTTAAGAGAGGTTCATAATTACAAGTATTTTAAAGAAAAAATAACTTGTATCATGCAACAGGTGTTTTAGTCAGGGGCTATTACTTTCTTTTCACTTTAATAATATTCCTTCATGTTCATACAATAAAAACTAACACTAGAAATATGTACAGACACATCTGTGTCTGTACGTAAAAATTGTTATTAAAAAACATCTCCCACACACTTACCCCTTTTAATTTTGCCACCTATTCCTCCACCACTGACAGGCTTGGGAGGGCACTTTTCACAAGCAACTGAGATGGAAAACTTCTTCTGCTGTTTCCATTCTTCTATAAATGTATCAAACAATTGCCTGTCTGCAGCTACATCAATGATAGTGAAACTTCCCCCAGGTTGTGTGCTCACTCCTCCAACTTCCAAATCCTGTGCATTATTTTTACTGCAAAAATAATCATCTATTTTTCTTGAAGGTCTTGCTCTAACTGAACTATGTTTAAGAGGTGTCTGGTTAACTGCCTGCCCCTTTATATTCCGATTTCGTAAACTGTATGGAGTTACTTTTAAACACTCTGGTGTTGCTGCAGCAGCTAGTGATACACTGGAATCAGGGGGTGTGGGGGGAACGCAGTCACTGCCAACACTCACATTTTCTGCCGATTCATCCCCTTTTGCCGATGACTTTTCTGAAAATATTCCACATTTCACACTCTTAGGTGGAGACGATTCAGTTTCTTTTGTTTCCAAACTCTTCCTCTTTCTTTGATAACCACAAGCTTTTGCATTATCTTTTATTCTATTACAACTTCCTCTTCCCATTGGTGTATCTATCATAGCTCCACCACCATATTTTACAGTGGCAGTATTTTGGCAAGTCTCCTGCTTACAGGCCAACTGACACTTCTTGCTGTATTCTGCATTTCTCTTCTCTTCAGCAGCCTGTCTAGCAGCCTTAAACATGGCTGGAGTTGCTATAGGTGACAAAAGATCACAGTCCAGAGCTTTTTCAAGCATAGAGAAAGTCAGAGAATCATTCATCTGAGAGGGCTGGACACCACCCAGTTTCTTAGGTGTTATTTTAGGCTCATATGGTGTACTACTATTCCTACACATATCACCACTATCTGATGGAGGTTTTGCTTGAGGAGGATTAGAGTTAGATGGGAATGGGGACAGACTTTCATTCATCATCTTCATAGCTGCTGCCATGTCTTGCTGGAGCACCTCATCAAGGCTGCTGTTCTGGGGTCCCTGTTTACTGACCGACTTCTGGTGCTGGGCCTCTGGCTGGAGAGCACCTGCCTGTGATAGCGAATCCTCAAATAGTCCATCCTCACTATATACCATCTTCTCATAGTTACTTGCCACCAGGAGAGGAGAGTCTGATATGCTGTCAAGTTCCTCTCTTGTTACACTAAGATGTTTAGCATCTCCAAGCTGAGGAGCCAAAGGAACTACTATTGTTTTTGCTATCTGTTTGGCATTCTTTAGACAGGGTGAAGCACTCTGTTCTATGAAACCAATCTTCTGAGTTTTGAATCCAGCAGCAAACAATTGTAAATCAGAGTCTAGAGAATCCATCAACTCTTCAGAGTACATGGGTGGAGTAATGACATTATTCTTTCCCTCACATCCCAATTCCTTCACAGGACTCACAACTACCATATTGGTAATCTGGTCAACTTTGGGTTTCTTAAATGCTTTATCACAGACATGCTTTGGAATGGTTTCATTGGGAGCCGTTTCCTTATTATCACAGTTTGTATTGAGCAAATCTTGATCTGATTGCTTAGCATGCAGATTCATGTCTTTGTCAACAAAAAGGTTGGAGACACTTTGTCTGTTTGTTTTACTTTCCTCAAGCAGGTGACTTACTGCTTTGTCATTATTAGAATATTCATATGCAAGTCCATTGTGTAAAGTATTCTGTAATAAATTGTCTGTAAAATTTTTCTTTGTAGAATTTGTTTGTATAATTACATCACTGGTCTGAATAAGTTTATTATCATGTAATAATTGTGAATAATTACAGTTCTTGTTTGTGGCAGTATCACTGGGACAGCTGACCAGCAGCTGTTGCATCAGCTGTGTGTTCACCTCAAAACTATCATTGAACTCTTCAGGCACTGAGTACAAGTCTGGTGATATAGGCTGTTCAGATGGCACTCCTTCAGTCTGGCACTTTTGAACTTTAACAGGTGTTATTATGTCTGATGATACACCCTGTACTTGACTGGTCTCAACTTTGCTGCCATTTTCATTCAAATGGGGATAGTTTTCTGTTCCTGAACACTGGACAGTTTCCTGTGCTTCATTGTGTATTTCTGCCATAACAACTAATTCATTGTTACTTCTTTTAAGAGGCTGAACAAACTGTTTCCCATCTTTGTATTTTTCTCTATGATCAGTATTTTCAGTTTTCAAATGCTGCTTTTTGTCTTGGAGGATACAACTGTCAGATTCATCATGGAGACTTGCACTCCTTTTGTTAACAGCAACATTACTTTGCTCACCAGTCTTGTCATTCTGGTTACCACTGTTAGCAGTTTGAATTGAATCTGAATTCTTTCCTTCACCACTTTTCACATTTTTATCATATGATTTTCTTTTTGATTTCTTGTAATTGTCGGGCATGTTTTCAGAATGTAAATCAAGTGAATCCAAAGTGGATTTCTGTTTACTACTGACATGCACTACCTTGGCACATCCATCAGAACTTTTGTTTTTCTCTTTAGGATGTGTTATTGGACTAACAAGAACCCTAACAGGAGTCACTATCTCTTTGTCATTCTGAACAGATGTGTTTTGGGGCCCATTACTCCTGTCAGTAGCTGGTGTTCTGTGGGAGCACTGCAAGGCCTCACTTCTGTCTTTACTAGTGTTTATACTTGTGTCCATCTGTTGTTCACTAGACTGACTACTAGGCTTCCAGGCAACACCAAGCAGGGCCAGGTCTTCCTTCAGTAACAGTTGGGCCTCCTCTACTATCAGTACAGCTGCCTCATGTTCTGTAAGCCCCTTCTTCCCTGTGAGCCAGATACATCTTCTCTTCAACCTCTCCTTCATTTCCCACTCATTCTCACCATCTGCCTTCTTCTTGCTAAAATAGGATAAATATGTTAATGCTTAGTGATTGTTGGTCACAATTCTAATGTGTTCGTTTTTTTTACCTAAAACAAGATAACAGCCATTGCTAAAAAGATTGTAACTTAATGACACTTCTAATAAAACAATTCAGAAAAACCCACTCATTTGCTTCATTTTAAGCCATATTAAGGTATTTTCCAACTGACCTCTGAAAGGGGACAGCATTTTTGAGTGTCTGCTCCACCTCAGCAGGGTCAGCGTTGGCCAGTGCAGCCACACTCTGGTGACCAGCGTTGTAGAGAACTCTTGCCCTCTGACCATTCAGCAAAGAGATACGCACAAGGTCACAGAGGTCACGCTGGATGCCAAAGGTCAACCGGTTCTGGAACTGGGATAACAGTAGCTCCAGATTGATCCACCCCAGTCTGTGGCAGAACACTGTCACCATACCTTAGTAAATATGAAAAGAGAGATATAACTTGACAAAAACCTGGTTATTCACACCATTTATTTTTCATTCTGATAATTTAAGGGACCATTCCCAGACCCTATCATACTAACTGTGGATCTACCTATCTCCAGGGGGATTCTCGCTAAATTGCAATCAACTAAAACGGTTTAGATGTCTGGTACGCCTACTGAAGCTGCTAGGGGGTAATAAACTTTCATTTAGCAGCTTCGGTAGGCGTGCCAGACATCGTAGCCGCTTAAGCTGAACTAGTCTAAGCCATATGAATTTGATAAATAGATTTGTGGAATATAATGGCAAAGTTGCATTTATGGGCATTATACTTACCAGCAAATGTTGCTGCTGATTGCTGCAGTGACTGTAAGATTCCTTTTGTTGAATTATAGCACTGTGCAACAACATTAAGTGGAACCTGTAAATAAGCAGAAGCAATGTGTTATAATAATATTCTTGGATACATACTATTGTTTACTTCTTAATTTAAACCAAGTCAAATAACTGTAAGACTGTGCCAGTGAGATTTTTTTCATATTGACTTAAAATGGCAAAAGCAATTACTGGCAAGCAAACAAACTAGGAAACCAAGTTTCTCTTCACTCACCTCATTAACCAGATCATGCAGCATAAGGGCAGTATAAAATCTGGAATGCACTGCCATGGCCTTGGCCTGCTGTACAGAGGACTTAGATATCCTACCCTGTACTGCTCTAGCCAGGAAACCTTCCTGTACACCAACCAGCTCAGCCACTCTCTTCTTATCTGCTGACAGCTTCTCCCACAGACACAGGTACTGGTACCAGTCTATGTTAGCACAGTCTGACATATAGATGGGGGTCACCTATAATCCAAAATTTCAAATGTTCATTAGTGATCCTATAGTTGTGATGATCTTATGGATGTGAATTATTCCAACATGTGCCATCTGCACATGTAGCACTTGAACATTTTTAGGAGAATGCTTTTACAAGGATATAGTAGGTTTGTTTGATGTACAAGCATTTTACAAAATGTCATGAACAAACCTGGTATATGATGTGAAGCTCATTCTCCAGTACAAAGCACCTCCTTGCTTTCTGTAACTCTGCAAACACAGCCAGGCCCTCATCTGGTGACAGTGCAGAGGCCAGTACAGCAGACCCAAGCTGGGTAGGGTAGAACTTTTCTACATCACTCCTACCTATCAGTATACATGGAAACAAAACTGGTTACATTGTTGACATGTCTGTTTTCACTCCTTAGTTTTAAAATGTCAAATTAACAATACAAATAGAAAAGGGGAGCTAACCTCCTTTTTGCCCTTTGAGTTACAGAATTAAAATGAGACACCAATGCTACAATGCATTTTCATCTGTTATATCTATTAAGCATCAAACTAAATTTTAAATAAATCTTTTTAAAAAACTGCTCTTTCACATTTTAATATCGATAAAAAATCTCACCCTCTGTGCTGGTCTTCCTTAGCTGAATAAACTCATTGTCCATAAGCCACTTGATACAAGCTTGAGTCGGGCACTCTGATGGTTCTGTGGGGTTTTCACTGTCAGCAGTCATGGAGGCTGCTAGCATGGTGCACTCCGAGTACCTGGCCACTTCCTCTGGTGTGCTGGCCACACCACTCACCACTACCTGGAATATATAACACAATTTTCAGCAACCAATTAACACCACTGCCATCGATTATTTTTCTCATTTCGAGGAAAACTTTTCTTTCTTTTTTATTATACCAGACTATTTCACAAGACACCCACACAGAATTACCTCAAGGACAGCTCTCTTCATGCTGGACTTTAAGCTTTCTCCCTTTCTGGCCAGGCAACTCTTCACTGGTTTAAGCTGGGAGCTCAACAGAGATGTGGCTTTACTGCGCTCATTGGTTTTGCAGACTAGTATACTTTCACCTAAAAAAAAAAAAATCACTTCTATTGTTATAGAACTAGTGATTTTATACTAAGTGAAAGTCATGTTTAAATAAAAGAAAATGACGTGGAAAAATGGACGCATAGTCAACAAGGACAAAAAATAAAAACATTTCAATCTACTGACACTAAAATCTTAAACCTTTCCAAGATTAGTACTTAAGAGACATTTTGATTATAGTTCTGTAACTTTGAACCCTCACCTTCAGTATCCACCCCTTTTCTGCCTGCTCTACCCACCATCTGCTTGTAAGTGAGAGTATCTATGATGTTGCCATAGAAGGTGGGTGTCCTGATGATCACTCTTCTGGCTGGAAGGTTCACACCAGAGGACAGAGTTGACGTTGCAACAAGGACACGCAGAACACCTTGTCTAAAGGCACCCTCTATAATATCCCTCTCATCAAATGTCAGGCCTGCAATATGAGAACAAATCTTTCCCCTGACACAAAAACATTGTGCATATAAAAATCATACTGTAAATACAAGTAAAAATGTAAAAAGAAAATGTAAAAAGCAACTTCTCACACCTGCATGATGGAAAGCCACTCCATAAGGCACTATTCTGTTCAGCATAGGATCAACACCAACTGGTGATCTTTTAAGTTGCTCCACCACATCACGAAGACCCTCAAAGTTTAACACTGGCACAACTTCCAAGGTCTTCAAAGAACCTGAATAAAAAGGGGGTGGGAATGTTAATCTTTTGCTGTCTTGGCAAAAGTCTGGGATCATGTTATCCAGCCCACACGTCCATCTATACCATCAATCCATGCATTTCCAATATCCCCTTCTTGGGTCTTTTAAATGTATAATACTTAAAGCATAGATAGGTAAATGTGATAGCTACCCACAAACAACATCTTGTTTCCCTCTTGTTATAAACAATGTGCTACTGTCAAAGCAAGAAAAAAAAAACAAAAACACATGATGCCTGAAGACAATTATACCCTCACGCACTGAATTTTCTTAGAGTTTTCTAGACTGCAGCAATCAACAAATGCCACAGACCACATTCAAACTCACCTGCTTCCTGCTCCTGAAGTCGTTTCCCCATGTTGAAAAACTCCCTAGCTATAGATTCCCCCAGTTTTTCACACCAATTCTTTGTTGGACAGAACACCAGTACAGAATGCCCTGCAGTTATGGTCTCAAGACACAAAGAAATTATATGGTCTTCATCTCCTTTAATCAAACGAGAAGTGTCCACTTCACGCAACTTTTTCATGGAGTGGTCATAGATAGAATTTCCTATTTTCACACATTCATTTAAAGGTACTGGTCTGAAGTCTGTACAGTAGAGGTCAGCACTTAACCATTTTGCCAAGAGGTCCAAGTTGGGAAGAGTGGCACTCATACCAACTATCTGGATTGGATTGTGGAGTGCAGATTCAACACTGAAACCACAAGACATACAGTTTATATTTAATCATAAAGTATACGCTTTGGTGAATGATGTTGTAAGTAAACAGGAAAATTAAGCTTTTGTACATGCACATCATAAGCTAGAACTGATTTTCGTACATAGCTATATCACAAAACTGGACTATGAAAAAGCTGTAGATTCATCTAGGTAAAATGCATGGACATATTAGTTATTATACCTGTCATCCAAGCTACACTCAGTTCTTGAAGCCACAAATCGAACCTTTGTCAGGAGAAGTTCAAGCAAATAGCCCCTGTGTTGGTCCCCAACCATGTGTAACTCATCTACTACTACAATGCCTGCAATTATATATAAAATGATAAGAAAATGATAATTGAAAGAAACAAAAACACTGATATAGCTTCATTTTAAGACACCTGGTTAGTTTTGGTAACACTTCAAGACTTCACAAACCTAACATAATTCATCATTAAGGTGAATTTTCAGAGAAAAAATTGTCAGACCAATGGATATTCCAGTTCAAACTTATGAGTTAAAGATGAAAAGAAAATAATCATATGAACTGACATCAGATAGAAGGATCAAAGGAACATAGCTGCCAGATCAAAAAGTTTTGCAAAAAGTTGGCATAAGTACAGTCTTCCACCCCAACTGCCTAAATCCAAAAGAACACTGATTGAATTGTTGAACACAAGTGATGAAAATAGCAGATGGTCAAGAATATAATACAAGATAGTATGTGGTCAGTACTGCAGTAAGTGTGCTGACCAAGCATATCCACTACACTTCATTTGCACCTTTGACCTCAATTTGCATAAATAAACAGTTTTTTGCTGGGCCACTCCCTTGAGTGTGTGCCAGTCTGATGTGTTGTAGAGGAATGCAGTGACAGATGTGAAGTTAGTTTATAGAGGCACAGTGGTGAGATATTTATGTAAAAAAATTATATAATGTAATATAATTCTATGTATATATCAGAGGATATTATTGTTTTGTCTTGTCTAATTAATTGAATCTTGGAATGTTTAGTGACAGGTAGTAAGTGATAAGTTGAAGTAAAAGATGATGATGACAAGACAAAACATACGGTAATACTTAGCACTAGCACTTTCAAGTCTGCATCACTTAACATTTAAAAATTGTACGCCGAAGACTATGTATAGACAATATGTTTCTTTTGTTTTTTCTTTATGTTTTAGTTTCGCTGCAGGTTCCTGTAATACTGACAATAAATGGAACGCCCATTGACATATGCTTCATTTTATTCTGTAGCTCTGATGAGCTATAAGGAGCACATAAAATTATAAAAATTAAAGAACACTGAAGTCTGAACCTTGAGATCTGTGGTTTGAGAGAAAAGCTATCAGAAAAAGACAAAGAAACCTCCAAAAAGTTACATATTAAAACAAAACTCTGACACTAGAAGCCAGCTCTTGTGCTTATAAAAAAGAGAGATATTCACATAAAAATTTATGGTTAAAAGGAAACAAAAAATGAAATATAACAGAAAAATTAGCGTAAAGATGAAGTAAAGATGAAAGAAGTCACCAAAGTCAAATTCGAAGAAGAATGATTGCTTTACATAGCATCCCTGGAAAGCCAAGGGAAAAGTGACCCGTTATAGCAAAAACGAAACATGACATCAAATCCAAAATTTTGAAAAAGCACAAAATGGTTATGCAGTCCAGAAACCCTTCTAAGATTGCAGATGATGTTACAAGGGCACACAAAACTCCATCAACATCTCAGTCAACATGGAGATCACCACAGTGCTTGGTATTCCAATGGTAGTGTGTATGGTCAGTTTGTGAATAGTGAATTTGGAGTAAAATTTGATATTCTGCATCTGTATATTAGATAACTAATAATAATCATATTTCTAACAAATATGTTTTTTCAAATCCACACATTAACTGAAAATATAACAGGGAACTGCTGAGTCTGAGATCAAAATTTATATTAATTATATAATTATTACCAAGTTTGTCCAGTGACTTCTCCTCCAGTAGCCTGTTAAGCAGGCTGTTGGCTTTCTCTATTGTACAGACTGCAATATCCACACTTTTGAAACCACCCGCAGGACTACTGCTACCCATATAGCCTCCAACTCGGAGTCCAGCATCTTGAAACATCCCCTGAAATACAACAGAACACAGTAGAGTCAACACTTTCATCAATATAAGTCTAAAAACCATGTTTCCCTTAAAAAGAAAGTTATATGCAATACTTGACATTAAGATTAGTCCCTCATTACCAAACAAGACCGATTTAATTTTTCATAACAACCATACCTGTAGATAAAACATCTTTTCTCTTGCCACAGATACAAAGGGGAGAATGAGGATTGCTTTCTTTTTAGTCTCCAGTACTCTCTTCAGAATGAGTAGTTCAGCTACCATAGTCTTCCCCGCACTTGTTGGAGCACAATATACTAGGTTACCACCAGCTGGAAAAATATATATAAAATATGTGAATCAACTGCCTGACTAAGTTTTTTTTTTAAATAAAGTTCATTGATCTCATTCAATAATATATCACAAAATATGACAAACTTAATTTCAAGATAAATTAAATTCAACAGAATTTTCCCTTTATAAGATTTTCCCCAATCACACCATCTCCTAGTATGAAAGGCCATATTTTTTTAAATGCTATAAACGGACCTTACATATGGTTGAAGCACAAGTTAGTATATATTCTTTGATTCAATCAAAAAATGAACTTAAAATACTTTACAATTCACTTTAAAGTAAAAAGCATAATATCCTTCATACAAAAAGACTAGTCTTCCTCTTTGTTTTGATACTTGTATACAGTATTACATTCTTTATATAAAATCTATAAGGCTATACTGATAGAATTATTATCAAATCCTGACACCCTACCCCCATTCCACCCAACCCCACCTATTAAAACAAAATTTAACTCAGTCCTTACCCAGTACATTCCTGGTGCTGAGACACTCTGCCTGCCACTCAAACATGGTGGTGATCCCTGCAGCTTTGTATTTGTTGAGGACTATCTCAGGAAGGCCCCAAGATGACAAGGCCAGTTTGTCAACAGCACTTGAAACACTACCAGTAGAATCATTCATATTTGATGTATGGGGACTCCCTAAAAATAACAGTATATTAATGGCCTATGTTGACTTCAACTTGTTTAGATCATTTTTGGTTTCATAACACAGTCTGCTTAAAGTCAAATTTCACAAAATAATTTACATTTCTAACTTATCAAAAATGGAAAATAATATAAAATGCTGTACTTTCTTCTGCTCTTTCAAAATGTATTTAAAACTAGACAAAATAAAATCACCTGTTGAATCTTTCCTTTCCATCCTCTCATTTTCGTCTGTCTCACCACTGATCAAATTAGCATCAGTTGAAGCTTTCTGACTGACTTTTCTGTTCTGACTGCTGTCTTCTTTTGACCGTTCTTCAATTTCTTTGATATCATCACCTCCAGAGTTTTCATTGGGGGACCTGATATTTTCAAACAACTTATGGCCTCTTTTGACTGCAACTTCTCTTAGATTTGGATGTAGATATTTTGATTTTTTACCTCCACAGGAAGAATTCTCACCAGCCTTAGAGGCCACAGTTGTGCTAGGCCTCTTCACTGCATTACTCCCTTTATTTGACACGTATTCATTTTCCATCATCTCTACAGCGGATAAGATATCCTCATCAAAAGACACATTGAAGGTGGTGTTGCTGCTTTGTTTAGATTTGGTATGATGTTCTTTGGTTGCTTCATGATTACATTTGCCCTGTAAACAAATAATGAAAAACCAAATAAGCTAGATAACTTTTCTTATAAAATTGTAGAAAGCAATTTTTGTCCACTATTATTAGATTAATTTCAGTAATTATCGTTGATTTTTCTTGTATAACATCACTATCACAAGGTTTGATTCAACAAATAATGCAACTCACAAGAATAAAAATTACATAGTTAATGTGCCTATTATAGTTGAGTGTTCAAGGGATGACTTTAAGAACAAAAAACTTGCATTGAAATTACCTACATTTTCAGGTGGTTCATCCTGCATTGGATTAACTTTGTTGCTTGTATTCAGAGACCTGAAACAATATTTTACAACAAGTTACATATTAACATTTTAACCTCAACTCAATATTACTTTGTCAACCGTTTTAAGTCTTACATTTGACAAATGTAGTCAAACACATGCATGCATATGGCAAACCCAAACAGACAAAACGTTCATGCACATAAGCACATACGTGCAGGCTTGCATACACATGTATGCACCCACGTACACACATTTTGCAGGTATAAAAGCTAGTTTCATTGCAGTTCATTAAAGCAGGTTATTAAACTATAATTTAACCAGTACCTCAAGGCAGACCTTGTCATCATTGGCTGGACAGTGAGCTGTTCCTCATCTCTCCCCATGGCTTTAGACTTGGCAGCAGCCCCTTTGCCAAGGAACTGCTGTGTTTTTGATTTTTCAACTGTTACACATTTTTTATCTTCTTTGGGCAACTTTGAAGGAAAAGGTTTCTGCTGCCTCCATGACTCTGTCAACTTTTTCATTATGTTTGACTCTTGAATTTGTCATTGTCCCTGGCAAAAATAATAGGCTGATTTAATAATCAACACACAGAAGCAGAAAATGATGTTCACACCTTCTAAAAGTTATGCCCATGTAAATGTGTTTTAGACCACATTACGATTCACATGCCCTTACTGTCCCAAAGGTAGAAAAATCCTTTAATTTGGGTCAGCTGCACGTAACAGCCACCTCTTTTAAGAAAATTTTCTTGAGGAGAAGCAGTACCAATGAACGATTGTGACCATGTTGATTATTGTGGACAATATTGGGGCAGGACACTGCTTTTATCAATGTGTACAATAATGAAGTTGTGGCTGTATGTTCTCTGCATAGATAGGTGGGATTAACCCACAAGTATGCCATCAGCACTGCTTTGAAGGTGCCTCTGGGTTCATACTGCCCACCTGTGCTGAACGACAACTTCCTCTCGCCTCCATTATCTAGACAAATTGCAGGTCGTGGAGTATCCCCAAGTGGGATGCCAGGTACAGTGATTATGTGGACAAGCTCTGGCACACCAGAATCAGAACATGAATTCTAGACAGATCACTTTGTGAAATTAAGAAGAAAAATAAGATCCAGCCACAAAATTCCTGTAGGTTTTGTGGACAATGATAAAAACGACAGTCTCAGTCTGTTGCTTCCATTCTCCATGATCCCAGTTTGACTGAGTATTTGTCTGCATCTCTTACAAACCAAAGATTTCCTGAGTCAGAAGATTCCGTATATGCTAAAAGAAGCGAAAAAACAGCATAGCATTTGAAAATGTGGCCCAATTATGCTAATTTTCATACTCAACCTATATTTTATGAATATATATCAGTTTGAAGACAAAGGTATAATGGTTTTCTACTTATTGTTTTCACTGAAAATGCACAGCAAGGACAGTGACGACAGATGCAGGTGATGGCTATGTTGTGAAAGAAAAATTCCCCAACTCAACAATATGTGAAAACATGGGAAAAGCATACATGTATGGAATTCAAGAGAGGAGAAAACATTGCTTAGTAATGAACACGTTGTGGCAAAGAATATTTCTAGCTTGGAAAAGCATGCTTGTTCAAAATGATGTTTTTTTTTTACAAATCGATGACAATATTTATTTGTAATTCTAGATGAAATGTGGAATGTTTGGTATATTCCACACAGTGGTGCTATTTGCCATATTCACTCTCATCTGGACAAAAACATCACTATACATCACCTTTCCCCTTCAGAGAAAGAAAAATACGAGTACTTGAATGTGTCTGGGTGGGCATTAATGCAAGCCTGGAAAGAAATCCATTCTTCTCATAAGGTAGCTATGTGAATTTTACAGATACTGAAAACTATCATCAGTTTAATAACACAATACAAGTGAAAGAAAAAGTTAAGATACCAAGCCAATATTAAGAAAAGCAAAAAATAGATACAATGTATAAGGATGATGTATGATACCATATTTACTTGTTGTTTTCAATGGGGATGTTTAGGAATAGTTTCTGAAAATTAAACTGGATTTTTTGTTATTTTTTACTTTACTTTGATTAAGACCATGCCCCAACATTAGCATGGCTGAATCTGAAACCTCAGGCATTATTGTATAAAGAAAGAGACAAACTTTAGTGATAACCTCTCAGAAAGGTTCCAACAAACATCACTAAATTGTGCAATACTGTTCATATTGTGAAAAGTGGGCGAGCCAAGAATAACCTTGAGAAGAGGATGAAAACAGAGTCTATCAATAAATTGGAAGAGGCTAGAATGGTGAAAATTAAACAGGAATGTGTGATCTTGTTGAGTGCTTCTACAACAAGAGGCTCAGCACATAAGAATGAGAGCCCAATTTGCAACAGCAGCATCAAGGGGGTTGAACTGACAAGGAGGTTTATCGAGTTAGTTCAGGCCTACCCAACTACCAGACTCGGCACCGAATGATCTTGAATTCACTGGTAGATCAGACCACACTACCCGTTTTTAAGGTGTGTGTCAGATCGCATTCTGATCCAGAATAGTCTCTCCGCCTCTCACACTCCTCCCCATGCGTCATCCCTGAGGGGTACAGTCATTAAATCTCGGCTCCATTGGGACGACACATGGGGAGGCGGGTGAGAGGCGGAGAGACTAAAAGATTAGGCGGTTTTCCTTTCATGAATTTTCATGACTTTGTAGAGCCATGCCTCAACTCGTTGTGAATGCGGTCTTAAATAACCAAATTATAACATAGGTCAGCTCAGTAGGTTCAAACTCTTTAACAAATATTTAGTAATCACTGACACTGATATAATATGGTAATATTTAAATTGATTACTTACCACTATAAATGAGTGTACCTGAATGAGACAGACTGCACCAAAGTGTCAGAGTTGCTCTGTAAATAGAACAAAGATTATGTAAATAAAATAAGAAATCTATATAGAGAAAAATGAAAGTGTACACTGTAAAATATGTGAAAATTAAAGTATTATCTGTTAAATTTCAGTATGGTGAATTGGACAAAATGGAATATCCAAGCCCCAGTCACACTATGAATGGGAAGGGCTTTTGTCACCAAAGTTCAGAGATAACTGCCTGACAAGCATGATCTTATATAATTTAACTGCAAGGGATTAACAGCAATTTGGTGTATTGCCTGGGATACTAAATACAGTACACTTTATTGATGCAAACTGCTTTTTTTTTGTTTTTTGTTTAATTTCAGCATGGTGAATTGGACAAAAGCAAATTTGAATTAATAAGCAAGTGTGTTGAAAAGGATATGAAATGTAGGAATAGCAACAGTAAATTAAACATTTAATGCATGTTACACTCTCACAACAATTTTAATAAACTGGTACATTTTTCAGCAAACTTACCTATTATCTAGCCAAATAGGGAATACTGCACATCACTCACTGCATGGGAGTGTTAGTGAACATGTGTCACTCTCTTCACATGGCCCAGTGTTTTTATACCTAGCATAGCAGATCACACCGCAGTCATGACCTTCTTACATGTATGAATTAGGAATTATTTTTACGAATTAAAAAAAAGAAAGAAAGAAAACCATAAAATCAATTTTTATTTTCATTAAAGAAAATAATTTTCAATGATTTTATTTATTTTTGGATATGATAAATGAAAAGCTAAAATGTCTCAATATTTGAGGATTATGTGACAACCCTTGGTTTAATTTGGAACATCCCATGTTATCTAAGATTATCCCCTGGACGTTACCCTCCGTAACAGATAATCATTGTGTTAAGATCAAGAACCAAAGAAAGACAATATTTTCAATCTTAAAAAATTAAAATAATCTTAAAGTGGTTCAGTACTTGCATTTCGTGGTATTTTGGTGTTTAGTTAAACCACTACAAATCCCAATTATTTTTCACTTTCGTTTTACAATTATTTTTGTTTTACCTTCATAGTTATTTGGGATAAGTAAACGTTTTGAGCGAATAAAACTGTCTCAGCATAAGGCCAACTTACCTGAGCCAGCAGAGGCCTGCCAACACAGGCTGAGCGTGAGCCGAGGCAAGGAGCGAGAACAGTTCAGGAAAACGCACCAAATTACGATTACCTGTTACGTATATGAGTATTGTTACCAGTATTTTACAAGCCCTCCCTTATAAAAGCATCTGAAAGTTATATATAACGCCATACCTTACCTTATTTAAATCAAAATTTGAAATAAGCTATGCCACTAAAAAGGAAAGGAAAAAAATATTGAATTAGAGTCGTAATCTCGTTTTGAAAACGAGACTGTACAAGGAATTGTGGGAAAACTTTGGCGGTAAAATTGTCAATTTGAGGACTAAGGTGTTCGGTGATGAAAACGACAAGTTAAGAATAGAAAACCTTTTCAAGAGAGCTAGATTTGGGGGATTGACTGTACTGGAACTACATATTTGGTTCACAGTTTGGTGAGTAAATCTTATGTCTACTTTTGTCTTAAACCTCAGGTTCAAATGAAATTAAACGAATCCTTGTGCCTGAGATTGAGTACATGTAGATGTAGTCACTGACATTATGACATGAACACAAAAAAAGTCAAGATACTTAGAGTATAACCAGTTAAAAAAGACTAAGCCATTCTTAAATCTTAATAGTTATGAGATTTTCTGTTGTTGAATTTTAATCAAAACGGTAAAGATCCTCTGCTATTATTTTCCACTCAGTGTATAATCCTTTCTGGCAGATTCACTCGGGTGGGCGGAGGATTTGGAAAATCCTCCTCCCTCCGTCTTAAATTTACCTCGTAATGTATGTTCTGCATTTAGATTTGGACTTGCCTTCAAATTCAAACCACAATTTTTGTTTCCCTTAAAGATACTCGTTGTAGAAGTATTCCCAAGATACGTTAATTTCTACTTCGTCTGGTAGAGACAACACAGCCCTTGTTATAAAAATACATGTTTATGTGGCTGCTCCAACATTATAGCTTCAATGCATTTTTCCTTTCAAAGTGTTTTATCTGACCTTCCCAAAGCAACAAGCTGCAATGTGTTGATACATTCTTGTAAATTATATTTTTTTGTTTTGTTCCAAATTAATTAACATAACTGACATGGGCCTATATACTTTAGAAAATGAAGATAGCCACGCCAGAGATTTCTTGGCATGGCCGTGAACCAATCTACAGTGCGGATATACAACACATAGATGGCAGTATAACCAGACTGGCAACTGGAGGGTTAGAAAAAACAATAAGGGTAGGTGTTGAACTGCAAAACACCCCAATGATCACAGACATATCAACAGTTACGAATATTATCCAGGTGCAAAACATGATTAACTTTGATATAAAGTTGTACTTTTATATCCTATTGTATCCTTTGAAAGAAATAAACTTGAATAATTTGCTTTGACGTTGTCTTACAGTTATGGGAAGTCAAAGTGGGATCAGATGGAAAGGCATATGTGGAATTTTTATCCAGTTTAACAAGACATAACAGGACTGTGAATGTTGTCAGGTTTTCACCAAATGGTATGTTGGAAATAGTTTGAAGAAACCAGTTCATGTTGTTCTGTTTTTATATATTTTATTGTAACTTTTCATTTTGGACAATTAAAATTTGAAATAAATATGTATTTGAGTAACAGAAAATAATAGTTGGCTTTTATGTAATGTGGGAGAAGTATTCATCCTTATTTTACCTGTAATGTAATGTGATCCATATATCACTTCTATTGCAGGTTTTTATCTTGCATCAGGAGGAGATGGTAAGTGAAGTTTGCAACTTGTGGTATTTGTGTTTATACTAGGTTTTAAGTTGTTATCAATCAGTTGATAGGAAAAAATGACAATGTCCTACCATGATAGTAATGTAACATTTTCAGGAGATAAATTAAATTTCTAAGCTATAACAGTGATAAGGCATTCTTTATAAATGGAGGAATAGTTATGTAAAAATGTGTAGTTGTTGGGTAGTCACCTCCCAAAATACTGAGTCTTAATAAAACAATTTGATTGTGATTTTAACATATAATTATTATCACTTCCTTTTATTTTTAAAGTGTTTTCTGTCTTTCTTTCAAGATGCTGTTATTATTTTATGGAAGTTGAGTGATAATGCTCCACCCACCAACAACCTGTTTGGTGAAGATGATGAGGACTGTAAGGAAGTTTGGACTTCTGCCAAAACATTAAGGTATGTGTCTCTTTCATTAAGCAACATGATCTTGTCTGATACTCTTTAAATTTAACTGGCCTGTCATGGATTAAGTTTATTGCTAATGGTACTTTGTCTACAACTCTTAATGTAGATTGTTAAAGGTTGGCCTAATATGGCTTTGCCAGTCTATGCCAAAAACTTCATAGGCTACTTGCCCTATGGGCAATCGGGGTCTAAAAGTGGGCTAGTGATGTATACAATTTTAACTTTTTTACTACCCCAATGCATTTAAGGTGGGCAGTTGCCTCTGGCTTGTGCCTTACAGCATAGATCACTTTGCAAGCTCACATGGATAGAACATTTTGCTTAGACCTATGCTGTTACATTTTCTCCATGAGACAGTTTAGATTGTTCTTTTTCTTATTTCCAGAGGTCACTTGGATGATGTATCAGACTTGAGCTGGTCATCTGATGGTCACTATCTTATCTCAGGGTCAGTGGACAATAGTGCCATCATGTGGGATGTGAGGAAGGGACACAACTTGGCCATATTTAAAGACCACAAAAGTTTTGTACAAGGAGTGGCCTGGGATCCCCTCCACCAGTATATGGCAACTTTGAGTGCAGACAGGTAACTTTAATTGTTTAGGGCTGAAATAAGTAGCAAATTGAACAGTTAAATTGTTGACAGATGCTTTTTAAGTTAGTGATGTGTTTTAGTCATATTTTTGCACTTCCACAAATTTATTAAGAGGTATGGCTGAAATGACATCAACATGCCACACTGTTAATATGTTAATATTATGATTATGAAGAGAAAAATATAAGATGATTTTAGTTAGTGTTTGTTGTTTTTCAAACAGGTCTTGTCGCATCTACAGTGTATCAAGCAGAAGCTGCACAAAACACATTTCTAAGGGACCAGCACTTAACACCAGCACAGAGGATGTCAAACCAAAAGCTCCCAGACTGTTCCATGATGATACCATGAAGTCTTTCTTTCGTCGTCTGACCTTCACCCCAGACGGGGAACTCCTTATTGTACCTTCAGGTTGCTGGGAGAGTGAGGAAGGAAGTCAAAATACAACGTACATTTTTTCCAGAGATTCTTTCTCTAAGTGAGTGAAAGGATTTTTCAGTTAATAATGTGAAATGCACATTGTTAATCAGGCAAGTTTTAGTAACATGTTCTGAAAATTTGTCTAGTATATTTATTTAATTAATGGAGCCTTTAAAATGACAAACCATAATACACCATGTCTTTACTTCTAAAACCTCTTCTATACATTGTTTTTCATCAGGCCGGTAATGCACTTGCCAGGCCCATCTAAAGCGACTTTAGCTGTCAGATGTTGCCCTATTCTGTTTGAATTAAGGAAGATACCCAGAGACACTTGTGAAGGTAATATCATAAAGACATGTCTTAATATAAATTAAATAATTATAGCAAATAAATGTGGAAATAAGCATGTGTTAAGCGTCATCTGATGGTGAGTTTTTATGTAAAATTTTCATTATTTCATGTTATATTTGTACCACCAGCGTAGGCGCTGGCGGTACACATGGTTTTAGTCCCGACCCGTATGTTCCGCCGGCTCTGCCGCCATGTCATCGTTACTGCTTCTCTTCCTAGACTACAAGGGCCTGCATACCCATCNTTTGTTTTTCAAACAGGTCTTGTCGCATCTACAGTGTATCAAGCAGAAGCTGCACAAAACACATTTCTAAGGGACCAGCACTTAACACCAGCACAGAGGATGTCAAACCAAAAGCTCCCAGACTGTTCCATGATGATACCATGAAGTCTTTCTTTCGTCGTTTGACCTTCACCCCAGACGGGGAACTCCTTATTGTACCTTCAGGTTGCTGGGAGAGTGAGGAAGGAAGTCAAAATACAACGTACATCTTTTCCAGAGATTCTCTCTCTAAGTGAGTGAAAGGATTTTTCAGTTATTAATGTGAAATGCACATTGTTAATCAGGCAAGTTTTAGTGACATGTTCTGAAAATTTGTCTAGTATATTTATTTAATTAATGGAGCCTTTAAAATGACAAACCCTAATACACCATGTCTTTACTTCTAAAGCCTCTTCTATACATTGTTTTTCATCAGGCCGGTAATGCACTTGCCAGGCCCATCTAAAGCGACTTTAGCTGTCAGATGTTGCCCTATTCTGTTTGAATTAAGGAAGATACCCAGAGACACTTGTGAAGGTAATATCATAAAGACATGTCTTAATATAAATTAAATAATTATAGCAAATAAATGTGGAAATAAGCATGTGTTAAGCGTCATCTGATGGTGAGTTTTTATGTAAAATTTTCATTATTTCATGTTATATTTTTCTTTGCAGAAATGGAGACAGACCAAAAGGAGGTAGAAAATAATGAATTGAAAGAGTGGGAAAAGTATTCCACAATGTTCAAGTAAGTTTCTCTGTCAGAAAAAAATGTTTGGCAGAAAGAATCCAACAATTGTTGTCCAAAGTTATACTGAAAGATTGTTGTATAATGAGAACACTGTACGATGGGAAATTTTACTCACTTCAAATATTTGAAAGGCATACATATTATGTCATAAGCAAACTTAATAGCTATCTTTAATATGACATCTTATTATTTTCTTATGATTTTTATGTCATTCACAACTCTTATTTCATAAATAAGTATACCATTTACAATTTTAAAGGAAAAGAGAAATTTTAGATCTAAACTATTTTCCAGTTTGCCATACAGAGTAGTATTTGCTGTGGCCACAGAGGATGCAGTACTTTTATATGACACTCAGCAACCTCACCCTTTTGGTTACATTGCCAATACCCATTATCATCAGCTTAGTGATCTCACCTGGTAAGTGACAGTTCTCTCCTGTGTGCCTTTCTTTATATACAGACACTGTCCAACACATGGCATTCACCCTATAACTGCCAAACTGCATTTTTATGTTAAATTTAGCGAAAAGCTTTGTTTGGTAAAAAGGCAGGTTACTTATGAAAATTGTCAGGTCAGTTTACATTTAGTTTTTTTTTTTTTTTTTTTTTTTTTTTTTAAGTGAAAGTTTCATTTTTCACACATTACCATTTTCAGTGGCTTTTATATCCCATGAAACTGAATCACTTGCTAGTTTTTCAATTTCCATGTTACCTGTAGGCTGTAGTACATAATGTAACAGTGCATTAGAATTGGCCAAAACACTTTTTTTTTTTTTTTTTTTTTTTTTTTTTTTTTTTTTTTTTTTGTGTGTGTGTGTAATGTCTAAACATTTGACAGCTTTGCGGCCTTGTTTCCTGTATGGTGTCTGTATATTTGCCAGCTTTGCTGTCTAGTTTTGCACCATAATTTCTATTTATAATAAAAGTGTGTGAGTATATATTTATTTGTTTATTATAATGTATCTATATAACTTAACATTTTGGCCAGTAAGTCTGATAAATCTATCTCTCTATAAAAATTATTTTGAAGAATCTATATATATCAGCAATGTTTTGACAAAAAGTTCAATATGTCATTAGGTCCAAGGATGGGCGTGTTCTAGTGGTCGCATCAACGGATGGGTACTGCACTCTGGTTACATTTGAAGAAGGGGAGTTGGGTGAAGCATCTCAACACCTTTCCATCAGCACACAGAAGGTGGAAGAAGAAAAACTTAAGATACTGAAAGTATGTACGATATGTTATTATACCAGGCTATGTCACCCTCTAAGCAGGACAGCAATTGTTATTTATTCAAACTTTATATTTGAACCAGTAGATAAAGAAGTATTAAACTTTAAGGATATTGAAATATGTGGAACATTTCTGAAATATATAAAGTAGTTTATTCTATAAATTAAGCACTAATATTGGCAAGCTGTTTCTTTCCAGAAGCAAAATGCAGACAAGCAAAAGCGCAGTGATGAGGCCATTTCAAAGAAAGTTGCTTCTACTATGCCACCCCCAACAGAGGTACAACAAATTCAGGTGAAACGAAAGGAAAACAAAAGGTATATTTGGCTTTCATCAATGTGTGTCATAAATAATAATATCACCATATAAATGTTTAAGAGCAAATTTTGCACATTCCAATGTGTTGATTGAAAAAAAAACCTTCCCACTATATTGTCTGTAGGTGTTTAAAATGCCTTTGCTTCCTATATAAATGTGAATAAATTTTATTTCTCCAAGTGGTGACAGCCAACCCAAAAGAGTCAACTTAACTCCAGTGACAGGTGGTCAGGTGTCACAAGATGCACCCAAACCAAAGCGTGCACAGCTAATCACCCTGTCATCACCAGAGCTGCTGGATGGGAATAAGGTATAAGTGAGAATGGTTATTTGGTTATTAAGGCATGATATTTTTTCAGATAAGAGGAATTCAGTTTAACTTTCCTGGGACCTTAACACAGGTTGATTCATTCCGTTTTAAACATGGTGCTGTATCATCCACTAAACTACAATTGTTATTGTGTTCATTAAAGTGGCGGATTTAAACTTTAATTAGTCAAGCATTCTAATCATCAAAAAAAGATTAGTGTTATAGATTGGGTCAGTATTTTTACTTTTTTTTAAGTAAAGTTGTTTTTTTCTTCCACAGACTGAGGAAAAGAACATAAGCCATGACTCCTGCACCCAGGATCTCCAACTGGTGCTGGAAGTTTCCAGTGAGGATGAAACAGACCAGGAAAAGAAAACCAAAAAGTCAATGCAGACAGCATCAACACAGCCAGAGACCTCTAAAGGCAGCCCAAGGCGAGTAGAGCTAATCACTATTGCACCTTCTACTCCGCCCAACCAAGCTACTCCTGTAGCTAGAATCGTACAGGATGAGAACTCCAAAAAGACCAGCAGTCCAAGGAGAGTACAATTGATGACACTAGAGAGTTCTGTGGTTTCTGAAAATTCTAAGCAATCTTCACCAATCCAAAGTAAACCCCTCAAAAATTCCCAAGAAAATGTTGCCAGGATGAATGACAATTCTTCCACAAGTACACCACAGCCAAGAAGGGTTACATTAACAACGATTAAGCAGAATGAAGAAAATTGACAACATATCTTGCAGATGTTTGCCATTTTTCATCTTGGATGAGGTCTGGATCACTTTGTCAGATTATAAATTTTTATGAAAAAAGTAAATAACATTTTTGTGTGTATACCTCTAAAGGGCAAGAAGAAAAGAAATACAACTAAACATCTCTAAAAGTATTTTCTGCCACTCCAATATTTGGCTAGTCTAGATATCCATTTTATAAGGTGGCATTGCCCATAAATGCATGTTGATGTGTTTGTTGTTCATACTTAAAAAAGTATTTATATTGTATAAAGCAGTAGCCAAGAAGGCTTGTTGCAGGTCAACCACAACCGAAAAATATTGACAGCCAAATGTTCAGTTTCAGTTTTCAAATATCAGCGTCTACTTTTTCTCTAAGTTTGTTGTAGTAACAGGCATCATGCCCATATCTTGTGGCAAGTGATCTGAGAATAATAATTTTTTACACATGGGCCTTCTTGTTGTGAATATTTTTTGTCCAATATTTAGCTTCATTTTAATTTTCCATTTAATTCAATCACAAAATAACAGCCAGCTTTTTATTATAAAATCATTTTATTGTACTTCATGTACCTTTTTCAAATACAAGTAATATTTGTCACACAAGCCTATTCACATGCTTTGAATTTTGAGACCAAGTCATGAAAACTTTGCAGCAAATGTTATTGCAATAATTTACTTTTAAAACCTCTTAACTATTAAGAACCCAGGCAATTAATTGGGTCATTTCAGCTGTTCCCCAAAGGTCCGGATCCCCACAATAGTGTGTTTTTATTCATAATTTTCTTTATTCATGCCCTAGAATTACCTAGGCGAAATTTTTCTTTCTCCCAAAGGGAAATTAATCATAAGTTCTTGTGACACTAGTTTCATTCCAAAATGTGCTGGGTATATCTGTAACTTTAGGATAAATGCCAAGGAAAGGTACAATATATATTTATATTAACTGGCCTTATTACAATTTTCACCTACAAAATGTTAAAGAATGATATAATAAAAAAGAAGTGATTTTCAGCAATAATTTAGACAATATTATCTTTAAGTTAATTAAAGTTTTGCTGTATCCAGTTGCTCTTTATATTCCGTGAACAGTCTTTGGAAGCGCAAATTGGAACCAACTATTGGCAAAATTTCTTGTAACAAATGACGCTTGCCCAGGCCCTGTTGAATGAAACAAATATCCTTTTCAAACAAAAATTCAACCTTCAATCAATAATTTAAAAATAAATCCTCTAAAATCATAACAAGAAAAATTATTTTAAAAATTAAAATGAATATTGGCTTACACTCTGATCATATCACACTCACACGGACTTAATAATGACTTTCTTAGGTCAATAAAAATTATTTCTAATTTTGCGAGTTCATCACAATCTATCGAAATTCGTTATGTAGCAAGTTAAAAGTAAAAAGGCCATTATCCCACTAAATAACTTACCAAAGTATGAGATTCCCATGACGAAGCAGTCTTGCTTTTGTACACTGGACCAAGTAGTTCATCACAAACCTCACGAATTTTTGCTTCAACACCTTAAATTGAAAATGCCAAAATATTGATGAGGAATATGCCATATGTTCAGAGATATGATTCCATTCATTACAAAACACTGAAGGCAAAAATCTGCTATTTTCACTTAAATATTACACACACATATTGGAAATATCTCCATAACTATGCTCTAGTTCTGTACCTTCTTGCACTAGATATCTCATGTACGTCAATAGCCAAAACTTGTACTCTTGACTGGATTTCAATGCTAAGGCTGCTGCAACTTGGTTCTCCAGATGAGTCATAGTGGAAGCTTGCTGGGCCACATGTCCTGTCCTAAACAGCTGACCTGCTTGCTGACTGGCTCTGGAATGAAAATATGATCAGGCTTCACAGAGAGCAACGGCCCTATAATCTGTCAAGACCTCAAACTTGATCTGTTCAATTCAAGGTAAATCCATAATAGTCGAAGAACATGTTGGGAAGGCATATTGTCTTTCATAAATAGGGAGAATGGGCCTGTCAATGAGCAAATGTGTACCTTCTCTCTCTCCTTTCATCCCATTCCCCCCCCTTTTCCACTTTCGGTTAAATCAAGTCAGTTACAGTCACCCTAAATTATAAATGTGTGCCATTATAAAGAGTTTACAGATATTTAATCTCCATCTACCTTTGTTTCTTCAGCTGAAGTGCTGACAGTGGCCCAGTCATTTTGTGTCCACCCTCCTTTGGTATACAGGAATGATGGTCAGAGCAGCTGGCCAGAGGGTCACCACTGGATGCAAGCTGGACCCTGAACAGATACTTAATGTGATCATCTTTCTTCAGGGGAATAATATAAAAGTGATGTTTGTTCATTACAAATAATGGGATTGGACTGTAACAAGATTTAACCCAACCATAAGATATAACCGTAAGTTTTTTTTTTAAATAAAGACATTATNATCAAGGGTAGGAAAATGCAAGTCAATTCGAAAATCTGCTTGATTGTACCATTTTTAGTTATATCTTTTTTGCATATTTTGAAAACTCTTGTTGATTGCATTTTATAGAGCTTGTCAAGCACAAGACTGGTGAGGATGTCCCTTTTTGGAGGGGGGGGGATCCATACGAATCCAGCTGGTGGTACAATATCCGGAGGCTGTATTGCCTCTCTGATCCTCTAGTTTTCTTTGCAGAAATGGAGACAGACCAAAAGGAGGTAGAAAATAATGAATTGAAAGAGTGGGAAAAGTATTCCACAATGTTCAAGTAAGTTTCTCTGTCAGAAAATATGTTTGGCAGAAAGAATCCAACAATTGTTGTCCAAAGTTATACTGAAAGATTGTTGTATAATGAAATTTTACTCACTTCAAATATTTGAAAGGCATACTTATTATGTCATAAGCAAACTTAATAGCTATCTTTAATATGACATCTTATTATTTTCTTATGATTTTTATGTCATTCACAACTCTTATTTCATAAATAAGTATACCATTTACAATTTTAAAGGAAAAGAGACATTTTAGATCTAAACTATTTTCCAGTTTGCCATACAGAGTAGTATTTGCTGTGGCCACAGAGGATGCAGTACTTTTATATGACACTCAGCAACCTCACCCTTTTGGTTACATTGCCAATACCCATTATCATCAGCTTAGTGATCTCACCTGGTAAGTGACAGTTCTCTCCTGTGTACCTTTCTTTATATACAGACACTGTTCAACACATGGCATTCACCCTATAACTGCCAAACTGCATTTTTGTGTTAAATTTAAATGTTAAATTTACCGAAAAGCTTTGTTTGGTAAAAAGGCAGGTTACTTATGAAAATCGTCAGGTCAGTTTACATTAAGGTTTTTTTTTTTTTTAAGTGAAAATTTCATTTTTCACACATTAGCATTTTCAGTGTCTTTTATATCCCATAAAACTGAATCACTTGCTAGTTTTTCAATTTCCATGTTACCTGTAGTGCATTATGTAACAGTGCATTAGAATTGGCCAAAACATTTTGTGCATTTTTTTTTTTTTTTTTTTTTTTTTTTTTTTTTTTTTTTGTGTGTGTGTGTGTGTGTGTGTGTAATGTCTAAACATTTGACAGCTTTGCTGCCTTGTTTCCTGTATGGTGTCTGTATATTTGCCGGCTTTGCTGTATAGTTTTGCAACATAATTTCTATTTATAATAAAAGTGTGTGAGGATATATTTATTTGTTTATTATATTGTATCTATATAACTTAACATTTTGGCCAGTAAGTCTGATAAATCTATCTCTCTATAAAAAATTTATTTTGAAGAATCTATATATATCCACATAATATCAGCAATGTTTTGACAAAAGTTCAATATGTCATTAGGTCCAAGGATGGGCGTGTTCTAGTGGTCGCATCAACAGATGGGTACTGCACTCTGGTTACATTTGAAGAAGGGGAGTTGGGTGAAGCATCTCAACACCTTTCCATCAGCACACAGAAGGTGGAAGAAGAAAAACTTAAGATACTGAAAGTATGTACGATATGCTATTATACCAGGCTATGTCACCCTCTAAGCAGGACAGCAATTGTTATTTATTCAAACTTTATATTTGAACCAGTAGATAAAGAAGTATTAAACTTTAAGGATATTGAAATATGTGGAACATTTCTGAAATATATAAAGTAGTTTATTCTATAAATTAAGCACTAATATTGGCAAGCTGTTTCTTTCCAGAAGCAAAATGCAGACAAGCAAAAGCGCAGTGATGAGGCCATCTCAAAGAAAGTTGCTTCTACTATGCCACCCCCAACAGAGGTACAACTAATTCAGGTGAAACGAAAGGAAAACAAAAGGTATATTTGGCTTTCATCAATGTGTGCCATAAATAATAATATCACCATATAAATGTTTAAGAGCAAATTTTGCACATTCCAATGGGTTGATTGAAAAAAAAAACCTTCCCACTATATTGTCTGTAGGTGTTTAAAATTTCTTTGCTTCCTATATAAATGTGAATAAATTTTATTTCTCCAAGTGGTGACAGCCAACCCAAAAGAGTCAACTTAACTCCAGTGACAGGTGGTCAGGTGTCACAAGATGCACCCAAACCAAAGCGTGCACAGCTAATCACCCTGTCATCACCAGAGCTGCTGGATGGGAATAAGGTATAAGTGAGAATGGTTATTTGGTTATTAAGGCATATTTTTTTCAGATGAAAAGGAATTCAAACAGGTTGACTTTCCTGGGACCCTAACACAGATTGATTCAATTTGTTTTAAACATGGTGCTGTATCATCCACTAAACTACAAAAGTTATTGTATTCATTTTAAGTGGAAGATTTCAACTTTAAATAGTCAAGCATTCTAATCATCAGTAAAGATTAGCGGTATAGATTGGGTCGGTATTTTTACTTTTCTTTTAGTAGAGTTGTAGTTTATTTGGAGAATGAATGATATTTGTGTAAACTTAATTTTCTTCTTCCACAGACTGAGGAAAAGAACATAAGCCATGACTCCTGCACCCAGGATCTCCAACTGGTGCTGGAAGTTTCTAGCGAGGATGAAACCGACCAGGAAAAGAAAACCAAAAAGTCGATGCAGACAGCATCAACACAGCCAGAGACCTCTAAAGGCAGCCCAAGGCGAGTAGAGCTAATCACTATTGCACCTTCTACTCCGCCCAACCAAGCTACTCCTGTAGCTAGAATCGTACAGGATGAGAACTCCAAAAAGACCAGCAGTCCAAGGAGAGTACAATTGATGACACTAGAGAGTTCTGTGGTTTCTGAAAATTCTAAGCAATCTTCACCAATGCAAAGTAAACCACTCAAAAATTCCCAAGAAAATGTTGCCAGGATGAATGACAATTCTTCCGCAAGTGCACCACAGCCAAGAAGGGTTACATTAATAACTATTAAGCAGAATGAAGAAAATTGACAACATATCTTGCAGATGTTTGTCACTTTTCATCTTGGATGAGGTCTGGATCACTTTGTCAGATTATAAATTTTTATGAAAAAAGTAAATAACATTTTGTGTGTATACCTCTAAAGGGCAAGAAGAAACAAGAAATACATCTAAACATCTTTATAAGTATTTTCTGCCACTCCAATATTTGGTTAGAATATATATCCATTTTATAAGGTGGCATTGCCCATGCCCATAAATGCATGTTGATGTGTATGTTGTTCATACTTAAAAAAGTATTTATATTGTATAAAGCAGTAGCCAAGAAGGCTTGTTGCAGGTCAACCACAACAGGAAAATATTGCCAGCCAAATGTTCAGTTTTCAAACATCGGTGTCTTACTCTTTCGCTTAGTTTGTTGTACTAACGGGTATCATGTCCATAACTTGTGGCAAGTGATCTGAGGACTTAACAGAATAATAATTTTTTATGCATGGGCCTTCTTGTTGTGAATATTTTTTTGTCCAATATTTAGCCTCTTTTTAAGTTTCCATTGAATTCAATCACAAAATAACAGCCAGCTTTTTATTATAAAATCATTTTATTGTACTTCATGTACCTTTTTCAAATACAAGTGCTAACAAGCAATATTTGTCACACAAGCCTATTCACATGCTTTTAATTTAGAGACAAAGTCATGAAAACTTTACAGCAAATGTTATTGCAACAATTTACTTTTACAACCTCTTTTTTTAACTATTAAGAACCCAGGCAATCAATTGGGTTAATTCAGCTGTTTCCCAAAGGTCCTGATCCCCACAATAGTGTTTGTTTTTATTCATAATTTTATTGTTTATTCATAATGCTCTAGAATTACCTAGGCAAAATTTTTCTTTCTTCCAAAGCGAAAATAATCACAAGTTCTTGTGACATTAGTTTCATTGCAAAATGTGCTGGGTATGTCTGTAACTTGGATAAATGCCAAGGAAAGGTACAATATATATTTATATTAACTGGCCTTAGTACAATTTTCACCTACAAAATGTTAAAGATTTGTATAATAAAAAAGAAGCAGGTTTTCAGCAATAATTTAGACAATATTATCTTTAAGTTAAAGTTTTGCCGTGTCCAGTTGCTCTTTATATTCTGTGAACAGTCTTTGGAAGCGCAAATTAGAACCAACTATTGGCAAAATTTCTTGTAACAAATGACGCTTGCCCAGGCCCTGTTGAATGAAAAAAAATCCTTTTCAAACAAAAATTCAACCTTCAATCAATAATTTAAAAATTAATCCTCTAAAATCATAACAAATTTTTTTTTTTTAATTAAAATTAATCCTGGCTCACACTCTGATCACATCACATCACACTCACATTGACTTAATAACTTTCTTAGGTCACAGAAAAGAAAAAGATGTATGACTCTAAAAAAATTATTTCTAATTTTGCCAGCTCATCACAATCTATCGAAATTCTTTATGTACCAAGTTAAAAGTAAAAAGGCTATTATCCCACTACACAACTTACCAAAGTATGAGATTCCCATGACGAAGCAGTCTTGCTTTTGTACACTGGACCAAGTAGTTCATCACAAACCTCACGAATTTTTGCTTCAACACCTTGAATTGAAGATGCCAAATATTGATTAGGAATATGCTGTATGTTCAGAGATATAGCTCCATTCATTACAAAGCACTGAAGGTAAAAATCCGCTATTTTCACTTAAATATTACACACAAATATTGGAAATGTCTCCATAACTATGCTCTAGTTCTGTACCTTCTTGCACTAGATATCTCATATACGTCAATAGCCAAAACTTGTACTCTTGACTGGATTTCAATGCTAATGCTGCTGCAACTTGGTTCTCCAGATGTGTCATAGTGGAAGCTTGTTGGGCCACATGTCCTGTCCTAAACAGCTGACCTGCTTGCTGACTGGCTCTGGAATGAAAATATGATCAGGCTTCACAGAGAGCAACGGCCCTATAATCTGTCAAGACCTCAAACTTGATCTGTTCAATTCAAGGTAAATCCATAATAGTCAAAGAACATGTTGGGAAGGCATATTGTCTTTCATAAATGGGGAGAATGGGCCTGTCAATGAGCGAATGTGTACCTTCTCTCTCTCCTTTCATCCCATTCCCCCCTTTTCCACTTTCGGTTAAATCAAGTCAGTTACAGTCACCCTAAATTATAAATGTGTGCCATTATAAAGAGTTTACAGATATTTAATCTCCATCTACCTTTGTTTCTTCAGCTGAAGTGCTGACAGTGGCCCAGTCATTTTGTGTCCACCCTCCTTTGGTATACAAGAATGATGGTCAGAGCAGCTGGCCAGAGGGTCACCACTGGATGCAAGCTGGACCCTGAACAGATACTCAATGTGATCATCTTTCTTCAGGGGAATAATATAAAAGTGATGTTTGTTCATTACAAATAATGGGAAAGGACTGTAACAAGATTTAACCCAACCATAAGAAATGAATGTAAGTTTTTTTTTTTAAATAAAGACATCATCAACTGGATATAATTGTCAAAGCTAGAGTAAGCCCTGGGAACCAATCCCTAACACCAGCAACCTAAACACCACACATAAATACCCTGGATTCCTCAAAAATTGCCATAAAACATACTGCAAAAGATCTCATTGTAATATCTCACCATGCCCCCATGTCTGGCTTGAAGGTGTAAGCTTTCCCTGTCGACAGTGAGATCACTGGGATACCCTGGGCTGTCAACATGGAACTTTCTATCTGGACATTATTACCTGCATTATAAGAGTTTGAAACCATGTAAGGAATGGAGCTGTCAACATGGAGCCCTCTATGTGGACATTAATATCTGAACTACAAAGATAAGCATCACAAAAGTAACAAACTAAAATGCTTATTTAATGGACATTATGTGCACTTCCCTCAAATATGTACTTGGAAGTGGATTCCCCCCCTCCCCCCCAAAAAAAAATTTTTTAAGTTCACAAATTATTTAAAATACATTTCTTAAATGTTTCCCAAAAGTATAGCATACCTGGTATTATTGATATGACAGATTCATTTTTTATCACAGCTGTCATGCTTTGAACATTCCTGAAAATGAAAATTTTATGGCATTTGTTAGTATCTTAAATATGACAGTATCCAAAAGCAAAATATATATCAACCAGAACTGAAAGTTGCTGAAAGTTAAACAATAAAAAATTCAGGGAACACAGTAGATATCAACCAAAATAATGAGGCTCATCTACAATGCTAGTTTTCATACAAACAAAACTAGACAAAAACTAGATGTTACAAGGATGGTGCTCCAAAGAGCAAAATACCAATACGTTTTAGCTTCTTTTACCTACAAGTCTACTCAACAATTTTTACATCCAGAATACAATAACAGATCGTTTTTCTTTATGTTCTACTTACCATACATACAGACCCCCCTGTGAAGTGACAGCCATTACATAATACCCTATGACATGTAGTATAGAGAGCTGCGAGTGCAACATCATAGAGGGACACAGCTTTCGGCCAGCCGGGGAATAAATATGGAGACTGCTGTCTTCACAAGCACAGCAACATACATTACTGAAATTGAAGTAACATTATATCAATAATGAAAACTTAATCACTGTATCATATTGACAAATATTAAGTGTTGAATGATTCTGAAATGATTTTTATTTCCTTGTCTTGACCTTTGTCATAAGATGTGACGTGAGTTTATCTGTTATACATTTATATTATATGGTTTTTATTAAGTATCTGGACTCACGTGAAAACTGAGATATTTACTAATGTAAATACAACCATGCATATACTCAACCATATTCAGTAAATATACCTATTTCCTGCAATGACCACTCCTTTGCTAGCCAGCACACTCTCCCACTGCTGCTGGCCACCTTTTAGACACTTTACTCTGTGGAGATTACTGGGACCACCAACTACTTCATTTTCCAGAACCAGCACTAACTGGTCGTCACTGCCAACACTGCCCCCAATCTATGGGACAAAAAGAAAACATCAGCAACTCTACCACTATAACTGCTTCAGTAAACAACCTATAGGTTGGAAGCACTTGTGGCTAGGTTTTTCATTTTTTTTTTCTTATTCAAAAAGATTTCAATATAGCATATTACCAAGGGATGCAAGAAGCTGCTACAATTCACTAACAACTTTATGCTTACTTTTATTACAGTGTACAACTTGTTATTTCTTTACCCCATGTCAGAGTTACATACCTGCACACTAGCTGACTTCTCCACTTTAGGAACAGGCAGCTGAAGTCCTGAGGTAGAGTATATAACCCTAGTTTCTGTGGCACCCACAGCCTAAAATAGACAGATATAATGGAATTTCGATGTAATTTAATCCTGAAAATGGCATGTGCTATATATCCAAGTTTTAGACATACAGGTAATTAACAAAGCTTGTCTTGTACAGAGACATAAGATAAAAGCCTCATCCATAACTGATAGAAGAAAATGAGTCTAAAATGTCATTGATGTGTAAAAATGTCCTGGTTTTATACTTACAGGGGCTGTTGGAGTGTGTAATACAGTCGCAGTTGCAGAAGCCCTGTGGATTTCTTTCTCCTTCCTGGGTCTCTTCTGACTTCCACCTGCATCCAGCTTCCTTTTCACCGATATTTTGTTAGGTTTGTCCTTTTCTTTTCGTTCCTTATCTTTGTGTTTTTCACTTTAGAGAGAAAATATTAAATTATTATCACCAATTTGTGTATGATCAAGAGTCAGGAAACTTACAAGAATGAAAATAGCATTTCTATATGTGTTACATTCCAAATCCAATGGATAACATCTATTAAACAGTTGTAAGTGTATTCTTATTATGTAATCTTACTGTGAAGTTGCAGATCCTGGTTTCTTTAATGCCTCTATTCTTGCCTCTTGTAATGACATTGGCTACAATGAAAAAGAGGTACATAACACGAGACAGAAAAGCAAACAAATCAAACTATAGATTAGTGAGGTTCTAAGATGTATTTTGTTGCAGTCAAATTGTGGATCATGTAACTATGCACTTCAGACATCATGAAATAACTGTCCCAATAAAGTGTTTTATTACAGGGGGATCTGGCAGGGGATACTTAAGCATCCAGAAAAAAACCTTCACCTTGATTGGTGTAATGGGACTGATGACAGCTGAAGGAGTATGTGGCTTATTACTGGCTGCCCCTGGGGTGGTGGGTACTTTGGCACCAGAGGCATCTACAACTGACTGTGACCTAGAGTTGTCAGAGTATGGAGACTTCCTCACAGGACCAGTCACCTCATTTCTCTTCTCTACAACTATTGTGCTTGGCGTTTCAGAGCTTGTAAATGTGGGTTCCTTTTGACCGAATGGTATTGGGTCATCACTGTTGGAAAAATTTTAATAAATTGACTTCATTTTCAGAAATGTAAAAAAATATTTAAATAAGAAGAGCAAACGTTTGATTAAAGGGATAATAACTGTTCGTTTGACCAAAAAATGAATTTTCCTGGAGTAAACAGCAATTTTCTCATACTTACCAATGGTTAACGAATCCATTTCTACATTCAAAGTTAGTCTCTGGTTTTTTTCTAAAAAGTTTTTTTCTTTTTTGTTATAATCACTATAGCCATCTATGTAGGTCACATGGTCTGACGACAAGCTCAGATATCAGAATAATAGCAATATTTGCTGTTTTTGTGGTAAAACATAAATATTTTCTATGAGTTGCTTACAATGTTTTTATTGTGAAATAAAGATCTCATACGAAGAGTTATTATCCCTTTAAGTTGTTTTGACTAATCTATCAGTAAACACAGCCATTTTCTTAAATAATTAATTTTTTGTTTTCTCAGAATTTTTTAAAGACATTTTGTTTACCCTGCAATATCTGCAGCTGCAGCGAGGAAGATGGGTGTAATTCGTCTCCTGCCGTCTGCAGTTTTAGTTTCAATCTGCTTATTATTAAGAACCTGAAATGAACACCAACAACTCTTCAGGTCACCCTTTCTGAAATCAACAATACCACACAACAGAGGTGATCTTAGTCATTACCACATCAATAAATTTAGTTTCTTAATGAATGATGTTGTTTTGAAAAACCAATCTGACACTGCATTATTTAATTTTTTTATTAAAAAAATTAACACCATGTCTTTATTTTTAAATAAATCATAAAAACTAAACCAATACCTTGACAGGTGTTCCTGCTGGTGTGCCTCCATTGGCCACTGGGGTTGCTGGAGTGGCAGCACTACCTGGTGTTTTCTGTTTATCCCTTTCCTCTGTCTGCTTTTGCCGTAATTCTAACATGGCAGCAGTCTCTATTATCTGATTGGCAACACAATTCCCGTTGGGGGCTGAGGCAAATGTCTTTCCATAGACTTTTTCTAATACCTGCATCTGTATGAACACACAGACATATAATAAATAGAGTAAATTTCAGAACAGTGTTATTAACCATTTTTACATGAATAATGTGCACTGCTTAAACCAAAATAACACGCAAAAACAAGTACAATGCTATTTAACTGCTACTTAGGGAATCTGCCACTAGCAAATACAATAAAAATATTAAATTCCAAACCTAGATTCATCTCTTCATCATATCTAGGGAAAAAGTACACTACAAAAAAAATTACATACGATTTAACCTAAAAGTTATGGCAATAACATGAAAGAGGACAACTCCTCAAGTTATAATGCAAATACCTTTTCATCAGGTGTTAATGGAGTGCCTATTTCCTCAGGTGAGAACTCCAGGTAAGCTACTGTCCCATCCCAAGAACAGCACATACACTCAAACCCAGTCTTGTCCCTAGAGCAAAACATAGTCCAGAGGCATTAATTCTAGAATAGTTACATCATAACCCCTCTTAACCTATCATTCTACGGCGCTTGAGTTACATTGTTGTAAAACTCTGACATTTTCTTTTTTTCTTCTTTTGTAAGAAAGAAATTTGAACTCCTGCATGAGCTTTGAATGACTCAGTTTCTCAAAAAAGGGACTCACCAAGTTATATCTAAAATGGAACTGTTGAACAGATCATGGGTAACCACCAGTGGCCTTTTCAATGCGGTTAACTAAAAAAAAGGTAAGCTAAGTTAAAATAGAAGCATTTTAATATAGAATGCCACATCTTTGTAATCAACTGCCGATTCCAAAAAAATATTTATATAGCTTTGGGGATTTTTTTTATAACAACACTCAGTGATCAACATGAAGCATTGAATACGTATATCATACATACATATATCCATAAGATTAATATATTTTGGTAACTTTGTTGGGTATTACTGATGGTAAAAACTGAATAATGATTTAATACATTGATAATTGACAACGGAATGTGGTCACTATGGATAGACAACCAAAAAATTAATCTGAATAGTAAAATGGAAAGCAAAAACTAATTTAATTTACTAATTTAATGTTGATTAGGATAAAAATTCTCATCTATCAATGCAAGTTATAATTACTTTCTTACCCAAATAGATATTGACCGATCTCTACTGCCTATTGCACAACATGAATACTGCTGGGGCTAAAAGCAAAAAGCACTTATCAGTTGGTACACAAAATAACACTTCTGTTCATCAGTTTGTATTTTTGCATTTCATTTTTGTTAACAGTACTTTTGTCAAATAATGTTATCTGAACGTAAGATCAATAGCATATAATTAACCATTTTAGCCCTCATAACATTATAAATAGTTACACTGAATCAATTGATTACATTTTATTTTACTCACCTTATCAGCACCTTCAGAAATCTTTTTTGAAAATAAATTAGGATTGAATCGCTGAAATGAAAGAGCATTTTCATAATAAATAGAATTTTACCCATAAATTGAGAAGGTCACCAAACCTCTAGGTAGAAATAAAACTCTTATTAAAAAACACATGTCCTATTTCACCTCCACTGAAACAATTACTTTTGAACAATTAACCATGGTAAATACAATTTGCAAATACTGAAATGAAAAAAAAAAAGAAATTACCACTACAGTAACAGCTTTTCTGTGGCCAACAAAGTCCATGTTAGTTTTCCATCCATCCCTCTCTATAATCTGTGCTGTTGGTCCAGAGTTGTTCATAGCATGGGCAGAGACCACATAGAAGCCATCGGGGGACCAACCCAGACGCAAAACATGGGTGGTACCACCACACTGAAAAACACAGAAAAGATGGCAGTGCATTTACATTTCACCGATACAAAAATTAAACACATTTCAGAGATTTCCTTCAAGCATAGGTATTTTTTACTTTAAGAACTTCCGAAATTGAAATCAACCACAAAAAAGAAATTTTCTAACCACTTCTACTTTCCTCACTGCATCACAATATATATCAATTATATAAAAATTATTTGATTTTGATTATTTCTATTTCATTATTTTCCTTTATGTAATTACCATTGACTTACTTCTTCAAAAGGTTCTGTGATTGCTTTTTCTTGCTGCCAATCTGATGTTCTCCAAACCCGGATGGTTTTGTCATCAGACTAAAATAAACATTGAATATTTATAGGCTTCTATTCACAATATAACACAAATATTCCAGATACAGCTCTTGAAAAGTTATCAATTGGATGAGAGTATCTAAAATTTGTTAGGAATAAAATCAAGATCTATTTACCTGGGAAGCTAAGTAGGTTCCCACTGGGTCCCATGTCACTCCCTTAACAAGACTCCTGTGGCCATTCAATACAGCTACTTGTTCTTGTATGAAAAAAATAAAAAGTTCATCATAATATACTATTAGTGTGTTAAAATACTTGGAACTAAGTACCTGTAATCATTAATACTTTACCCAAGATTATTTATCAGGCCTACCCAACTACCAGACTCGGCACCGAATGATCCTGAATTCACCGGTATATCAGACCACACTACCCGTTTTCAAGGTGTGTGTCTGATCGCATTACACAGTATCATACCCTGAACAAATTTTGAGTGGTGATGCAATGCTTTTCAACCCTGCTGAAAATCGTCACTATCACATCGCGTACTAGGCAAGATCAGCCTCGCGTCTGATACTGTGTAATGTGATCTGACACACACCTTGAAAACGGGTAGTGTGGTCTGATCTACCGGTGAATTCAGGATCATTCGGTGCCAAGTCTGGTAGTTGGGTAGGCCTGTTTATGGTTCTTTGTGACAGAATAACTTGCATTCCCCCAGTAGTAAATCTAAGATAATTGCAAGACATATTCTTATCTAATCTTGCTCATGAAAATGTAAAATAATTTAAGGCAAATGTATCACTGACCTAGTTCAAAACTAAAATTTTACCATAATAATCAAGTGACCCCAGTATAAATATGTTCCCATTTATAAACTTTCAATTATTACCTGGAAACTTCTGTGCATTCCAGACCACAATAGTATTATCTATACTACAGGTGGCCAGCCAGACATCATGGGGTGACCAGGCAAGGTCTAGAACATCTACCAAAACCAATTATCATGGTGTAATACTTCAAGAAAGATATATTGATGAATTTGCATCATTATGACATGATGTCCCTTTCTAAAAGAAAGCCTGATACAATGCTTAATGTAGAGCTGTCATAAAGAAAACTATTCAAAATTCTTAATGTTTTAAATATGTTTCAGAATCCAAACTTCTTTATTACATATATCTGATTTTGTCACCATATATAAACCATAACCTATTCATCTGCTTCATGTCAATAAATGACAAATGTTTGTAAAAGCATTCCAACAAACCTCCAGAGTGACCGCGCAATGTAAATACACATCTCCACTGCTCCACATTGGTGACAGTTCCTGTAGAGCCAAACACTGTAGAAGGACCTGCATATCTGAAAAATAAATAAATAAATAAATTTTCACAACAAAATGCCTTGAATAATCTCTCTCTCTCTCTCTCTCTCTCTCTCTTAGTCTGTATGCAATATAAAGCACAAACTTCACTTACTACTTACAATATTTGATCTAATCAGTGCCCTCAAAATACTTAATTTTGACGAGGATTTTCAAACATTACTTTACTATGTATATCAACATAATATTCAAAACAATTAAAACAAATATGCTCTACCTGCTGGTTTGCCAGATCATGACCAATTTATCATCACTACCTGAAGCAAGGTAGCGGCCATTGTTTGACCAACGCACACAGTTGACACATGCTGGAAAAAAGAGGGAATGTCTCTAATGATCAGTACTAAGGTGACTTAGGCATTTTCTTTGCTTCACAAAAAAAGTACGCTTTATTTAAAATGTTGTGTGTTTTCCAATATTTCCACTGCCTTCAAAAACTTTACTTTTCTTAAACAAAAGACATTATTTTTAAATAGTACCTAGATGATTATCCATCTGACAAAGCATCTTAGGTACACTTTCATCTTTTTCTGACTTTTCATCTCTGACAGGAGCCATGTTCCAGATGACAATCTTCCCTCCACTGTCTTCCCCTGAAATCATTAAATCAAAGTCAATTTTTAGGTTGTACAATATAGCAGCAAATATAAGTACTATCAGTGTTTGGAATACTTAAACTGGATGTGGCAATTGACTAATTAGATTGGACTTCACTTGCATAGCTGACACTAAAAAATCTTCTGACACAAAGAATCCCAAATATCTGATTAAAAAAAATAAATAAATAAAGTTACTGTACATGTACATACCTTGACCCCCAGTAGCAACTCTTGATCTGTCTGGGTGAATGTCAATAGAAAATATGGGTTTGCCTGAAATAAAGAAAAGTGTCACCATCATCAATATACAGCATTACACTTACAGATGACTCTTTACCTTTGTGATAATAGGATATCATTGTTATTACTTTTCTAATATATTTAATTTGGTATCAAATTTAATCACATACTAGCATACACCTGATTCTCTTTTTCATATAATGCGATGCAATTTAGCTTCAAAGGAGATTTGAGAAAACAATACATGGGTTATCTTTGCTTTGCCTTTGGAGTTCACTCCAGTTTATGTTCTAATCATTAATGCATCATACCACATTTTTAGATCAACTTGAAATTATACATTCAGTTGCCTACCATCATGAGAAATCCAGGCCGGCTTAAGCAGCTTCATGGCAAAGAGTACCAGTCTGCAAACAGACCTACTACTTTTAACCCTCGGTTTTCATTCACGATCTGCCGCCATTTTGATTTTGAAGCACCTGTTCACGGGGTTTGGCGAGATCTCTGCACCACGTGACATAATAAATTCTCATAAAAAAACTGTAAATAACAGTAAGCCCTTTGTGTATTAGAATAATAAGTATTTATGCCGCCTACATGCCACTGATTGAAAATAACATGAGAGTAAAAAAGTGGATTGTCATAGTTATGCGTGCGTTTTGGGATTTTTGTTAACTTCAACACCTTTTTTTCGCGGAAAAAAAAAAAAAAAAAAAAAAGAAAGAAGCGGGTCAACAGTCAAAACAGGGGACGCTATTTTAAAATAAAACAGGAATTATATCGTCCAAAAATGATATATTTTAACCCTATTTTGCAAAAGGTCTAAACCTTTTTAGTGATTTTTTATTTAATTATATTTATTTATTTATTTATTTATTTATTTATTTATTTATTTATTTATTTATTTTCAATAAGTATAGGGGCCTATATAGTGTCTATAGTCCCTGCGTAGTTCTACTGTTTTGCTGTTCATCATATCGTTACATCAGTCTTTCCAGTGTACAGGAGTATATTCCCTCGAAGATATACCTTCATTAGGCCTATATCTTATTGACCTTACAAACCTAGGTTCGAGACACTACTTAAGTATCTTCTCTTCCATTATATTTGACGCTAATACTTTAATCATGGTATCACAAAACAGATGGAAAATAGAAGGGTTGCCAGTAGTTTTATTGTTAATGCTATACATATTTAAATCCGTTTCCTCTTAATTATATCTATTATTCAATATAATGTGTTGGATCCCAGATTATAATGAAATTACTGATTAATAAACTGGACGGCTCTCCTTATGTGTGGACGTATTAAATGCGACTTCTCTCTCTCTCTCTCTCTCTCTCTCTCTCTCTCTCTCTCTCTCTCTCTCTCTCTCTTCTAAGTAAGCAAACTTGAGGTACATATCTTTCCCAAAATGAAAGAAAGAAAGAAACTGTTCGTAACATCATATCATATCACCGATATGTCCTTAAAGGGATAATAACTCTTCGTATGAAATCTGTATTTCACAATAAAAACATTGTGAGTGACTCATAAAAATATAATATATTCTGTTTTCCCACAAAAACGGCTGTTATAGCTATTATTCTGATATCTGAGCTTGTCTTTAGACCACGTGACCTCCATTGATAGCTATACTCTGTTAAAATCTCTTAAAGCAATAATAACTCTTTGTTTCGGCCAAAAAATTAATTTTCCTGGAGTAAACAACAATTTTCCCATACTTACCAATGGTTAATGAATCCATTTTTACATTCAAAGTTAGTCCCTGGTTTTTTTTCTAAAAAGTTTGGTTTTTTGTTAAAATCTCTTAAGAGATTTTAACAGAGTATAGCCATCAATGGAGGTCACGTGGTCTAAAGACAAGTTCAGATATCAGAATAAAAGCTATAACTGCTGTTTTTGTGGTAAAACAGAATAAATTATATTTCTATGAGTTATTCACAAGGTTTTTATTATGAAATATAGATCTCATACGAAGAGTTATTATCCCTTTAAGAGATTTTAACAAAAAACCTAACTTTTTAGAAAAAAACCAGGGACTAACTTTGAATGTAAAAATGGATTCATTAACCATTGGTAAGTATGGGAAAATTGTTGTTTACTCCAGGAAAATTCATTTTTTGGCCGAAACGAAGAGTTATTATCACTTTAATTTACCTCGGTGGAAGCTTAGTTTGTTTAAACGGTATCATACAGTATGAATGTAACATCCCGCGGCGATGTTGCTGACGATGAAATTCCTAAGTGCTTTGATTTAACCTGAAATAAAGGTGAATTGTAAGCGGAAGGGGTTTTGATTACGTTCTCGATACTTTACCTGAAATATCAATGTCACTTTTACCATCCATTTCAAATATTTGAGTTGGGACCAGGGTTTGAATTTGACTATTAGGCCTACATATAAGTTAATACATTTGAAGGAATTGAACTGGTACATAGAGACTGCAACAGAGCGTGTTCATAAAAAGCCTGAAAAGCAGACATTCTCTTATCTCTCGGTATCAACGCAAATTAGGTTGGGCTTTTGACAGTTATGTCAAAATCGATATAGAATTTTATGCAGCCTGCTAAACACCGTACTTTACTGCGGGGACTGCATTGAAGTGTCCAGCCTAATAATCATAAATACAGTGAGTGCAGTAGCCTATGAATTCGATATATTTGCATAACTGAAGAAATGGTTTCATTTTTTTTTTACTCAAAAAACAACGCAGACAAAAAAATTTATATGGAACATAAATACATATACATGTTACACCAAGACTTAATACATCGCATGCATATTTACAGTAACAGTAATTTAACACGAAAAATGAGAAAGAAAGTAACATAAAAGACAATCATTTCATATAACAATTTCCTTTGGTTTGCAATATCATCAATAGCTTATACAGAACATGGCATGATATGTGGCGTTCACTTTATTGCCCTGTTGTACATAATAGACCCCTATAACAAAATACATAGCAACAGAATAAAGAATAAATGGAAAATAAGACACATTATAGGGTATTTCTTTCTACTTTTCTTTCCCCCTCTCTTTTCTTTACATATTTTCTCATACTAAACCCATACAAAAGACCATGATATTTCTGGTTACATGTCAACATAACAAAAATAAATCAAAAACAGATTGTGTATATATCATACAAACTGTTATCTGCAACCCAAACTCCAACGTTTTCCGTGTTGTAGCCGAAAAATGTGTTCTCAGGTGGCAACAGGTCCAACACAAACACAGCAAGAGTTACCCATTACACACCGCGTTTTGGCCAATGATTCGTATAAATTCGCTCTGCGGCTGAAAATAATGAAAACAAGATGAACCTCTATGCCTCTTTGCACCCTGTGCCGTTTATACAAGGAGAGTTCCTCATGCTGAACGCATTTGTTATCTCTTAAATTCGTGTTGCGCACACCCGATTAGGTACTCAATACGCTCAGTGTTTTTAAGCGTGTGGGGTACTGACCATTTACCCATCATAAGAAATTTGTGAAAGAGTTTTCAAGAAATGGCCTTAAGAGGGTGGCCACCGTATGGACTGGTTTTGGTACTGATAAGTTTTTTAATGTCCGGTGGGCATTGTTATTGGTGGAGCTATGACACGACAACGCCACCAACAACAACCACGATGCCTACAACAGCGACAACAATCACATCGACGACGACACCGATCACAACGACAACAACAACTACTACTACAACTACTTCTACTTCTACTACTAGTAGTGCGACAACAAAACCAGAAATGATTCTAATTGAAAATGAGGAAGATGCACTTACAGGGGATCTAGATACCGACACAAATATTGTTCCATCGCTTAGTTTAACTGGGGACGATAAAGATGAAGATGAAGATAAACACATTATACTTTTGGGTAATTCGGAAAGCTCAACAGATGAGAAAACCAAAGAAAGAATTGACATTGGTTCTGGAGACGGAGAAATTATTGTTGCAAAAACCACTGAGCCATCCAGCACTCCATCTATTGAAATAACAGATGAAAACACAGATGATCGGATCCTTGGTGTGACAGATGTCCCTATCATTAGTCTAACAGAGAGCGGGAATGGACAGAGAGGCATTACTCTTAAACCAGGCGACAAAAATATATTTACTGAAGAGGAATTATACCCTGGATTTGCCAATGATACTCGTTTTACCTCAGGAGTGGTTAAAAGTCAAACTAACGAGGTGATAGTAAAGACAACAGTAAAAGGTATAGGTTTTGCGAATGAGACCGATTTAGAAAAGTCGCCCGATAGAACAGCTGAACAAGGTGGGGATACTGAAACTAATATCGTTGGTGTCATTTCTTACGGATTTGCAAATGAAACAAATCCAACGCTTCAAATTTCTGGCGGTGATAATAAAGGCGATTTCGAAAACACCAATGAAATTGATCGGACACCTGGTGGAAACGGGGAGAGTGATTCAGTTGCTCCGACATCTGCAACACCGAGAGGAAACAACATTGGCGTCGTAACTGGGGACTTGTCAAAGTACAGGACAGGAAAAGTTTACTTAAATAAAGGCTGCCCTGCTAACAAAACACTGGCACTGGGATATACAATTGCCGCTCAAAAGTCCACAACAACTGTTCCAAAAATCACAAAGTCTGCTAAGAACACAGTAACACCGTCTGGGTCAACACAAACATTTGAGACTAACGAAGTTATAATTACTGACGAAAACAAAAAAATGGAAACTAAACCAGATCCTGTTGACAAAGCAAGGATACCATTAGAGGTAAGTGTAAGCTTCAACAAAGTTATTTCTTTCACCCTCGCTACATGTTGGTAAGGAAACACAGATGTTTAAGACTGATCTATGGTATAAGGTCAATATAAAACATAGTTCTGTGGCACACTTTCCCCTACAATATTGAAATAAAAACGCTATCTAACGTCCCATATTTATATAGATTCGTACACGGTGACTTAAAGTTACATCAATTTTCAGGAGTTTCTAGTTCGATTTGGTTATTTTCCTAATCCTCGCATAAAACCTGGGATGCCTGTAGACGTGTTACCATCATTTTCGAAGGAAGAACTGACAGAAGCTTTGAAGTAAGTTGACTCTGTTCGTGTTTAATTATCTTCACAGGCGTGCATAGGGGACACGCCCTGGAAGTCATTCTTTGCTCCCATGACGGAAAAATAAACAAGCAATAAACACTGTTATTCGCATTTTCTTGGCGTTTATTCTGTAGGAAATAGCACCAATATCTGAAAGGAAAGCCTTGTCTGTAGTAATCATGTCTGACTGCAGGTCTATGCCAAATTTTCTCATTATTTTCAATTTCGTCATGTAAATAGCTTCCCATTTCCGAACTTGATTCATGATTTTTTCAGTTTTAATAAAATGAAACTGAATTTTCATCATAATACCGTTAACACACGGTAGTTACACATTTTCATGCAGAAAAGTCTTTATTTTCGACCACAGGCTAATAATCTGTGTTGACCTCAGTCCACTCGGCAAGAATAAAAATATAATATGCAAAGGTACTAATAGTAGCTGGGCGGTAGCTGGAGCGCTTTCCAAAAATCAGTTTTGTTCTGGGAATCCAAAAGTAACTGCTTTGTGAATCTTTTGTTAATTTGTTACCTAAAAAAGTGGTGTTAGATTCCCCGGAAAAAGAAGAAGTAATACAAATGTCTTAATATGTCCCGGTTTCGCTACTTTACACATGAAGCAATCCCTCGTTCATGTAGAGTTAGATTGCCCTTAGTCGGTATATTTTGTTATTTTCAGGTGTAAAAATCTAATTATTTCATGAATAACATAAAATGAACATGGATAGTGTAATGAATATCTATGAAAATAATAATAACACTCTTTAAAAGTTCGCTCGCTTTACATCGCAAGAATAAAAATACCAACATGATTACATTCCATATGTTCTTGTTTCGAAGGCAATTTCAGCGACTGGTAGGCCTTCCAGAGACTGGTGAGCTGGACGCGGCAACAGTTAACAAGATGAAACAACCACGCTGCGGTGTCCCCGACTTCGATCCTTATAGGAAACCCAGTGACACTGCTATCCCTGAAAAAACTTATGCTTCCGGTAAAATATCATGGCAATATCTTTATATTAATCGACGAAATAACACATCTGCTTTTTGCATATCTTTTTTTATTATACTTTCTTTTAAATTAGTCATGATCTTGTTAGAAGAAATAATATTATTCATTTTGATTATTTTTTTTCTAGGCAGCAAATGGAATCAAAATTTTATTACCTGGAAGACGATAAATTTCTCTGACAAACTAGAAAAAGCAGAACAGAGGTATGTAGCCTATATGTAAATCCTGATATAACACACCATACGGAAACCAGTTTCTTGTGCCTAGCACTAAATTATACCTTGGACGAATAATACCCTCTACCAGGGCGACTGATAGATTTTTTACAGATATTCACAGATATGTCTCTAGATAGATAGATGGTCAAATGAACATGTATCTATCTATCTAGAGACATATCTGTGAATATCTGTAAAAAATCTATCAGTCGCCCTGGTAGAGGGTAGACGAATAATACGGTATTATTTGTCCGAGATTGTACCAAAAATTATAAGACCGTCTTGAGACTTAATTAAACATGTCAATGAAAATAATTTCATTGGTAGGCGTGCTTTTCACGAAGCTTTCCAACTGTGGGGTGAAGCAACGCAACTAGTATTCGAAGAGGTGGTAAATGGATCTCCCGATATAGAAATAAAATTTGCTGAAGGAGATCATGGGGACGGATATTGGAATAGGTTTGATGGAGAAGGTATGTAGACTAATTTTGGCATTATTTCCCGTTTCCCCTTATCTATTAACAATCGGTTATAGGGTAACTTATATAATTATTAACAAGAATTCTTTTTTTTTAAATATATTACAGTGCTTATCCGAATAAAAATATTTACATGGATTATAACTTGAAAAAATTACAACAGCTCTTATTCGAAAGAAAGAAAAGAACGGTTAAATTGACAAATGTGACGGTAAAATTGACAAATGTGTTCGTAAAATTAGAAAGGTTTTAATGAAAAAATTGAACCCTACAAAAACATTCGAAAACAATGCTTCTTGGATGAAGGAATACGTTAATTTGATTGCAATTTTAGGAGGAGTACTGGCGCACGCTTTCTTCCCACCCAATGGTAACACCCACTTTGACGCTGCAGAGAACTGGACGCTGGATATACCGCAAGGGGTTAACATGTTGGCCGTCGCTGCCCACGAGTTTGGTCACGCTCTTGGGCTTGGTCATTCACGGAATACTGATGCTGTCATGGCGCCATACTATGGTGGTTATAAACCTGACTTGAAGCTCGAAGAAGATGATATACGAAGCATACAGAGTGTTTATGGTAAAATAACACGCTTCTTTTTCTATTTTGATGGGTTTGACGTCCTATATTGGTTTTATGGAATATACTGCGATAATTAAAAAAAAAAATTGCATTTTATAATAAGGTAGCGCACCATAAATGCAATTTACGTATTTGTAAAGTTGGATCATGATTGTAGAAATATTAGCAAGTCAGTAAATATCAAGTTGAGTTGTTTTGGTATACACGACAAAACTTGAATTCTTTTTCAAACTTGAACTAATACCATACAGGCTCAGATGAAACAACTACATCAACTACCACCACTCCAACGACAACCTCGACGTCTCCAACTCCGCCAAGCACACAAACAACAACGACTGTGCCAACGCCGCCATTTAGAACTACAGGGAAGGAAACCCCATCTCCTACACAATCAACAGATGGCATTCCTTCAACCGATCGGTTTAGTACCTTAAAATTAACAAGTCCACCGCCTACCCCGTCAACTGTCAGTGATTTAAGCACACCGGAACATAAGACTATCAGCTGTGAATTGACCACACCCAGCACAGTGGCGCCATCTAGGCCTTCAAAACCTAAACCTAACATATGCACTGAAGATTTTGATGCTATTATACAGGGTATTCTAATGAGATTTCAAAACTTATACATTGAACAATATATTTGAAAAGAATGAGATAGATTTAAGTTGTCTTTTTGCAATCGATTCTTTCATCCTTTTTTGTCACAATTGATTTTATTAAAGATTGTATTAATATCCTATCACCAATTTTTGTGTACCTGGTAAATACATATTTATTAAATTAATATTTATTTAAATTTCATCCAGATTTCTTTGGAAGCATATATGTCTTTAAAGACAGATTTATATGGAAACTGATAAAGGGAGGATTTGGAGTGGAGCCAAGCTATCCAAAGCCTGCCAGGAAAGTTTTTCTTAAATTTCCCAGATCAAAAATCAATGCAGCTGTGTACTCTTGGAGGTCCGGAAGGACATATTTTTTCAGAGGTATGATTTACTTAACCTATCTTATACCAAACCCTTCACTTAGCACACTTATAAAAAGATAAAAAGATATTCAGAGAATTTTGAGAAGGTAAAGAGGGCCAGGGCATCTTCAGAATCCTAAATTTGAAGGCAATGTTTCTACATGTAGACCATAGGTTAGGTGTGTCCATGTAATATAACACAGTTTTCAGAAAGATAAGATAAGTATTTTTTTAAATTATACATTCTAGGTAACAGAGTTTGGATATATTATAATTATAAACTTGCTGTAAGAAAACGAGTGAGGGATGTTCAGTTTCCAACAAATCCTGATGCAGCTCTAGCCTGGAGAGATGGAAGAATATACCTTTTTAAGGTAAGGTCAATGCCTCATGAAAACTTTAACAAGCATTTCATTGTTGGTTTTGAAACATGCACCGGATTTAAGTACCTTTGTCTATATAAAAAGAGAGAACTGAGTCAAAATGTGAATAACAAAGAGAAACCGCTTCAAAATGCTTTCTGTGCAGATGGCAGTATTGTTCTGTAAAATGTGGCATCACAAATTTTAAAGCAACACCTGTCAAGCAGGTGAACTTAAGATTTTGAATAGCTATTTTCAAGCAAACACACTTCAGCTCACCTTGGAACCAGATAAATGCTTACTAAAAAATATTAATCACATTATCATTCATTACCTCTACCAAGAGGGTTTTGTTTTTACCTCTATTTGTCTGTTGTCTGTTTGTCACCAACCTAACTAAAAAGTTATAAATAGATTTTAATGAAACTTTCAGGATAGGTCACTTAACAGCAAACTGATTAGCTTTTGATGATGATACATTAATTAAAGGTTAATTATTAGTTAATAATTTGTTTTGGCAGAGGTATGCGCTCTCTGAGTGCTTTTCTAGTTCAAATATTCATTTTCTTTCAGGGCAATTACTATTGGATATTTGATGAAATCCGGTGGTCTGTTGGCTTTCCCCAGCGAATCCAGTCTTTTTGGCCAGGAATACCTAATAATATAGATGGTGCTTTCATGGATAGAAAGCAAAGATACAGCTACTTTTTCAAAAAAGACAAGTAAGCTCAACTGATCATTCTTGCAACCAAATAGAATGTTATTAAAATTATGATTACCTACTTAAGGTCACAATAATTCAATAAATGCTGTAATTAAAAAAAATAAATATATTAAAATGTATTTTTGAATAATTTTTATAGGTACTACATGTTTGACGACTTTCTACGTGGAACTTTGTCAGGTGGGCCTCAAGTTAAGCATCCAAGATGGACAGGTTGTCCCAGAAGATCCATGTAATCTTAAAAGAGACTTTCAAAGACATTTTTCTCTAAAAAAACATACTAAATATCTCATAATTTTCAGTTGAGCTACAACTTAATTTTTTTTTAGTCTGGTCTTCTCTTTTTTATTCACTTTATGTGAATGAACATATCATGTTTTCATACATTCATTTTATTTGGACCATAAGATCTTTTAGCAATAATTCCTGTACTATTACTACATATTTATATGTAAGAACATTATATCTAGTGGCATTCAACTAGCCAATTATGTAAACACTATCACCTATATGTACTAAACATCACCATCTTCTTCATGAAAGATAAATAATAAGATTTAAGCTTTAATAATGCATAACTGGCATGAGATAGTAATACATTGTTAATTGATACAAAATATACCTTTTATGGTAAATTTTTTGGCAAATTTCCTTGACTTCTGAATCAAATTACATGTCAACAAATTTGAAATAACAGAAGAAAATTAATATGAATAAATACAATGGAAGATATAACATATTCACAAAGAATAAGAATAAATAAATAAATAAATGAGCATGGTCAATCATAAAACAATCAGTTTAATATGATGTTTGAATGCTAACACATGTAAAAAACTGACATATTGTTATAACAAAAAGGTGATGAAAATCAGCAGCATTTATTAAAATAATATAATGGAATACTGTTAATGTCTGTTAATGTCTCTTAGGCCAATAACCAGGAACATCATCTGGAAATTGTAAAGGGGAAATTGTGAATTTTTCTTTGACAAAACTGAGGGTTTTAAGGAACTTTTACTTTGGACTTAATAATATAAGTAATATTTTTATTTCTGAATAAATATTACCTCTGCCAAGGAGGTTAATTTGTGTTTGCCTTTGTTGGTTTGGATAGATTAGCAATGGGCTAACTTAATATCAATCAGATTCTGGTGAACCATGAACTAATTTATATTTTTCTGAGAATTGAGCTGCCTTTTAGGATGTCTGTTCTCTGAATGCGTTTATAGTTACAACTGAAATTCAAAGCTAATTACTAATTTTGAATATTAAGTAGTCTAAAGCTGGATTAATAATTTGAATCCAAAGAAACCCCCTGGCTACAGGCCTGTCTCAGACAAAAATTGCATCCTAGAAAAAAGTCCAACTGCATACAAATACCTATGCATCTTACTGTATATAGTCTCCATAAACATCATTGTAAATATAAGCACTTGGCATAACAAGACCTGATCTTTTTAACAGTTACTCAACCATGCCAATGCCTTCACTATCTGCATGTAATATTTACTTAGAGCTCTTCCCAAATAGATTCTTCTTGCTAGACGGTTTTTCATTACCAGCCTGTAAATAAAACAATTAACACAGTCAAGTGACAGCCGTTTGTTTACAGGTAAATAAAGAAGACATTATATCAGATGTTATTGGACCATTTAAGTGTAAATGTCAGATTAAAACATAAGCACAGAGGCCACCCACAAATGACACAAACCAACATCAAAATCACCTGGCACTGCTACCCTAAATTAAATGAAGAAAAGAAGGTTTTCTGTGCTTGCCAATCAATTCCATACACTCAGATTCATTTGCCATCACTTTTCAAAGTATAAAAAGTATATATATGCATTTAGATATCACATGCATTAAAATTAACAAATTTGCAACAGTACATAATTCATAACTGATAAACTGGCAGAAAAATAGTGAAAAAGTGGTGCATCTTCAGTCCTCTACTGCTATAAATCATGAATAAAGACATACTATTACTAAGAATGACTCGATCTTCTTCCTTCTTACCATCTATCTGCACTGAGCCTACAACTGACTAAATATAATAACAGACAATATACTTGCCAATAATTTAGCTCCTAGTAACATCTTAGCTTTGTCTTCCTCCTGCTGAACATCTGTGACTGGAGCTTCATCAACAAGAGCAGCTACTCTGGAACGCATATGCAGCTTCTGCTTGATAGCCTAAAAAAGCATGCATAAAACAAAGGCTAAATTATTAGGAGCTTTATATTTCTTTGAAGTTGCTACTCTCACACTTTTCATATCATAAAAATGGTGTGAAAAATTCATCATTTGAGCACCCATGAGAAAAATTAATAAACTAAAACACACACACACACAAATTATATATATATAATATATATACAGAAACACATGAAATTCTTTCCTCAAAATGTCTGTTTAAATCATATAAAACCCTTTTGTGCTTTTTATCATCTTGTATACATTAAAAGGTCTCATGATAGTTGAACATGTTCCTCTGTCCAGGAATGAGGGCGACTAAAGCAAATCAACAAACATCTACGCCATCTCCAGTCTAGACCATATGACCAGAACCAGATAGAGGAGCAATGTCTAACTGATTTATTGATCAAACACAGATGTTTTACATGGACAGTGGTTCAGAGAGGAAATTACTAATAGATAACCCATGGTCAGCAGTGAGTTGCAAGTGGAAAACTCTGCTGGTTTCATAAGTCATATCCTTTGTGGAAATACAAGATGAGTTTTATCTTTTGATATTTATGTTCTTAATTATGCTGAATTTCCTATCACGCCACCATTTTTTCAAATCATGCCACATTTCAAGCAACAGCATGTTTACACAAGATAAAGATTTTAACTACATTTCAATCCAGGACCACCGACTCTGAACCTAGAGGAATAATAGAAGCTAAATACTGAACTGTATTTCAAACCTGAAATATTTATTACTTGTTGCCTGAAAAGGTATGCCAGTAATTAGGAGATGTGAGCAGACCAAATTCTAGTTAAATGTAAAAATTCTAGTTAAGCGTATAAATTTCACAAAAGTTCTGTGCATGAGAAACTGGATAAATATCTGCAGTTGAAAAATACATCTGCAGTGACAACAACTGACTTATACATTCTCAAACACATGACCTTTATTTCATACAGTTCTGACCTTAAAACATTAACTCCTACCTAAATTGATGAGTAAAAGGTTCAAATGGTAACTACCCAGTATGAAGAGAAAATCTTTCAAATGGTGCATGGGTAGGCTTATTACACCATTGTGTAGTAACATACATTCTTCCTTTACATTTGAGAGAAAAATTTAAATTGTTGGATCATGTTTATAACTTATCCCACATGAGAAGAATGACTTGCTAACTACATAACAGCTGTTTACTCAAACAACATTCACAAGAAATGAAAGCCAAAATCAAGAGAAGGATAATCATGAAATGCAACAATGAACAAATTTAAAACAATCGGACCTATCAAATTCTATCAAGCAAATAAACACTGAAAATTAAATTGCAATATCCTCATTAGGCCTACACTTCCCAATAGCTAAGCAGGCATTTTAAACTCATATACGAGGTGCTTTTCTACATGTTCTACCCCATGTCTTCCCTCCTCCTGCATACAATTTTTTTTTCTTAATGAATAAAAATAAAAAATTTTTTCATAAAAGTGACCATGTGCTAACTGTGACATACAGTACAGTACTACTGCACTGTAATAAATGATCATCTTTACACAACTTGAACTTCCTTCACAAGAGAATTATCTTAGGATGAAATTTATTGTCAGTTGGGTCTCCCTGCATTCTTGCCGTTTGATACTGTGTGTTAAACTAATTGTGATAATTACTAACTAACTGCCAACAAAGCATTTTAATCATATTTCCCATAGCAGTATTTTATTGGTATTTCCTTAATTTTAATTGAAACATTTTGAAATAGTGAGTTGGGCTAATTTGAATTTTTGGTATTGAAAAAAATTTGAATTAATAAAATAACTATACCTGACTATGAAAGTCCTAATTAATTCAATCACAATTGACTAAATCAAAAAAGTAAGTGACTAAATCAAAGCTGTTACATTAATTCACATTTAGTAAGTTATTTAATCAGTACCACATCATGTGACACATACTGTCACACCAGAGCAGATCTAAATTATGTCTAGTTTTAACAGATCCTTTAGCATATCCTTCCCTTCACAAGAAATTATTGTTGAGTGACCTTAAAGTTTACCCATACCATAAGACAAGTCCCAGATAAATGTTATTACCTGTGACAGTAATACCCGCTTGCTGTCATTTTTCATTGCCATCAGTAAGTCCAACCAAGTCCAGGTCTGATTGTGATATTCCAGAGTAGGCAAAGTGAGCCCAAAGTCATGGACATCTTCAATATTCTTTTCTTTCTCACCCTTAATTCAAATTTATGTCATCAAATAAAAAATTTAAATAAATACATAAAAAGTTGGCAAAACCTGCTTTCATTTTTCTCAGATGGTTACATCTGTTGCAAATAAACATATCATTGTAACACTATATTACTTATATAAACTTTTATTACACATTTGTATTTGAAAATTTATATATAACTTGAATGACATAACAGTAATCACGGTGATTTCATTAACAGATTCTTTTTCCTGAAAAAATCAAACCAAAACATTTAAGAAAACTGTTTTACCTTGTAGCTTACTCTAAGAGGCACCTCTGGTATTTTAATGTAGAGGAACATGTTGTTTTTCTCAGCTCTTTCCTGGAATCAATCAAACAACAGCATGTTGCTAAAATAAAGCTTAACACTTTATTCATGTGTTTTGACTTACACACAATACATCTGGTTCTTTGGTTGTTAAAATTAAACTGACAAGGTAGGGCTAAATAATTGACACGTGAACCCTGTATGTGGGTGGCGTGATAAATGTTAATTGGCATGTATTTTCATAGTGAACTAAAAGAAGATGTTTTGAAACCGAATTAGATCTACATACCGTCATTTTTTCAACAACATCATGGTTTGGCTGGGTTACAGATTGGCTTCTCTTGACAGAGGCTCTCTTTCTCTGTGGTGATGTTACAGTGGTGCCCTCTGGTTTGCTTTCATCACCTGAATCAAATATTTTCCGGTAATAACAAATCCACTGGTAAAATATTAAGATACAAAATATGAATAATCTGTTTGCAGGTGAAGCTTAGATTTGATGAGAACTACAATTCACAGAAATATATGTATGGCTATACCATATATATTATTCGTTTAAAGATTATGAACTCCCTAAAATTTATTATTAAAAAGTTTTATACCTTGATGCTCCTCAGAATCTATATTCTTGCCAGGAAAAAAGAAGCCCATCATGGTTTTGAAAAATTGGTAGGTCAACTGTAGTGTGATGGGCACAACATTAATCTCAAAATGCTCTTTCACAGGTATACCCCCAACTATAATAAATAGACGACAGTTAAAAGGAAATGTCAAAAATAAATAAAAACAACTAAAAACTTTAAAATTGAACAAAATACATCTTAACTATGATATTTCTGCAACATTTTAGTTCACATTGGTATTATCATTATAAAATTATTTCGTATAATTCATATAATGATGATTAATTCATGCTAAGTACCTGGTCCTTTTTCCCTACAGAAAATCCTCAAGGTCACTTGCCTCTGCTGACCACCCTCATTTTTCCCTGATAGACATTGTGGAACAAGCACATCCTGAGTAAAATATTACCCCATAATTATACTAGAACAATTTTTTCTATGTAAATATTGCTTCACTTTTATTAATATACTGACTACATATATGCGTTTAGACATTCAGCTGTCTGTATTTCCTTCCGCCTGGCTCCTATGTTTTTGTAAACATTAAGTACACTTTAAATAATATGGAAAATAGATGATTGCATACCCTGTAAATTGAGTTGGGGAGCAAATTTGTCACTTTCACATAGCCAAGCTCCAGTAAATGGGCCCCTGAGTCATCGCTATTGTTTACCTTATGATAGCTGAAAGAACAGCACATGAATATAATTAAAAGATTTGCAATTAAGAAACTAATGGAGAATACAGCAATAAAATGTTTTTGTATACAAAAAAATCCTTTAATTTATTTGGAACACATTATTCCATAAGCTGCTCACAAGTAATGGCATACATCATAAACTATAAAGTGAAATTTTTCACAAGTTCATTAATCAAAATTCCGGCTTATTACATAAAATTTCTAAGGACTAGGTCTGCCATTCCTAGCTGGCCATCTGTTTCTGTCAGTCTCCACTGTGCATGCATAAAGCAGACTTCATTATGGCGAACTACCACTGCTTCTTGGGCTAAACAATAAGAAAGTGATAAGAAAATGTTATTAAAGTTTGTATTTGAAATTTTAACATTTAACTTTCTATCCACATATGTAGTTTCATCTATCTGAATATAATGCTTGAATTTTGAATGTTAAAATATGATGCTTGGTGTAGATTTAAAAAAAAAATCTTTCTACAATGTTCACAAGGCCAATTAATAACATAACACTGTAATACAGGGGCTGTTCACTTTTACTGTTTTCATCAAAAAGTAAATAATAAGGTTGTTTGTCATACCTTTAGAGGACTTCAGCTGTGATACATCTTGTAATTGACTTTGGGTAAAACAACTGTAAGAACAAGAAGAATCCTGATAAGAGATCATTTTATGGTTGCTCAAGTTCAATCAGCAAATACCGGGTATCTACAATCTTTTTATCAGTTATTTCTACAAAATCTTTGATACTGAAAATCAAGTGTAAAATCAAATGTCAAGTGAGAAACAGTTGATTTACAATATGATAAGATGAATTGATTGTGATAATTATACCCATATACGCGCCTCTCTGCAGCAAGCATTTACTGATTTGATAAGAATCGAAAGATGCATTCTGATAAATGAAGAATTGGAGTAAAATGCTTCCAGTGAGTAATGACCAGAATAGATCTGGTTTCATGGTGGTTAATTGAATTGTTTGACACCATTTCAGGATATGTTTCTCTCTGCACAGCGGTAATCAACAGCTACCCATCACTTAAAGGCCTCCCTTGGAAATTATCACCTCTTTAGGAGGTCTTTCAGGTGTCACTCTACACAGTATAAGGACAGTATTGAGGCTCAGTGGTGATAAGTGGACCATGCTTTATACAATTTACAGATTACAAACTGAAATGAACATTTTTTCTGTCCCACAAATAAAAAAAAGGAGAAGAAAATAAATAAAAAAAAAAACAGATTAAAAAATTTACAGAAAATTTTGACAATGATTTTTTACTATCATTACACAAGATATATTGTTCCACTGAAATTACACACTGTTATCAAATTTCGATGTAATCATAAAACTTAGTTGAATATATCTCAAACCATCACAAAAAATATTGATGTGAATTATACACAACCTGATCATAATAGTCAGCTCCTCATTAGCAGTAATCAGCTGGTCTTTGCATTCATTTATCTGCCTTTCAATGGACTGCATTTGATCCTCATCAAAATCTCTGGAAAGGGACAACAGATTAAGATTAAATATTTCTGTGTCTATTTGGGACTATATTATATTAGATTTATATTTTAAATGTAAAAGGTAAAACTTGCAATTGTACTGAATTAGTGTATAAAGAAATTAATCACTTTCCATAGTTCATTTGTTTTTATCTCCATTTGGTCTTTTCTGGAAGGTATTGTTAATGACAGATGAAGAAAACAACAAATGAATTATGGGGTACCACACCCATCCAGCAAATTTTCTTTTTATATTTTTATTGAGTGATAGTAAACCTCTGACTTATAAGGAGAGTAAACTGTATTTTAACTTGTTTTTATCCTAATTTGGTACCTAATTTTTACTCCACTTTTAAAGGGATAGAAAAGTCAAATTTTCAAAAAAAGAAAAGAAAAGTTAAGTATCACTCACATTTTTAAAAGCATGTGTTTTTACATATTATATTTTTTGGGATTTGGACTTTTCTTATCCTTCACAGCCTTTTATTATCATAAATACTTAAATTATAATATAATATAAATTTTATTAATTAATAAATACTTTTATTATGTTCTGTTGTTCTGTTTAGTCCTTAGCTTTTAAGGGGAAAACTATTTATAACATAAAATACAATAATTCTGAAAAGTATGAAACTATCATAACTGAATACATGGTTTTACTTTGTTGAAGCTTTTTGTGCCCCATGGGGAAAAAAGGAATGGATCTTTGGTGTAGATAAATGTAACAAAAATCTGTAAGATCTAGGTTTACAATGATTAACGGTCAGATAAGTTTTTAAATTATCCAAAGAAAATATATTACTGAAAAAAGCATTAGATAGCATGGTATTATTGTTTAATAGGCTATTTCCAATATTCATTTTGAGTGAATGCATAAGCTAACAACTTTCTGTTAAATTCTCCTAACAGTGAATAGCAAAATATAAAGTCACTTAAATTTTCTATAGCATTTGTTTCCAGTATGAGTGAGTCCAGATGATGTGTAAAATTTTAATACTGATTCCAGTTTTTGGCAAGATGATAATGGGGTATTCCATAAATTATAGAATGATAATTGACTGCCAAAGCACAGGTGTACCTAGGTGACACCTGAATAAAAGAACTGCCATCCTCATTTACTGAGTGTTTATCTGTCCTATTACATCTGACAATTCTTCATCATTTTATATAAGACCTTGAATATCTGAGAAAAAAAAACAGAAATTTTTGAAATTTAATACTATTTTTGTTTTTCCAATGCTAATGCTCACATGTTTTCAAATGATTTTCTGATATGTTTATGTTTAAGTATTTTCCACAAAAAGCGCACTAGAAATTTATTTGTTGAAAATATACCAGTAAAATTACCTTACATTATTACAATATCATAATTTCCACCATGGTAAAATTTCTATTGCAATTAACTGACTATTTGCCTTGACCATAGATAAAAGCCTCTCCTTATAAACAACACAACATGTGGCCAACAAAGATTTTCAATTTTATTGCAATCTTAGGCAATGCTTGCAATAAACATATAGTTCCAAGTGAATGATTTCCTATGCCCACTCACAAATTGGAAAATTAGGGTGAATTTAAAGTCATAAAAGTTTCAGGAACAATGGTTACCATAAACCATATATTTATTCTATCAGGTATGCCTGCCTACCTGCAGTGAAAAGGCCAATTTGAACCAAGGGACAATCCCCCCACAGGGAGACAAAACACAGCACAAGGCAAGTGGAACAAATCTGGTTGCATACCTTAATTGCAGTGAGATAGGCTTGTAATGGCTATTCAATCCAGGTTTGTGTCCAATTTGGGGGCCTATTGTTTCCTGTTGACATTAGTGATGGCAGGTAAAGGTGACAGCCCAGAGGTAGTATAAAAGAAGGTCCCTGAGAGATGGGAGACAGAACTCAACCTGAGAGTGTTCAGGAATACAACACTTGAGAGGTGATGGGAGATCAATGGACAGTGGACAGCCAACAGCTGATACAGGTAAGCCTTACTACACAGTAAAATAATTTCAGAACTTATTTCTTTTAGCGTTCATTTTAGAACTCATTTCTTTTAGTGTAAGTTCTGTGGAGATGGATAAAGTGAGAGAAACAGCTAAAAAGCTGCCATGTGATGATTATAGGAATAGCAAATGAAGAAATTTTGAAGTTGTAAGATTAATTTTGAACATTGTCTAACTCATCTTGAAGGTCAGCTGTGATGGCAAAGGCATATTGTGGAAGATGGAACAGTGCAAAAAAGTTACATTTGTTAAATGTTAGGACTGTTAATTTTGCATACATATATAGCTTACAAAGACCACCCAAAATTAAATATGGAGAAGAAAATTTCATTGCAAACAAATGTTTTTTATGATAAAAAGCATGTAATGTCCTGTTATCTTTTGTGTGCTGGTGATGATTTGAACTAGCACCAAATGATGTCAGGGCACAGCATGCTAACAAACTTCAATGAAAAAAGGAATTAATGTATTTAAAATAAGGAAAAAAATGGAAAAAATGTTTCTCTTGTGCTTTGGCACCAAAGGAGTGCTGGCTTTAAAATATGTCAGTTCTTATTGATGTCAAAACACAAGTTTACTTTAAACAGCTTAGTTGTCTAGAAAATTCAAAACTGTGTCAGAAAAACAGGAAAATAGGAAGTTATGTCTACTAAAAAGGGAGAGATTTCACCCATCTTGTACTTTTGGCATGCTAGGAGTGGCTGGGTATAAAGTCTCCGCTGCTACTAACTGCTAAACTTGCCTGATGAGGACAAACACCATATTTTATAGACATTTAAGAGAATATGTATATTTACATAGAATAAACTTTCATGTTGTGGCTAATTGCACGAGTTATGGCCGGCATATTAAATGACTGCCAGCCATCCTGGTGCATTACTCTACAAATGAAACATCTACAGTGTACTTAAATAGATTACAACTTTTCAGACAAACTAAACTGGAAACCTGTATGTGCCAAGCCCTGCATAGAATTGGCATATAAGAAGTGGCTGGTTATTACAAACTTTCCAGCTCTTCTTGTTGTCAATCCTGTTCTATGGCTCAAACAACTGTATACATCTAGGGTGTGCTGAAACATATAACATGCAGCTTTCCGACGGTGAAGTTAAATACAAAATGTACTGGTCTAATCTACTCAGATTTGGCACCAAAGGAGTGCTGGCCTCACACACATGCCTGCATCTTATGGTGGCAATACTGATTGGTGAACATGCATCTTGTTTACATTGGATACTTCTAGGAAAATGGATGGATAGAAGATTTAAAGCAGAAAAAAACTTGTGGAACGTTTTCTAAGAGTCATGGCATCACATGAGTGCTAAGAGTAACAGCATTAGCACTTTGTGATGTCAAACCTTTTGGAGAATTAAAACTACAGAAAAAATTCTATGGGATACATACTGCACTACCTAAGAGAATGTGCATTGCAGTCCAGATTATCATAAAATGACACATCCTAAAAGAAAGAGGAAGGAGAAGAAAACACCAATTTGGGACACAGAATCTAACAGTATCTATTTGCTGGCAACTTTTGTGTGCTGGTTTGATGGTAACCTACTAGCACCAAAGGATGTCGGGGGAGTGATGCAACATAACTACAAACCTGTCTTCTTCCCAGGCCTCATCTGGAGTCCTCTGCAGCATGTACAGCTCTCTTTCCAGTCGTCTCAGTCTAAGCACAACCATCCTAGTGTTATAAAGCATTGCAAGTAAAATAAAGGGAAATAAGAACATAACTCATTCTGATTAAATGGAAAAGTTGTCAGCTACATTTTTCATTGATTCTTTGACCATGAAAGAGTTTCACTATGAACAGCCTGTTATATTACCTTACTGTTTCTTGCAATTGAAGGATTGGTGTTCTTTGATCCTCATCACTGGCTAATTGTAACTTGAAACGCATCCTTTTTAATCTTTCGCCAGCTTCCTACATTATTAAAAAAAAGTATTCCTATTATATCTGCTAGGTAAACTGGACAAACCAAAACAATTTCTATAGATGTAAGTGAATGCAAGAGAATTAAGAAATTGTCTAAAAGGAAAACTTTCTGAGAGAATCTCACTTTCAAACATTTTTAATATAAAACTTCTTGAAAGTAAATTGTTGAAAGTAAATTGTTGAAAACATTAACTACATATGTTAACAAAAAACAGCCAATTCTTTTGCTAAATCTCCATCAATTTTGTTCTCCAATGTAAGTAAGGTCAAGCACTAAGGTGCACTTAAGGTCAGCTTCTTTGTTCTAACCTTCTTCTTTGGGTCAACATATAATAATAAGTTGTTGACAATGTCCAATATCATGGCATACTGGAGCTGAAACCAGACAAGCAGACATAATAACACTAGTATTTGGTGGGAAGGGCAAACAAAGGGGAGAAATTCATGTAAACTGCCTTAATCCTATGGAGTTACTCTCACCTGACTAGGACAGAGGATATGGCTTATAAGACAGGTATGTGGAATGAATAGACTAATCACTGAGGTGAGTGAAAACTCCCATTTGCACCTTTTAAATGGCCAATTTACAAAACTGGTTTCTTTAGAAAGGAAACTGAGTAAACAGTTAACAGGGTACTTACAGGATTAGTGCATATATTTAAGTCATGATGCAACAGTGTAAAGGCATCCACTCCCTCTTTAGTTTCCAACATGTCATCTGAATCATCTGAGGACTTACAGTTAAAAAGAAGCATAAATATTTATTTTATGTTGTCTATGTAAGCCATTACACAAAGCAAAGACATTGCATAACATGGGTTGGTAATTTCTTTCCAAAATGGTAAATAATCCATCTGATAATGTTACATAGAGTATCAGTGCATATCTTGCTTATTGTTATTCAGTAAAGTCGTTTCAAAGTTTCTCTTATTACTGCATCTGTAAAACTTACAGGTAATGGAACTTCTGCCACTGAATTTGGATCTACTTCACCATAACTGGCATAGAAAAATTGACACTTGCAACGGGATATGATTCTCTGGAGTTGGACACCTTCTGATACATCCACCTATAATTAAAGAAAGTCAGAGATATGCCTGTGACCATATTTCATTCAAAAATTTTCTTCATGATATTTTTTTGGAATATATTTCAATTCTCTTCTGTCTCTAGGTATACTTACCTCCCCTGTGCTTCCCACGTGACTGCTGACCACCCCTCCCACACTGAGCCCACTGCCCACCATCTCTGGGGTGCCCTCGGAGTCCACTTTCTCCTCAATCTCTATATGCTCTCTGGACACCCAGAATACATCATCATCTGTAGCTTCAGCTCCTGGGTCCACTGTGGCATAGTACTGTAATGAAAAGATTATTTTTGAAATCTGGCCTGTATATTCATAAAAAATACGATTTAACAGTTGTATAGTTCTGATAAAGAAGACAAATACAGTATTTCCAAAATGAAAGTCACATTTTAATATGAACTGAGGTCTGCAATTCTCCCAATCAGCATACAATGGTAAAATGCTCACTCACCTGCATGCAGTCAATCCCTCCTACCCATGTTGTCTTGCTCTTCAGTTCTCCATCCTTCCAGATAGGCTGGTGGAGACAGGACCATATCTGGGCCTTGGCTGCACTGACGATTACATAACCAAGTGTCTCACAGCCTTTGATCATCATCTGGCTGTTCTGGAGCTCAACTAAAAGTACAATAAGTGTTTCCAATCATATTAAACTCTCCAGTGATCATCCTAATCGGGTATTGTACAGGCTTATTTATTTCTCTGTCTTTAAGTTGTCCTATAATGAAAAAAATTATATATATTATTAAATTAAATTTAATGTATTCTTTGACAGAAGTACTTACTGAACCAATTGTTACTGATCACATCTTTGCTCTTACAAGCTGCAATTCCATGGAGTTTATCTACCTGGCCTCCAGCAGACTGAGAAAACTGAAAGATTATTAAAACAAACCTCTTAAAGCATGCCCTAGCTGCTACTAAAGAAAGCCTGGCTCCAACAAATGAATGTTCAAATGCCTGCATAGTTGTACATCTAAAGAGAATTGAACAACATTCAGAGGTGGGTTTTTGTTGTCAGTAAAGCATAACCTCTAGACCAAAAGTCAGAAAACTATTCTATCACAAAAAGGATCAAAACCAATCAATTTTTTGCAAGTTCAAAACAGAGGAAAGTCTCTACCTCATCCGTGTATACAGTAAACTTGCTATCAGACTCTTGCACCAGTTTCTCTAGCATAGAGTGTGCATGTCCTGACTGTATCCTGGACAGTGGGCTGGGGGTGACCTGGGTGCCGGGCTGGGCTGTACCACCCCCTGGGGTACCTGCTGTCATGGACATGGCACGGGTCTTCTGCAATTTAATTTTCCATCCATAATTTAAATTTTTTTTTGGTTAATAATTCAAATAATCTTTCTATTAGTGATATAAAACTATAGATATTTTGAGCTAATAATCATTAAAAAATAAATATTTCTTTTCAAAATAATTAATTTTTAATTTTGATTAAGATGATGTAGAACTAAATAAACTTTTGTTTAAAATATTCAAAATTCAATGATATTTTTCTACTGTTAACAAGACTTACCAAAGGTGTGGGTGAATTCTCCACTTTAAATCCTTTGAGAGCTTCAGATGAAAGGTTCCTTCTTAAAGCTTGTGCCTTTTGGTAGGCATCAAACAATCCAAACACAGTGTTCCTGTTGCTCTTACTCCAAGCCCCCTTCATGTCAACTATTTGCACTCTGTGTGTGAATTTTTGCTGTAAACAAGTTAATACTGGGTAGAATCTAATAATAGTTATTTTCAGAACAAAATATATCCTGCAGCAGTTTTGGCCTGAGGATAAAATGTAGCTTGTGAAAGATTACTCACTATGTGGCTTAAGGTTTTTTCTCATTTTTTTTAAACATAAAGTCAATATTTCTAATTCTAATATTAATTGTAAGATATTAGTCAAGATACAATACCTTTTCAGGGCTATCTTGTTCCCCTTCTTCTGTGTGTGCTTTAATATTGGCACAATTGTCTCTTCCGTAGCTTACACTTGAAATATAAAACAATCAAAAGTGAATTTATATTACAGACAACAAACAAATAATAAATGTTCACACAGCCTCAAAATCTGTTTACAGATCCTTATAACTATTATTATTTCTCAATTCCTAATGATGAATTATTGAGAATTCAGAAAGATATCCACAACATAATGTAGGTTTCTTACCTTGTCACGCTCAAGAAATAGCTTTTTTTGACTGGCTGTCCAATAAGAGAAACATTCAGCTGCAACAAAAAATTATAAGATAAGTATCATAAACTGAGATGCAGCTGAGATAAAAAAAAAATAGTGCAAAATTGGTGCATACTTCATGTATGATCTCACCTCTTCCCCTGCACTTGCTGAACACAGCCACACCTTGGCGTCCTGCAGGGTCACTGTCTGGCTCTGTATACTCCAGTTGGCTTGGGGTCTGTGGATCAAACCATCCTCTACTGGTTGTAACTGAAGGTTGAAACCTGCCAAATGAAATAAAAATATTCACTTGGTTTGGTTTTTTCTCTATCAAAATAATCTTCCAAAATGTCTAGACATTTAGTATCACATCTTTGCACTTAACTTTCTACATGTTACAATTGTGGATTCTGAAATATTTGGTTTTTACTTTGCAATTTTTTTCTACTATTTCAACCAATACTTTAATGTAGTGATATCTATATCTATTTCTAAGTTACAAATAAACAATAAATCACCTGAATTGAGATCAAAGTAGCCACCTTCCATTTCAAAACCATGCTGCTTTGCAGATGACATCCAATAACAAACATGAAATTTATGGAGGTTCATGGATATACAGAAATTCCTAGGAAAATAAAAGGAAAAAATATAAATATTTGCTACTTAATTATCTTTTCTTCAAAGGTGCGATATCAGAATATTATATCTACTAAAATATGGAAGTCTGAATATACATTAAAATGTCTTAAAATTTTTCATCACTTCCTTATAAAATTTGAATGTCATACAATGTCAAGCAGTGTGCATTTAAAACACTTAGAATTCAACAATCAACTTACTGAAAGTGTCTAGTAAATTGCAGCTTTTTAGGCTTCAGAACAGCATCATACAAAGGTCCTCTTCTTATGGGTCTGGATACACTGGCTAGAATCATCTGATAAATTGCAAAAGACATAGCTTGTTTGTAAGTTGCTTATTTCAATAAACTCTTTTACATAAAATTTAGTTTTAAGATACTTCATGGCTGAAAATTAAAGTGCAAGAAGGAAAATTTTTATCAAATATCTGGAAACATCTGCAAGGTCAACATAAGTGGGACACTATCTTGTCTGAGTAAAATTTTGGTTAAAAATCAACCTAATCATACCAAAATTAAGTTTAGCGTATCCTACCTTAATTTTGTCCATCCACCTCAAGGTACTGGCAAAAAAGATGCAGCTTGGACTTTCAGTAACCACACCTGCATCATGAGTGGTTTTAAAACTCATGGTCATGTTCAACTTCTGTGATCTGAAAGCCCTATAAGAATCATGCTCCTGAAAGAAAAATCATTATGGTACATTAAGTGTTAGCCAATGACAAGAAAATATGGCAACAATGCAAAGTAATATGTCAAAATAAAGACATCATACAACAAAATACAGGAAGCATTATATCCTCATAAGAGGTTTTCTTATATTCCATCTAATGAGCTTCTTCTTACCTCTAGTGAAAATTCTGGGACCTTGTCTGGAGCACAAGGCATGACAGCATGGTGATCATTTGGGTTACCAAGACACAGCCATTCGAGCTTAATGCTGAATAGGAAAAGTGTAACTAAATTTTCCAAGAGGCACAGATTAATTTTTCATAATGAAACAATACTTTGCGGTAACTGAAGTTCACTGTTGACAATCCTCTAGATAAGTATCATTTTTAACAATGAAATAATTTACAAGTTTCATCTACAAATTGTTTTTCGGTTTTCAAAAAAAGCAATGACCAGCAGATTCAATTTTAAAATCAGATGAGTAAATCGAATGCTCACACTTGCTATATACATATTTTTCCCTACTTTATACCATTACCAACTTACACATATCTCAGGTTTGGCAGATGGAGCAGTCTGCAATCATCATATTTAGAGGCTGTTCTGGCTGTGATATCAAGATCTCCTTTTAGTACCCATTTGGCTAATAATAAGAATAATAACACTATGTCACATAAGTATTATAGTGGCAAATTTGTTTGAGGTGTTGACAAATATGTTACTATTTCCGTTGTGTTTACATTTAAGTGCAAGTACAAGATAAAAGCAACTGGGTCTCCCTTATCAAAATAAAACAAATCCTTTTCATCTACTACTTTAAAATCAACACAATTTGAATACATCAAAATCCAAATAATGGGCTAACCATTAGTCCATTCAAGCCCCATCTTGTTCCAGGTCCAATCCATGAACTCTGTTGTATTATGTGGATCAAGAGAGGCATGATACAGCCAACTCATTTGCTCAGCACACATAGTAAGACGGCCATGGAGGAGGAGGCGGATCTTGTCCCAGAAAGGCATAGGTATACTTGGGTCCAGAGATGGCTTATTGATCAAATCAAGGGCTCTGTTGGTCTGAGCAATAACAGGCTCCCAGCAGGCACCATAGGCCATGGTGAAGGTTTTTGCATCTGGAATATTCATATAACAAGGTTAAAGGAAACAAATCTACATGAGGTAAATGACACTATTCTTAAGCTTGCACTAATAAATAGAGTTAAAAAATGCACAATACATGGTAAATATTTTAACATTTTAACCTTTAACAATTGAATTATGGTAAATTATAGTATTGAAATTATATTCAGTACAGTAAAGTAAATTATAGTATTATTATAGTCTAGTTCAGTAAATTGTAATTTAAAAACACAAAATAGGGATGTATACCTACCAGCACAAAAATCATGGTAGAACTTTAAAGGTGGCATGCTCCTCTCGACAGTCATGTCTCCCCAAGGAGACCCAACCTGAACAGTGCCTGTTCTTTTTGCTGAAATATATAAAAAACAGAGTTCAATTTCACCCCACCAGTATTTTGCCAGAAGCAATGCAAATGAGCAAAATATGCAGAGGCCCAAATAAATTGAAAATTTTCAATCAAACATACCATTATTAATTTCTTCCTAAGTCATTTTACATTGTATGTTTTAATTCTTATANACATAAGTGGGACACTATCTTGTCTGAGTAAAATTTTGGTTAAAAATCAACCTAATCATACCAAAATTAAGTTTAGCATATCCTACCTTAATTTTGTCCATCCACCTCAAGGTACTGGCAAAAAAGATGCAGCTTGGACTTTCAGTAACCACACCTGCATCATGAGTGGTTTTAAAACTCATGGTCATGTTCAACTTCTGTGATCTGAAAGCCCTATAAGAATCATGCTCCTGAAAGAAAAATCATTATGGTACATTAAGTGTTAGCCAATGACAAGAAAATATGGCAACAATGCAAAGTAATATGTCAAAATAAAGACATCATACAACAAAATACAGGAAGCATTATATCCTCATAAGAGGTTTTCTTATATTCCATCTAATGAGCTTCTTACCTCTAGTGAAAATTCTGGGACCTTGTCTGGAGCACAAGGCATGACAGCATGGTGATCATTTGGGTTACCAAGACACAGCCATTCGAGCTTAATGCTGAATAGGAAAAGTGTAACTAAATTTTCCATGAGGCACAGATTAATTTTTCATAATGAAACAATACTTTGCGGTAACTGAAGTTCACTGTTGACAATCCTCTAGATAAGTATCATTTTTAACAATGAAATAATTTACAAGTTTCATCTACAAATTGTTTTTCGGTTTTCAAAAAAAGCAATGACCAGCAGATTCAATTTTAAAATCAGATGAGTAAATCGAATGCTCACACTTGCTATATACATATTTTCCCTACTTTATACCATTACCAACTTACACATATCTCAGGTTTGGCAGATGGAGCAGTCTGCAATCATCATATTTAGAGGCTGTTCTGGCTGTGATATCAAGATCTCCTTTTAGTACCCATTTGGCTAATAATAAGAATAATAACACTATGTCACATAAGTATTATAGTGGCAAATTTGTTTGAGGTGTTGACAAATATGTTACTATTTCCGTTGTGTTTACATTTAAGTGCAAGTACAAGATAAAAGCAACTGGGTCTCCCTTATCAAAATAAAACAAATCCTTTTCATCTACTACTTTAAAATCAACACAATTTGAATACATCAAAATCCAAATAATGGGCTAACCATTAGTCCATTCAAGCCCCATCTTGTTCCAGGTCCAATCCATGAACTCTGTTGTATTATGTGGATCAAGAGAGGCATGATACAGCCAACTCATTTGCTCAGCACACATAGTAAGACGGCCATGGAGGAGGAGGCGGATCTTGTCCCAGAAAGGCATAGGTATACTTGGGTCCAGAGATGGCTTATTGATCAAATCAAGGGCTCTGTTGGTCTGAGCAATAACAGGCTCCCAGCAGGCACCATAGGCCATGGTGAAGGTTTTTGCATCTGGAATATTCATATAACAAGGTTAAAGGAAACAAATCTACATGAGGTAAATGACACTATTCTTAAGCTTGCACTAATAAATAGAGTTTAAAAATGCACAATACATGGTAAATATTTTAACATTTTAACCTTTAACAATTGAATTATGGTAAATTATAGTATTGAAATTATATTCAGTACAGTAAAGTAAATTATAGTATTATTATAGTCTAGTTCAGTAAATTGTAATTTAAAAACACAAAATAGGGATGTATACCTACCAGCACAAAAATCATGGTAGAACTTTAAAGGTGGCATGCTCCTCTCGACAGTCATGTCTCCCCAAGGAGACCCAACCTGAACAGTGCCTGTTCTTTTTGCTGAAATATATAAAAAACAGAGTTCAATTTCACCCCACCAGTATTTTGCCAGAAGCAATGCAAATGAGCAAAATATGCAGAGGCCCAAATAAATTGAAAATTTTCAATCAAACATACCATTATTAATTTCTTCCTAAGTCATTTTACATTGTATGTTTTAATTCTTATATAAGATACTGACACTTTCATAGTGGGAATAAAAAATCACACAGATGTTGGATATAATATTGAATTTACTAATAGATTAAAGTAAAAAACACTTAAAAAATGTTGACCTCTTATGGCTCCCTCCTGTTCTGCTCCTATCAGTTTTCCCCATACAGTGAGATCAACAACATCCAGGCATGGTTGAGGAAAGTCTCGGAGATGAATGGTCCAGCTTTTCACACTGGTATTGACCATACGGCACCAGAGAGTGATGAACTCCAGACCTTCAGCAGGGTATGGACTTAAATAATAATGCCATATAATATTTAAAAAACTAAGATTATTACTGACTTTTTGACTAGAAAGGATCTTACAATGAACATGCACTGTAAAAAATGTATAATGGTGTCAAATGAAAGATTTTCAAGAATGGGTGCTTTTTAATTTATGATAACTCAGAAGTGGAAGGACAGACAAATGCAACACAATGTTACCTATCGTGGTCTATCTCCTGCAAGTGCTTTACTACATTCTCTTTACCATGGAGCGACCTGTCTGCAAGTGCAATTATTTCTAAATCCTGCATAGTCCAAGTGAAAAGTTTAGTTCTCAGAGGTTCCTGATACAGCAACCTTGATCGCTGGATGTAGATTTCCGCATTTTTCTTCTTCAAATTTGAATAAAGTTCTTCAACCTTCCCAGCTGAAAAATATTGATTATTTAAAAGGAATAAAATTCAAAAACAATAAATGTATACATCTATCACCCGTTTATATATCATTATATAACTTTGAAAATAAACCTCTTTCCATGAAGAACAATAGTAACAACAAACTCATACTTACAACAAACTTATATTATGGGGATCAAGATGTTTAATGATTTACAATTAAAAGGATAACTTACATGGTAAAAGACCATACTGTCTTTTCAGCTCAGCTATTTTCCTGTCCAAAGCTGCTTCTCGTTTTCTACTTTCATTGTATTCATCACAGAGCAGCTGAAAGATCGCAGTGTCCCATATTAGTTAAGACCTGCCACAATGGCCAGCATCAGTTTATTTTAAGGCGTTAAAATCATTTAAACATCATTCTTGCTTGAGAATTTACTGATTTATCATAAGACTGCTATGTTTTACAATACTTCTATTTTGCAAAAATGCATTCACCTAACCAGGAAACAAAGCAGCATTTATAACTTACATCATAATTATCTCCGAGCTTCACTTCAAATGGATCATCACTAACTTGGATAGTAAGATTCTGCAATGAGATCAAGAAAATTTAAGTAATCACAAAGAAAGATAAAACATTTCACACATTCATATATATAGAATGAAAATTTAATTCTTCAATCTTTAAGTTAAAATATTTTGCTACTCAAACTTGCCTTTGTAGATAATCTCACATCTGGGGGTAAGGGACTGTCAATTGTAAATGGTCTCTTTGTTTTCTTGTGAATCAGTTTGAGCCATTTGACCATGTTTACAACCTGAAAACAAGAAATGATTTGACAACTTAACTTTAATCAACATGAAGATCTTAAGAATTATACAAAAAGTCAAGGCTAAATACAAAAACATTTCATTTGAATTAATAGCTTTTTATGACACAATTTACATAGGTTATACTCCCAAGCACAGCTCAAGGAGATATAAAATGATCATCAGGCTTACCTCTTCAAAACATGCTGCAAAGTTGAACTTGTTAGGGAATATCACAGAAAAGTTATTGAAAGAGATGTCCCTGGAATGTAATTAACTAAAGTAAAATAAATTTGTAAAAATAACCAATAGGATTTATAAATAACCAACAGGATTTATGTTTGGCATGCTGAAAATGAAATATTTTACAAACAATATTTAAAAAATTAAGTAAAGTAAATATTACTGTGGGCATATAATTTAGAATTATAAAATACAACAGATTTTAATCAATACAGCAACTGATGATCAATCTACAATTTCCAACATAAAATATACTCACAACACTCTGTTGGTTTTCAGTTCAAGGTCTGTTCTTTCAATTTCCAGTGCTTCACTTTTTGGTAAGAAAGATATCACAGCACCCTATCAACATAAACTTTACTTTATTTTTAAATGCACTTCACATTCATAATTATCTACATAATTATTAAATTGCATCATAAGTACTATTCTGCATTAAAATTCCATTAGTACAGGATTAGGCAAGTTAAAAATCTAGCTACACAGGATTAAAACAAAATAAACTGACAATCAAGAACTATGAAGAGTAAAAAAATAAAGCATTTATATACATTCAAACACTTAAAGTGTTTTAGCAAACAGATCAATACTGGTGAGGTCAAATAACTAAAAATTCATCAGAATAATTTTGGTTCTTCTTTGGCTAATATTATTCCTGATCATTACCCGAAGTTTAAAGATGTCATGGTGGTCAAAGGCTACACTGCACACATCCAACTGCATCAATACTTCAGGCAGCTGCACCCTGCCTACAACCTCTGGAGCACTGAATATTATTCTTATGGAAAACAAAAACATATATACATAATTTGCCAATGAGTGTACAATTTTAAAAAATATTTAAGGTTGTAAAAAGTTGATTGAAACTTCACCCAGTTTGTTTGAGCAGAGCTGTGTGTATCGTATCCTTTTTTTTTTTTTAGATGTTGACATATTTGCAACATTACTTCACTGCAATTTTATTGTTAGAAAAAATAACAGATTAAAACTTTTCTAAATTTAATATATGCTATACCTCTTTCCAGATAAATTGGATTTTAAAAAATCACATGCTCAAATGTTTATCGCCCTAAAACAGATATTTACTTACTTGTGTTGGTTTGAGAGCAGGGCACCTAAAACTGTGTTAGCCCTTACTGTGAGTAGAAGTGTGAACTGAGTTTTGGAACTTTTGACTTGCTCAGCAGGCTCAGGGTGGCCTTCTCTAGCCTTCTTGTCTGCTTGAATGAAACAAGTACTAGTAATAATAATTTGTTTAAATGCTCTTGTACCCTTCTAGGTTCATGTTTAAATCATGGAAATTTTATTTTAAAGGTGTTATAAAAAATTCAATAAAATGGTAATATATTTCTGAAGAAACTAAAATAAACAAAACCTTCAACCAAAACAATAAAATNCACTGTAAAAAATGTATAATGGTGTCAAATGAAAGATTTTTAAGAATGGGTGCTTTTTAATTTATGATAACTCAGAAGTGGAAGGACAGACAAATGCAACACAATGTTACCTATCGTGGTCTATCTCCTGCAAGTGCTTTACTACATTCTCTTTACCATGGAGCGATCTGTCTGCAAGTGCAATTATTTCTAAATCCTGCATAGTCCAAGTGAAAAGTTTAGTTCTCAGAGGTTCCTGATACAGCAACCTTGATCGCTGAATGTAGATTTCCGCATTTTTCTTCTTCAAATTGGAATAAAGTTCTTCAACCTTCCCAGCTGAAAAATATTGATTATTTAAAAGGAATAAAATTCAAAAACAATAAATGTATACATCTATCACCTGTTTATATATTATTTTTAAGTATAACTTTGAAAATAAACCTCTTTCAATGAAGAACAATAGTAACAACAAACTCATACTTACAACAAACTTATATTATGGGGATCAAGATGTTTAATGATTTACAATTAAAAGGATAACTTACATGGTAAAAGACCATACTGTCTTTTCAGCTCAGCTATTTTCCTGTCCAAAGCTGCTTCTCGTTTTCTACTTTCATTGTATTCATCACAGAGCAGCTGAAAGATCACAGTGTCACATATTAATTAAGACCTGCCACAATGGCCAGCATCAGTTTATTTTAAGGCGATAAAATCATATAAACATCATTCTTGCTTGAGAATTTACTGATTTATCATAAGACTGCTATGTTTTACAAAACTTCTATTTTGCAAAAATGCATTCACCTAACCAGGAAACAAAGCAGCATTTATAACTTACATCATAATTATCTCCCAGCTTCACTTCAAATGGATCATCACTAACTTGGATAGTAAGATTCTGCAATGAGATCAAGAAAATTTAAGTAATCACAAAGAAAGATAAAACATTTCACACATTCATATATATAGAATGAAAATTTAATTCTTCAATCTTTAAGTTAAAATATTTTGCTACTCAAACTTGCCTTTGTAGATAATCTCACATCTGGGGGTAAGGGACTGTCAATTGTAAATGGTCTCTTTGTTTTCTTGTGAATCAGTTTGAGCCATTTGACCATGTTTACAACCTGAAAACAAGAAATGATTTGACAACTTAACTTTAATCAACATGAAGATCTTAAGAATTATACAAAAAGTCAAGGCTAAATACAAAAACATTTCATTTGAATTAATAGCTTTTCATGACACCATTTACATAGGTTATACTCCCAATCACAGCTCAAGGAGATATAAAATGATCATCAGGCTTACCTCTTCAAAACATGCTGCAAAGTTGAACTTGTTAGGGAATATCACAGAAAAGTTATTGAAAGAGATGTCCCTGGAATGTAGTTATAATTAAAGGTAAAATAAATTTGTAAAAATAACCAACAGGATTAATAAGTCTAATTTTCAATGTTTGACTTGCTGAAAATGAAACATTTTACAAACAATTTAAAAAAATTAAGTAAAGTAAATATTACTGTGGGCATGTAATTTAGAATTATAAAATACAACAGATTTTAATCAATACAGCAACTGATGATCAATCTACAATTTCCAACATAAAATATACTCACAACACTCTGTTGGTTTTCAGTTCAAGGTCTGTTCTTTCAATTTCCAGTGCTTCACTTTTTGGTAAGAAAGATATCACAGCACCCTATCAACATAAACTTTACTTTATTTTTAAATGCACTTCACATTCATAGTTATCTACATAATTATTAAATTGCATCATAAGTACTATTCTGCATTAAAATTCCATTAGTACAGGATTAGGCAAGTTAAAAATCTAGCTACACAGGATTAAAACAAAATAAACTGACAATCAAGAACTATGAAGAGTAAAAAAATAAAGCATTTATATACATTCAAACGCTTTAAGTGTTTTAGCAAACAGATCAATACTGGTGAGGTCAAATAACTAAAAATTCATCAGAATAATTCTGGTTCTTCTTTGGCTAATATTATTCCTGATCATTACCCGAAGTTTAAAGATGTCATGGTGGTCAAAGGCTACACTGCACACATCCAACTGCATCAATACTTCAGGCAGCTGCACCCTGCCTACAACCTCTGGAGCACTGAATATTATTCTTATGGAAAACAAAAACATATATACATAATTTGCCAATGAGTGTACAATTTTAAAAAATATTTAAGGTTGAAAAAAGATGATTGAAACTTCACCCAGTTTGTTTGAGCAGAGCTGTGTGTATCGTATCCTTTTTTTTTTTTAGATGTTGACATATTTGCAACATTACTTCACTGCAATTTTATTGTTAGAAAAAATAACAGATTTAAACTTTTCTAAATTTAATATATGCTATACCTCTTTCCAGATAAATTGGATTTAAAAAAATCACATGCTCAAATGTTTATCGCCCTAAAACAGATATTTACTTACTTGTGTTGGTTTGAGAGCAGGGCACCTAAAACTGTGTTAGCCCTTACTGTGAGTAGAAGTGTGAACTGAGTTTTGGAACTTTTGACTTGCTCAGCAGGCTCAGGGTGGCCTTCTCTAGCCTTCTTGTCTGCTTGAATGAAACAAGTACTAGTAATAATAATTTGTTTAAATGCTCTTTTACCCTTCTAGGTTCATGTTTAAATCATGGAAATTTTATTTTAAAGGTGTTATAAAAAATTCAATAAAATGGTAATATATTTCTGAAGAAACTAAAATAAACAAAACCTTCAACCAAAACAATATAATCCACACACCACAAGTAAAAACAGCTCCAACTTCCATAATTTCTTGTACTGTTTGGAGGAAAGTCATATGAATCCTTGTGTTCCACACTGCATAAACCTCTTCATGTACTCTAAGATCCAACTCCTTTAATAAGTTAAAATTTCATTTTAAATTTTGAAATATGCACAAAGTTGATCAACAAAGGAACTTTACATTAAGATCTTAATACATTTCAAATTGAATAAGAAAACCTTTGTTAAGAAGGTGACATTATTTCTTCTAGTATGTCTCAATTCTATCTTGACTACTTGACTTAATTGCTGATACTGTGAAAAGGAAAAATGGTTTTCTTTAATTCTTGTCTCTCCTACCTATTCAGAATGTATAAAATATCTATCTATCCATGAAGATACATACACATGTTCTCCTCATCACTGAGGTACTTTCAGCAGTATATACCTTTTCATTTGTCTTGAGTGCCATGGATATACTCTTAATATGTCCAATGTAATTGTCCACCTCTGTTGAATTCAGAAGCTGATATGACTGAAAGTTCAGAAAATAATACACCAGATTTTAATCAAATATTTTATATTTATAATAAAAGACTTCCAAAACCCATTTGCCAATTTTATTTGTGTAGCATTTTTTTCAACATATTAACAGAATAATGAGTAATACTAGGCTAGCAGGGACTTTTTATTATTTGTTGTCATAATTTCTCAATTATATCAAAAATATTCAATTCACCTTTCCAGATTGTCTAAGCTGGGAAAGTTTAGCACCAGTAGATGTACAATGAAGCACACCTTCTACACACTGTCCAGATACTTTGTCCAGACGAAACATTGCACAAGCTAAATGAATAAAAAACATCAAATTTAGACATCTTAATTGCACTTCAATTCAGAAAGTTAAATATAGCAAGTCTTCATTAAATTATGCTTTCCACAGAGGTGTTTGTTTAGAACTCATGTTTTTTATACACATCACAAAAAATAAATAGGGCATTCCTCAAGAAGTTATTGATTTCAGTAGTGACAGACAAGACAAGACAAGCCAATATTTGTACTGTACTTACCCAATGGATCACAGCACGTAAAAATATTCACATTTGAGCATTCAAAATTTAGAGTAACACCAAAGAGGTGAGGCTTTTCTCCGCCCTGTGAATGGGAGGCGACTGGTCCAGCAGTCACCTGTCCAACATGAGTGCCTGTTTGCAGCATTTCTCTATGCAGTGAATCCTTTCTAGGAATTCTGGTCACCAGGTCTTGCATCATCCTAGTGATTGAAGCACATATTTTTGGTGACCACTCTCCTTGCATGCCATCCATTTTGTAGCTGACATCTGTATGGCCTGAAGATTTCTGCAGCTGTGTTTAATTGAGATTGTGTAAGTTTTATTTTTTAGGTAAAGGAATTCGAAAAAAAAAAAGGTTTTATGAATTCTTAGACTGACCCTACAGTTCAATCTGAATCAAGTAAAAAAAAAATGGAAGGAGAACCTGTTGTTTAAGAGGTTAATTCTATTATTTTAATCAACAAACTTACATCTGGAGTTGCAAAAGAAGCTTTACTATGTTTTTTTTTTCAATAAAATTACCTTGATTTCGACCTGTGCCAAGTAGAATATACAGTTCCAAATATGCTGCTTTGTGTTTAGTTCAACCAAAGTAATCCTTGGGTCATCAAGGTGGCAGTATGCTGTTGAAATAAAAAGAAGAACATCTGCTTCTTGCCAGGTTGGTAGAAACCCTTCATCTGTGAATATCAAGAATAAAAGTACATGTTAAAGGGATAATAACTCTTCGTTTTGGCCAAAAAATGAATTTTCCTGGAGTAAACAACAATTTTTCCATACTTACCAATGGTTAATGAATCCATTTTTACATTCAAAGTTATTCCCTGGTTTTTTTCTAAACAGTTTGTTTTTTTGTTAAAATCTCTTAAGAGATTATAACTGAGTACAGCCATCAATGGAGGTCACGTGATCTGAAGACAAGCTCAGATATCTGAATAATAGCTATAACTGCCGTTTTTGTGGTAAAACAGAATATGTTATATTTCTATGAGTTGTTCACAATGTTTTTATTGTGAAATATAGATATCACACGAAGAGTTATTATCCCTTTAACATAAATTAACAACAACAACTGAATGGATTTAAAAACAGTATAAAACCAGTTATTTGAATAAAAACGTTTAATTAAAATAGTGTCCATCAATCTATTAAATTGCTACTGGATTATTTAATCACAAAACAATAATACATAAATCACAAAAAAAAAAAAAAAAAATTATAAACTTGACAGGATCAAAACTTAGTTCCACAGCATTACCTGAATGACTATTTGGAGACAAATTCATTGTCAAGTTTGTCTCCACAAGGCCAGCCTTGATACTGTCACACCCTGACATGGTCACTGTTGCCTGCATGTCCTTTACTTCAGCTTCACAGTGTATTGTCTTATTTTTTATAAATGACACAATTCTGAAAAAGAAAATAAAGAATACAGGACACTTACCACATGACATCAAACAAGAAATTGTTTGTAATTTTTAAAAGTATAAATGTGAAATATATAATGGGTCTAGAAAAAAAATCATTTTTCAAATCAATTACTGATGAAAATTGTAAAAAAAAAAATGTGGCAACTCTGCTTACTTGTTTTTCCCTTCAGGTTTTCTTTCAGGTTGTGTTTGATGGATTGCTGGATGACTTGTGTTTGCTGTTATTGCATTAATTTTTCCTGCCCAATAATCCAGTTCTTGCTGATAGTAGTGTATGAAGCCAGATAATACACCACTTTTCAAATGAATCCTCTCTTCACTCACCTAAATGAATAAATATCAAACTTTACACCTAGGCCTTAAGGAAACTGATGATAATTTACCTTCAACCAGCATATTTCTGTTTGGTTCATAGAGACAGCATAGGTATGCTGACAACAGTGGCAAGTATGCAGTGGACTTTATAACTCATAGTGCATACTTGTCAAGCTTCCAAACAAAAAAAATTACAATTTTCAAATCTAAAGTAGAAAAAAAAAGTACTTTGTGAACAAAATGTTTATCTGGAATTATACACAGGAAATGTACAGAGAGAAAAATGCCTCTTTACCTCAATATGGCAATGCAACTTGTTCAAATATCCTATTTCTGTTTTAGGTAAGGAAGCTTGAACACCTGAAATTTAAAAATGGGTGAATAATCTAACAACTAAAATTGAATTTGAATAGAGTTGACAAGGAGGAGATTATGATCATTTTTTAACAAATGAAATAATATTTTCCTTAATGAACCACAAAACTTTTTTATATTGAAAAAAAAAAATTCATAACTCTACACATACCAAGAAAATATTTTGTTATAAAATTGAGTTCTATGTTATAAATATTGACAAACTCTTAAGATGAACATCATAAAAGGAGTCATACATAACACTTTTAATCACAACCTTGTATGAGGCAGGGATTTTCAAAATTCACCTTCCAAAGCCAGTGAAAGGCTTCCAATAACATCTTGCTGTGATAATGCTTTGTTGTCAACTTCTATCTTCATTAATTTCCAGCCACATTTAAGGGTTCTGGAAATACCCATGGACATGATTTTTTCAATAATAATTGAATGAACAATACAAAATCTGCATTTGCAATTTATCTAAGCATTACTTATATATTTCAAAAGGAAAGAAAATGTTGGCCAACGTCATATTGCAATTAAAAAACTGTTGGTTAGTAATATTCAATAAAAAACTCTAAACCATTTTTAATACTCTTTTTAAATAACAAATATTATGTTCAAACTTTTCATTCCTGTGACATGTAGTGTTTCTGATCTCTCATTTAAACCGTTTTTACAACTTATACAGTTCAGATGTTTTAAGCATTGGAATATTTTGCTTATCAAAAATTTACCTTGCTACACCATGACTTTATGTAAAAAGAGAAAGACACGAATCAAAAGGCTGATAACCTTATCCCTCTTCAAAAAAGGCATTTTTATCTATCAGACATTACGTCACATGGTGTTTTCAAATATAGTACTCAGACTGATAAAGATAGAGACATTTCCACATTTATTACCCACATAAAAAAGTCACAGCATGCACTACAGAACAACATAGTCATCAATAATGTTGTCTGCCTTTTATTTTAATAATGCAGGCCTTTAAGTTAGACTAGCTCTTAGCACCATATAAAACCTGTATCATTATGCTGGCTTTATGTGTATTTGTGAAATAAGTGGAAACTCATTTGTGGGTATTATTCATTATTAAAAGACAACAATAAAATGGATGATTTTTCATACCAGCATCAGTTTTAACATATGGAAATACTGCAATATTGCTCCTTACCTTTCACTTACGTTACTAGCAAGAGTTAATGCTGTTTCAGATATTTTGACACACATTATCTGAAAAAAAAATGAAGTAAATAATTGAATGAAAAACCATTACTTTATGGGCACATTATGGTAAACTATAGATGGGCATCACTATAAAGAACAATTAATGATTAATGTCATTAGAACTGTGTTATATGTTATATTAGAATAATCTACAGCATGCCACTATATAATTGTAAAGATGAAAAATGACAAACCTATGAAAGATAACTACTAACTGTGTTTAACATTATATTTTGACATTCCCTCAGTGGGTCACAACTAGCGTTGATAGTATCAATGCCTAGCAAAAAATGTTAAAAGGAAATGCTTAAAAATGCTAGATATCTCTTCATTGACAAAATCTTATACATCTAATTGAATTAACTTAGGTGATGTTGGTTCATTTAAAATGTGTATTTTCTATAACAGAAACAATTGTAACAACGAAAAAGAAGTCAGTGTCTTTTTACCTTTGGTATAAGATGAATCAATGGTGTTGCTGAAGACTGAGATCCCTCAGTAGATTCTGTTTGCATTTGATCTGAAAGTTGAAATTATAATTAAAACAAGTCTTTTTAATTTTCATTGCCATTTTATTTCCCAGCATAATCTTTGTTTGACACATCAGCTTAAGTGCATGTGTATATCCTGTATGTGGAGAATCACTTACTTTGCTGTTCAGTTTGGACTCCATCTGTAGATTTACTTTCTTTTATTTTGCTCAGTAAATCTGAAATTAAATCTGAAATTACAGTTTAACAAAACAAATAACATAAAGACTTTATATTAAATAATTAATGTAAATACGTTTCTATGAAAATATGGTTTGAAGTCTTGGTACAGTCTGATCTATAAAACCTCACCAAAATCAACTAAAGTTATTTACTGCTATTGAGGTTCTTTCATTGTGTATTTATAAGCATTAATATGTCTTGATTTAGGACAGGGTAATGATAAAAATAGTAATGGGCACTACTTATAAAAACAAACATACAGAAATTTTGCACCACTACAGTACCTTCAAACAGTGTTAAACTTGGGTCGTGTACTACAAGTTTCAAAAACTAAAAAGAAATTAAAAATATAACAGAACATTTTGCATAAATGAATCCTGCCATGCAGCAGGTCTCATAAATACATCAAATAGACTAGAGCTGAGAAGAAATGGATACCAACCATTTAAAACAATATTGGGATCTAGTGTCCCTGTTTTCTTATTGTTCTCATTCAACTCCTTCAAATTCATATAAACTAGAGTCAGTTGGGTAACTACCAATGCAGATAATTTTAACTGTAGTATGAGCAGATCTTAAAAAATTATTCACGATAAAATTTAAATTCTACCTCTGGTATCAAAGTGTCTCCTCTCTTCAATTGCAGGGTCACTGTTTTGTTCAAAGATAACTCTGCTATTCTAGATTGGCTTGGCTGCTCCTAAGCATGGGAATTTACAAATGTACAATTATAAATTAAAGCATCCTTTAAAAATAGAACAAAATATTTCAGATGTTTACACTAATATTTAAACAAACACATATTTCTTACCTGACTGACTTTTTGTATAACTTGGCAACTTGCCCCATTTAATTCAAGTTTGCAATGTATGCTGTAAGAGAGATAAAACCATATGCAGATCAAATCCTATTGCTATGTTATTAAACATTATACATTCAAAAATATTTACTTGTTTTCTATAGTCATTTACAGTAACAAACAATACAAGAACTGATACCAAACATTCTCATGTTTTATTTAGGTCCTTTGCTGTCCACAGATATATAGTTTATTGATTACAAACCTTTTATTTTGCATTACAGGTTGATGTTTCTGTATTCAACCAAAGCGTAAAACCCTGGCGTCTTCACATATTTGGTACTAGATTATCCCTTATTTGGGTCAAGTCTAGTTTTATGATGCTTAAAACACTGTGAAGTATGTAAAGAATATACTCTGCATATAGTTTATTGCTTCAGTTTTCTTAATCATAAAATCATAACCTCCCGTTTGTTACAAAGATATGAGTTTTTATCTACTTTCAGCCAGACATATCCCACGAGGTCGAACACTAACACACATGCCAGCACACACGTGCACACACACTCAACAAAAGGTAATGAATTTTAAAATAAAATGTCTATATAATGATGCATTCCCAGCTAATGCCAGATATAATACTACTGGTATCACCAAATAACTGCTTTTGATTAGGTTTCATATTCAAGAGCATTACATAGGTCCCTTTGTTATCAGGCCATCTTCCAATTCCAATTTGGACACCTTCAATTGTAAGTTAGGTCAGCATGGCATAGGGTGTAACTCTTACCTGTGTGGGTCCAGCCCACAAAGGAGATTCACCTCCTGCAGGACTGTATGAACCAAACACTGCCTGAATACTGCATTCAGTAGTATTATGTGGATGTTGTTGACATGGATGCCAATGTACTGAAAATAGTTTAACATCAAAATCTTACCAAAAAAAATTTCAAAAAAAAAAAAAAAAAAAAAAAAAAAAAACAACAACATACAATGTTCATACAGAAGTCCAATCTTTTCATGATTATTTTATTGAAAAAGTGTTTTTATACTAAAGTAATAACAAAAAAGTGTTTACAAGTTGTGGCAAAAAAAGTAGACATAATTTGATATATATTTTCTGATAGTAATCATGATTGGATACAAATTTTCTGTCACTTAAAAAGTTAAAAAGAAATAAACAAAATTCTTTAACAAGATATAGTGGCTTAGATTCTTCTTCACAAAAATTACTTGTTATTTAAATAAACTGAGTTAAACATAAATATTTATTACCTGAAGTGCCATTACTGCACTGCTTATATGTTGACTTATTTTCTGCACTGTCATTGTAGAAGCATCTTTCCTTGCCCTTACAGCAGTATTCTTTTGAATTTCTGCAACATCAGTCTGTATTCTGATATCCAAGGCACACAAACCTAAAGGTTTCCTAAAACAATGAGTTAAATTTTAACAGTTCAGTACAGGAATCATAATAAATATCAGTTTCTTTTCTTGCATGTCATTCTTTATCAATTTAATTTTTTTACAATTTAATAATCATAACATCATCTTTAAAAAGGCTTTAAATGTACAGTAAATAAACCAAACAGGCTAAGGATGGATATAGTAAGAATGTTTGAACAATGGTTGAAAATATCCCCCAAACAGGAAAAGAAAACACTCTCTTCCAGAGATTTCTCTATACATTCAGCACTTTATAAGAACAAATAACAAAACAGAAATTCAATCAATAATTACCTTATTTTTTTATTTACCAGACTGCAACTCAACCATAGAGAGTCAATTTCCTATTTGTAAAAAAATGAAAAAGAAACGTGATGATCATTGATATGGGAAGGTATATTTAATGATGAAAATGGGCTTAATAAATAAGAATATTAATTGTATTTACTGTTGTTGCAAGAATGCTACCTATGTACAAAAATACAGCAAACAACATCCATACATAGTGGTGGTTTCCAGGTGATACAAAGGAGTAGAGAATATAATGGGGGGAGGCTATAATAATCTTCATACTATTAATAATATAAAACTTTAAAATATTTATTCTTTCTTTTAATTTGAATTATCTACATTAAAATATGCTATTAAACTTACCAGTGATATAGCTGCTGTTTCTTGAATCTTGATTTTCTTTAAGGACAAAAATCCAAAGCTCCCTATTTTGATATTTAGCTTTGTTTTCTTTTTCACAATCCACAGAATCATCCATGTCACACACCTGAAAATAAAACTTCATTTGATGAGTAGTTACAAACAAATATAAATACATACTACATGCACCTGCATTTCTTAGAAGGTGCCAAAGTGTATCTATACGCACTACATATACCCCTGAAACAACATACAGTACAGTATATATTGTACATGTATACCCACAATTATTTTGAAATGATTGCAATATGAAAGGGTTTCTCTCTCCTTTTCAGACTGTAGTGATATCTATAATCTATAAATGACAACTTGAACATAACTCTAAATTTTCCTGACCATAAAATACGTAGACATCTGGAAAATGTGTGAAACCTTTCTACTGTGCTGTATCCATATTACTGTAGTATTCAAACTTGGAAGGATGATAAAAAGGATGCATGTTTCTTCATCTCATGATATTACAAAATCGTTTGTTTTTTCTTCCCAGCAAACAATGCCCGCAGAAACCAACGTTTAAATTTAAATTGCTGAGCCTAAATGACACACCCTGCCCCTTCCCTTCATGTTCCTCCCCTTTATAATTGCTATGTTCTACTTGATAAACATACATATTACCAACTATTCAAACTTTCAAATTTTTCTTCAAAGGTGTGCTGTCTTTAGATGCAACGATGTAATAATACATATTTCATGAACTCTGTAGGTCTTTTAAATTTACATTTCATACCCCAAAATAGGTTAATTAAAAATTGCATTAATACTTGATCTCTATTCTAAAAATGTAAATACAAGCAGGTGCCCGTTCTTATTGCAGTGCAGAATTGACTTATGTAGAGTGTTTGACAATCGTGTAACTCACCTCGATATTAGCCATGTTAAGGCTAAGCACACTAGTGCAATCCACAGAATCTGAGGCATGATTACTGTAATAAAATGAGGATATCACATCCCACATTCGGATTTCCCTGTCTGGCAGCCGCCATTGTTTAAGTAGGTCAATCCCTCCACATGACTGGAATTGACCAATCACTGAGGATTGTTCCGTACCGCTTGTTCATTACAGTCGCCATTATTGTCGTGTGAGAGCTAATGAAATTCAAAGATTTTGTGGGATTTATGGCTTAAAAAGGAGTTTGATTTTATAACCAAATTTCCTCAAAGACGACGGAGGTCATGGAGTGACCATGAGCCACCCAAATCCAACGGGAAACGGCTGCAGTCTAGAGGATTGCCACACCAACCTCTTTGCTTTGGTGAGTTCATGAACCCGTACTTGAATGACTGTCTGAAACATTTTGTCGTCAATTACAAATGTTATTTTATTAAGAATTATCAAAAGTATAGTGGTACTGCATATAACATGCCGTGGGATATGTTCCATGTTCTTTTGTACGAATTACCCGGTAGGTACATCACTAAATTTCAATCTGGCAATTTCCCATAAGAGGCGCAGGAGGAACTTCGCACGTAGTTTCACGTATCGTGTTAGTTTGACATAAATAACACCGGGGTTGACCCATTTTATATTTTTCTTAATTTTGGTGTTGGGTTTTTATTTCAGACTGACTTAGCGGGTATCAAGTGGCGTAGACTGACTCATGGAAACGTCTTCTGTATTGACCCATTGGATGACCCTATTCTGTTAGCCTTCACCAAGTGTATTCAAGCTGATATATTATGTGTGTGGCGACGGGTTCACAAAGCAAGTGAACAGAGAATAAATAATGACTACCTGAGCAAAAAAGAGCTTTGGGTATTCTGGTATGGGGATGAACCAGCAGACCTCAAGAGTATATTGTCTACAGATTTATTAGGTAGGAATATTTTGTTTTTATACATGTATATATACAGAGAGAGAGGGGGGAGAGCTGGATTTGTTCTTTACATATTACTGTCTGGTTGTAAACTGGTGATGGAAAAAGTAACCTTTGAAAAAGGTGGGGTTATAAACTTGTTTTGCTTGAAATATTTAAAGAATGACCACAATTAAAATCTGGTCTTCATGATCTTTAAAAAGGAAACGAAATGGGATTTCCTAAGAATAAGATTGTTTAGTAGGAAGTATAAGAAGACGTGAGTTTACATTTCTTTTTATAGACCTATATACTCATGATTCTCATAATGTCAGAAGAGAACACAAGCTGCATGTTTTATAGACTCAGAAGTGTCAAGTCTCAGTGGTTATTTTAGGATTATCCAGTGACAGATGTTTTCTTTATGTGCTGTTTTCAATTTTTTGTGTGTGATTGAAATGTTCGGAAATAACATATACAAATTGTTATTGAAAGAAATAGCTGATTTTCAAAGATATCCTTTGTTTCATTGATTCTGCCTATTGACAGGTGAATCTATTTATCTGAAATATCCTTTTATTTGAATGTATGTAAAATATGCAGTTGTAGAGGGTCACTTACATGTGATGTAAGTTAACTGTTGTCTTTTCAATGGCAGTTCGCTTGCACCACCTGAGGTGGTGAGCTGGTTTCATTATACAATTAATTGCAATTGACCTCCGGGGAAAACACTGTCATTTACAAATCTAGCATAGTAGAGAGCTCTTGTGAAGAAATCCATTATTATTCTGGTAAAACATGTCCATTTATACAGCTTGGAAATATGTGGACGCTAAGCTGAGAACAGATGGTCATGGGATAGTCTCGCGGATTATAAAAATGCTAACTACCCTCAGTGTAACCTTTTGTCCAGTTCTTGGTGTTGAAAGATAACTTATGTCATTTAAATGCTGTGAATGATAGGTGATTAAAACGGATATTAGACATATTTTCATCAAAAGTAGCATAAGCTTTTTGGCTTGCAATTAGTTTTTAGTTGATCTTCAAATGGCATTTTAGTGTGTAGGAACAGATAGAAAAATTATCGTGATCTACAAACATGAACATTTTGAGATGGATTGAGGATTAATATTTTATAACACTGAACTGGCACTGAACTATATTCTGACAATGATAATATAGTTCAGTGCCAATGAAGTATGCGCTATTATCACCTGGTTTATTGGTTTTATAGTAGTAGTTAAGGAATTAAGCTTTTCAAGATGTTTAATTTGTCTTAGTTGTAATCATCTGATTATTTGAATGAAGGTAAAAAATAATAACAAAAAGCACAAGAATTAGTTGAGGTGGAAAGACACCATGACTGTAAAGCAATAACGTTATGTTTATACTTATATCCACAGATGGTATATTGATATTTTGCTGAATGCATTGGATAATTGTACACTATAAATGGTTTGCCATCTAGAAAAAACTATAAAATGGTTGATACTTGGTTAATATGTCTTCTCAGAAAGTCGGTATGGTGGGGAAGGTGATCATTTATCCACTCCATGTAAGACCTACACTTAAGCTGATGATAGATTGCACATTGGTGGAAGTGAGAAGGCTGTAACAAAAGCTAGTGCAAATAGCTTGAAATCTGCATAATAAGTATTGCCTTGGGAAGTGGCCTTTTTATGTGACAGACGCATTGATATAGCACTTCATCTGCAAGCTTTCAAGAAAACATCGACCTAATCTGTATCATTTGTCTATGTGCATATCTGAATGTAATTTTAATTTCTTTCTCTCTTGTTTTCTTGTGTTTTAGCTGAAGAGGAAGCTGGGTGCTGGGACACTGGCCTGTCTTATGAATGCAGAACCTTGCTGTTTAGGGCACTCCATAACCTTATTGAAAGGTAAGTTTATGAACAGTACCATATGCCTGATGTTAATACAGATATTATATTTATTAGTATTATGATATATGTAGACCCCCAAATACTGTGTAGTTCAAGTTTGTGCACTCCATTTTGATTTTACCGCACTTTTGTATGTTTTGCATCAATATTTGATTTTGATAGACATTGCTGCAACTAACAAGGTGGTGATTTATTAAAAAATATATTGTCCTTAGTTTATTGCTTTTACTGTAAAATTGCCACCTAACTATGAAACATTATACTGTTTGCAAATTTTTCAAAAAAAAAAAAAAATGTGTGGGTCAAGAGCTCTGGACTTATGAATTTATAGATTATTGTTGACTTGTATTGATTTTAAATTAATGTGGAGGACAGCATACTTGAAATACCATGAGCAGGTCTAGACGAAATATAATCTACTCATCTGGAATGACTAATGTGTCATTAAGGGCAATTCATATCTGTGAGAATTACCACTTAATTTTGATGTGGACAGCCAGAATCAGAGGGGCATTTTCTACTGATTGGGTTGATTTTTTTAGTTACTATAATGCCTGGAAAACTTTTAAATAGTAAAATTGAAAAAGTAATGTCAACCCATGGTCACGCAGATAGTATTTTGCAGCAATACTGTTGTAGAATATTTATTGCTTGATATCCTGTGTAATGATACGTTTCTGCTTTCAGATGTTTGTTATCACATAATTTTGTGCGCCTAGGGAAGTGGTTTGTTTTGCCACTTGAGTATGGATCAAACAGCAGTGATAAAAGGTAGGATGGCATTTTTTTTCCACAAATTTTACCTAAAAAATAAATGTCTTAAGTTGAAGTGGCACTTATTTGCATACTTGAATATTGACAGATTCTGACTGGAGTTCATTTAAAATGTCAAGGCTCCCTGTTGATTTTAGTTTTTTAAATGAAATTTTAGGTGATTTTACCACCCAAGTGTTGGAAGAAGGTTTTGAATTGTGACAATATTATATCAGATAAAAAAAAATTATTTAATCACAACAAATGATGATATTTTTGTATACTTTTGAATTTTGGCATAATCCTCAGATGATAGTATGGCGTTGAAATTTACTTTTACTTTTGAGAGGGTCAAAAATACAATTCACAGTTTTCCTAAGGCCCTGAACAATTTTAAGTCATTATCCACAATCATTTTATCAAGTTCAGATTCAGAAATATCTCATAAATGTGCATTTATAAGGGAATATTGTGATTTGAATAATAATTAAAAATGCAATAGGTAGATAACCCATGTAGGTTATCTAAAAGAAAACCAGATCAAACACTTGGAAAATCTTTAGTACTATCTCCTTAATCAATATTTCAATTTGATATGATTTTGTATTTCTTTATTCCATAATAAGTTATACACATGATATGCTTAGATAGCAAAGCAAGATCCTGTCTAGAAAAAGGGTCATGCTTGAAGACCGTCACAAAAAAGATTATTTAACAGATACTGATTTAAACAGCATCTGATCCCCAGACTGGCGCTACAGTGCCTTGCCAAAGAAAACATTTAATTCCTAACTGTACAAGACTGTTTACATCTTGACTAGAATATTTGACTTGTATCTGGCAATAGGTATGTAACAAAACTATCATTTATCAGCTGTTCCATATGGCAATTTGAAGCCAAGTGGTTAACTAGGTCACTCCAGGGGCTTTATGTTGTTGTTGGTCTGTGTTCTGGGTGCATTCACATTAGACCTGTTAAAGTTGTCAGTTTCTAAAGATCAGTGATTGAACCGACCAAGATTATTATATTATAGGTAGCTTGGCAGGGTTAGTTGCAATTAATACCACCATGTGAAGTGCCCCATAAGACTGACACTTCAGGTGAATAGTTAATTGCCTGAACAGTAAGCTATGTACTTGCCAGATTAATTACAATCAACACTACTGAACTGCAGTGTACAAAATTAAGAGATCTTAAAGCCATATCTTCATCCTTCTAATGTGAATGTGCCTTATATGTTGATGTCTACATCTTAGATTATACAGATTTTGGACATGTTTATTTCATTAAGTCCTGGGAATAAGATAATTACATCAGTTTAAAAAGTAGCAATTTCCTCCTTCTGAGAAGCTTGCATTTTAGTCTTCAGGGAAAATCAAGGTTATTAGTGATATAAATGTGTTGCCATACCTTTCAATTAGAAAAAATTCTTCAATAAGACATTTATTTATTGCTTTAATGAGAAATGAAAAAATAAATTTGGTATCTTAAAATTGTTATGTTTTAGCTGTGTTATCCTTCCCATAGAAATATTTATTCAATAATTATATAGGTTTACATTATTTTACTCTATTTCAGTGACCACCTTTCCTTTTCTTTCTCATTCTTTCTGCATGGTGAGAGCACAGTGTGTGCCAGTGTGGATGTCCGTCAGCAGCCAGCCGTTTGGAGACCTACTCTACAACACCTTACCTTAGCTCAGAATGCACAGAATGGGATGCCAGGTAAGGCCCAACTTGTTTATCAACCTGTTCATTGAGACGAAAAAATTTGTTTCACAGTCCAAGCAAAGTGTTCTAGTTTGGGGGTAAATGTTTATCACTTTCTTTTATGTTAAATAGCACTATCTTTAACTGATAGTCATACTGTTATTATGAGCTATTTTCAAAGAGACACTTCATGCACCATCAACTGTTATAAATTGCTGAATGTATTTTTCCACCTGAGTATAAAAACAGATTTACTTTAATTGGTCCACCTTTGGGACTACAAAATATTAACAAAGATACAGAATTAAATCAAATCTGATTAGGTTCACTGGTCTAACTATAGACATAAACCCCTGAAATGGAATGAGAATTGTTTTTGCTTGGCTGCCTTGGGTCAGTTCATTGGCCTAGTTATGTGTAGAACAGACGGAAAGTTATTGATTTCATTGATTCAATGCGTATAATCACAGCAAGTTTAGTTCACCTGGACCCAGGTAGTAAATTATGCAGTCTGAAGAGCCTGTTGACTTTGACAAGATTGCTGCTCAAGATTCTCTCCCAGCACAGTGGTCACTGAACTCAGCATTGTGAGAAAAGATAAAAGACACTGTCAGTGAAGCTCTGTTTTTTTGCAACTCTTCTAATGTAGCTGACAGTCCTGTGTGTAATATATGCTTCTCCTCTGCCGGCTGTTTACTTAATCTCACTGTACACATGGGGGTTGGTTAATGGTCTCTGTTCCTTCCCATGTTTTCCAATAGAAGAGTACAGTCAGTTATTGCATTGTAACCTCTTGATCCCAGAGTGCCTGAGGTGAGCTGTCTGGACAGAATTAAGTGTTATTTTTCTTTCAGACTTCTAGATGTTGCATATTAACTGAGCAGGGAAACTGGCTTCAGTTACCACAGAGGCAAGTTTTGTCAAGGCAGACTATATCAGTCAGAACTGCATGGGGGTCTGCTTTTAAACACTTTGTTACTTTGTCGCTCCTGAGTGATGGAGGAAATTGATATCTGCTGCCTTGACATGATTACACGCCTCACTTCAGTTGGCCAGTGACATACAATTGTTGAGTGCCTTTGCAATTCATTGTTATTTTAATGAAGTTGAAAAAGTTTCAATAACGAAGAATTTGTGTTCTGTCTACCTGAGGAGTATGGTATTTGCCCTTTCAGGCTTTGGCAAATAATAAGTTAATATATTAGACTGTGGATGTTAATTTTTAAGGTTTCCTTTGCTGTCATTTCCTTGGTAAACTTAACCTGGGCAAAATTTAAGGAATGTCTATAAATCAGCTTGGGCTAATATAACGATATACATGAAATATTTATGTTCTTATTGGTGTAAATGAGCAGCATGGTACACAGCTGCTTGTAGAATGAGTATCAACAAAAATGACCAAAATGAGGGGAATAAGCAAAGTGATAATTCTAAACAGCATTGTTAAAAAAACATGTTGATATTATTATGTGGAATTGAATATGGCATGCATGCCTGTGTGGTTGTTTTTCCTGTTAGGTCGTTGTTAATGCGCTCTTGCCTTGGCACTCGACCATAAAACATAAAGCATATAAATCAGCAGTGTTCTAGTGTATCTGAGATGACAGAGCCTCGGAAGCATTCTCTATAACCTCAGGGGATGTTGTGGACTGTGATTTGGACCCATAGGCAAACTTGATTAACCTTTCTCACCTGGCATTGTTAAATATAGGATTAAATGTACAGCAGTGTTGTAGTTTCATCATTGATTAGATGTTAGCACTCAAGACTAAAATGTAAGGTTGATTGGGAATTCATAAACAAGGTGGAATGTGGAGTACATAAACAGGACAAGTAGCTAGAATCTTATCAGTTTACATGGAATTTATTTCAGTGGTTGGCTATTTTGTTTTCTTCTCCAATGCCCCATATTATAGATATTTGAGGGATAACAAAGTGGAGATATGATACAACAAAGTTTGCCATTCATTCCCATGTGAATGACAATTTAAGTAAGTATCTGATAAAGTAATTAATGATTACTGAGTTCTGACTTTAATAGCCAGTATTTTATGGCAAAAACCTATTAATCTTCAGCATAGAAATAATTTATTGTTTGCATTGTTCCCAGTACTTCTGGCCCCATATGGTCTGGCAGGAACACTTACTGGACATAGCTATAAAGACGCAGATCAGGACACAAGGAAACTTGTGGAGGAATGGCAGCAGTTCTACCCCCTGTGTTCAGACAGCAAGGAAGGAGCAGGCAGTTATCAGAGCAAGCAAATGCCACAGGTGGTGGAGGTTGTGGTTGGTGAGTAAACCATGGACAAATTAAGCTGACATTAGGATAACTTGTGTTATCCAGTGAAATTGACAGATACAAAACACGTGCAAAGGTTGGTTTGGTCACTCATAGGGAGTCAAAGTTAATTCCTTATAATTTTTTTTAAAATTAATTGTTAGCTCAGTAGGAAGAGGTAAACTGGATAAATATGGAAAACATGGGGGGTCAGATTATGAAAAAAAATGTTCAAAGAAATACACAAATTACTGGTGAGACCATAATTTACAAAAAATTCCTAAAGCCCTTTTTGTTTCAAAAAATTAACTGAAAATGATAACTGAGAACCATCAGATTCAAATCAAATAAATTCTATGAATGGTAGTGAAGTTAAAGCCTCTTACTTACAGGTGGGGTGAGGATGCGCTATCCATCTCGATACGTCTTGATGACAGAGTTGGACAACATGCGTTCCAGGACAATCTGTGGCACTGGACAAGGACGCGGAGATGCCAACAGGACCAGTGGGTTGCCTCTACATACAGCCTCAGCCCTTCTCTCCCCTCCCACCTCTCCAGCCTCTGGCCAGGTGATAGGAGACACCTGCCTGAAAGGTTTGCCACTCACCTCCCTAGATGAAGGCAAGAGGCTAGGTTCTCAATTCACAGAAACCCTCAGTGATCTTATTGTGGAGCGGGTGTGGCAGGAGAGTTGCTTGGCTGTGCCCTCAAGCAAAAGGTGACATTAAGCAATACACCTTTGTTATACTAAACATACTAGTATATTTATCTATCCTAAAACATGTTAGAAAATTTACATTTTTTAAAATTTGAAAACAATTTGAATGCTTTCTTATGCCTTCTGATTTCATTCATAATTTTCTGAGATGCAATTATTGAGTTAGTAGATAGTGAAAAGATGCTATTTTTCTTCCCAGATAGCAACAAAGACAAAATGGCACCTTTTAATAAAGGAATAAACACAAAAGGATTCTGTGATCTAGTGCTTCTTTAATTGTCTCACCAGATACACAATTTCATAATGGCAGTAATCTATAAGCATGCTTTCACTAATCCAAGTAGAGACTGGATTTGATTATGAATTATTGAACAGCACCAGATAATTATCCCTGGTCTTATGGTGGAAAACATAAAAACATTTGTGTGTGCTCAGCTAGAGAGACCATGATAATGATATTGATTTCTCAAAGTGCCTTGTATCAGTGTGTAAAATTTCATTGTCTGATGCAGTGCTGATTGATCTTATGATAGCATGTAAGCTTATGGCTTGGAAGGCAGGCTGCATCTGTCATGAGGGCAGATTTGAATTGAATGACTTAGAGTGTGAACTCAGTTTAAATCAGGTTTTTGCTGGTGTTTTACTGCTTATCCTAACCAATGATTAAGATTGGGAAGATTTGGTGTTGATCTATTAACTGTAAGTCTCGGGCACTGCAATAACTGGCTTAAAGTGGCAATGGAAGTAATGATTTGTCAAGTATTAAAATGGCAAATTTTTCTCCCAATCCCATTAATGCATGTATTGTGCATGTTATGACTTATTATGTATTAAGGCTGCCTTTTTATGGTCATGTTTTACATGTCCTTTTAAGGTCTGTGGGAAATGAAAATGGTATTGAAGAAAATACAGTTGGAAACTGGGATTTTGTTGATCCAGTGCAAAAGGCTCATTGTTCTTGTACCAAGTTAGTATGATCGTATTTTGCAAAATTTTAAGAAAAAATTTATCATAAAAAGAAGTTATAAATATATAAATTTGATTGTTTACATTTAAATATCTTGTAGAATGTTTGTAAAAATAGTTTAATAAATAATAAGGAATAAAAATACATTAAAATGTTTTTCATTTAGATTTATTGATTTTTACCAATACTATATTTCACGTTTCAGATTGAAGGGTAACAAACAGAGGCTGGGATTTGGACAGAACAAATCTGGCCTTCCTGGGGGTAAAGAGAAAAGGGGAGATAAACTGGAGAAAACTGAAAAGGAGAAATCCAGACTTTCAAGAGGAATGACACCATTTCACAGACGGTCTCCTTTGAGTGATGATTTGCTTACACAAGACTTAGACATAATGATTCAGAGAGGAAGTGGAGGTCTTCAAGGAACAGGGAACGGGGCAGATTATCCCTTCAGTGGGTATAAGAGTCAGCCTGGATCTAACCTACCTCAGTTCAGAACTCCAAATTTTGAGCAGGGGGGAATGGGTATCCCTCGCTCTGATGCTCCCTCTCCCTTAGTGGCTACTCACAGCCAGCCGTGTGAAGGTGGGCAGTCCTCCGATCCTACCATGCCCACCCTCAGTCCACACCCACCCCCTAAAATACAAGACAAGGACCATGTTAGTAGTGCTAACACTGTCCCACAGGAATCTTGCAATTTACCATCTCAAGAGACAACAGCCACAGCAAATTGCAACGACGGATTCACTGCGGGTAAAATGAACGGATTACCTCCAAAAGGAAATAATTTCATGCCACCTTATCACCGTCATATGCCAGAGCCAAAGGTTGAATATCCACACAGTAAGAGTTGGCTTGATGCTCAACGCCATAAGCTGGAGGGTCAGGGAGTGAAAAGACCCATGTTACCTTGTAAATTCTATGATAGAGAGGAGATGCAAGAGTCTGGGGAATTGCTGTATGATTTTGGTTTACTCAATGCATGGTAAGTTTCTATAAAAGAAAAACTTAAAAAGTATCAATTAAGTGTACTAGCATCTTTTAGTCAGTTTGATGAATACATAAGACAAATCATAATGTTGCACCAAGTCCAGAGTAAATTTATTATTGGTATTTTACTTTTAATTATCTTTCACTAAGTCCAGCTTCAAACATTTCATATTTGCAAGAAATTCTCAAGAAAATTTTCATCTCGCATATCACATATAACTGAATGTTAGATATTGCAACACCTGCCATCCACCTTAAACACAGTAAATAATGTCGAAAATTTAGATGATTGATTATTGCATAATGTTTTTTCTTCATGCAAGGCCCACCTATGTGACTCATAAGTTTCTTCTCATGTGTCATTTATGATGAAATGAAATGAATTAGTACTTAATTAATTATATCATTCTTTTTTTTTTTTTACTTCAAGGTTATCTCATCCTGTGAAGAAGTTCAGAGGAGATGGTGACCCAGACTCCCCACCAATGGTGAAACCTGAGCCCAGGCACCCCCATGGCTATGGCCATCCTCAGGTCTCTCCTAAGCAGCACTCTCAGACCTCTTCTGGTCCACCTGTGGACCCCTACGAGTTCTCAGATGAGTCATCGTCAAATGCTGGTAGTTTTAGACCCAGAAGTCTGAGAAATAGTAGGGATGAATTTTCAAGGCCATCGCCATTTTCACGCCAAGTGAGTAGAATATTTAACACATTGATAATTTTTATCTTATTTTAATTCACTGATTCACATAAGTATACTTTTATGTCAAATATCTTATAAAACAAATCTTGCTTTTAAAACCATTGCTGCTTGTATGATGGGAAAGTGTACTTATGTTAATAAAATTAAATGACAACACAAAACGGAAGTCTGGTTTAGAACAGAACATTATTGAAAAATAAATCAAGTGGAATAAGAAAAATTAATCTTTTTGGTCATTGACTTGACCTCCATTTTTGTCTCTTTAATGTATTTGTGAGAAAGTTACTTTTTGTTGCTTAACTATAAATAGGTTCAGTTGTAAATTCTCTCTTCTTATTTACTTGAAAATGCTCAGTAGGTCTTTTAGTACTTATTATTCTTGGTGCATGACTGTATACATAACCTTGAATGTGTGGGTAAACCGCCAGAAACAGTAAACTAAGATTTAAAGATGGGATCACTTGTCAGTTTTGTAAACTCGTCATTTATAATATATGTGTGCATGCGTGTGTGTGTGTGTGTGTTTGGAGTTATATATTATTTTAAGGCATAAGCTACAGTCATCTTTATCTTTCACACTTGGCAAAAAGTTCATATAAAAGCCTGAGTCTAGGATTAAACATTAAAAAGATTTGAAGATGGTAAGAGACACCATTCATATAATGAGCAGGCATGAAGCATGTGTTAGGAGTACTGTGAAGAGATGAGAAGATGCTATTCAGTGGCAGGTTGATAATAAAGTGCTTTTCCGCTACAGCTATTGCCTGGATCAATAAAGACAGTTAAGATGGAAATACGTTTTAAGGCAAGCTAGTTCTGATCTCATATTATGTTTAGATGAAAAGCAGCCAGACTATGTGCCTTGATCATTATCAAGTGAATTGGTCCCAGATTGATACTTGTTTGTTAAAGCACACATTGACTTTGGCATTGAATGTTAGTGAGACTAAACCATATTTTTCTCTTGAAAACCTAGAAATATGGAAATTTAATATTCTTAAGGTAAATGAGTTAAGTGAACCAGTAATAGGGTCAGAACCATTTTCTCTTCTGAATTATTGGCAGAGATTAAGAAGCCCTCTCTTGGTGTAATTAGAAAGCCCTCCTTTAGTGTTATTAGGAAATACTTGTGTTTTATAAGCCTACCGTGGCTGCAGAATAATGTTTTCTGGAAGGTGATAATTGTTTTTGAACTTAGAAATGGCTTCTTGAACTTTACTGAATGCTACTAGGAATGTCTAAGCAATACTTTGCACTCAAGCCTCAAGAATGTTACGCAAACTGTTATTGAAAGCAGCAACACAGAATCCTTAAACATTTTGCATTACTTGAGAAAGTACCTGAGTAATTGTCTGGCTTTAGTGATTTTGACCTCAGCAACGGAATAACTATGATCTGTTTTGATGTTTTCAGAAAAAAGTATAAAAAATAATCATAGTTACTTTTTCATGATAAAAAATGCAAGCCGCAAAGAATTTTTACTAAGGTATAATTCACATTGTGATCCTTCTGTCAACCTAATATCCTGATTTAGTGTGTTCAAGCGTGATGGAAGTTGTATATCACTGACAGCCATCTAGCCAATGGCTCATTCATCTGAACCAGGAAAAGATCAAAGATATAACCTGACTCAGTGCCTTTTAATGTATAGTGTTAAAGGAAAGGTGAAAGTTAAAATAGTGTTATGTATTCTGTAGGTGAACTTGATGTTACACTACATAATACCTCCAGGAAAAAAATGAACTCTGGAGTTTAGAGAGAATAAAGGTGGGATTAGTTTCATATATTTTGCAGATGATTAGAAGATTTCTTGCCTCAGTAGCTTTAGGTACTGCAATATGAAATTCATTCATCTATTTAGTGAGTGTAACTTTTGGTTGCACTAATAATTTTTAGATTGAAGTCAATGTTTTTAGAGCAGAGAGGGAAAAATAAGAGAATGGTGAAACCTTTGAAGTTTGTTAACAGAAGAGTTAATTGAATTTTTCCAAATACTTGGAGTTGTTCTTTCATGTGAAACAGTTTTTACTCTTTATATAAACAAAAAATTGCCTAGTCTAAGCATGCAACACTTGTGCAGATCCATACATCTTCAAGAATTTTAGGGGATTCCAATATGCATCACAGTATGTCATTTGTTAGTCAAGTAAAAGTGATGGTGATTTACGACTCTGGAGGTTGTGAGCTGACAGCCAACTGACTGTTCATGTCCTGATTTGCCCTTTGCATCACTCATGGCTGAATTTCTCTGAACTCTTGCATCCAATTTCTGTGCCAGAGCTCTCAAGGGAGGTGCTGGGGAACCTTCTAGACTCAACATGTGTCTAGACTCACACAAAGTATTTGGATTCCACCAAATTTGTAACTCATGGGTTATTTTGTTACTATTATAATTTTGTTTGATATTATTTAATATTCCATAGTTAGGTCACTGCCTCACCTCAGAATTGTCTGTGACCCCAATAAACAGAACATAGTATTATTGAATTTCTTGCACAGAACTAGCAGCGTAAAAACCAATCATGTTTTCACCCACTGAAATTATATAGGGGGAAAAAACATGCTAGGCAGAGATTAGTGCTCTTCAGCCTGGCTAGTAGGTTTTACATAATGGCTGCTTCTTGAAGATATTACCAGTGGCATGTTTACTTAATTGGTTTAATTAGACTCTAGACACACCAGAATTTATACATAAATTCAGATTGATGTAAAGGTATAAAAAATGTTCATAGTTGCTTAGACATCAAATAAAGGTTGTTGTCACATGTGCTGAGATATATTCATAAATAGAGTTCCCAGTTCTACGAAACCTGCTGGGGTTGTGGATGTATCTGTGCTATTGACATGTCATATTATTAATTTCCAGATGGAAGAGGAATCCAGGGAGTCTGCTGCAGGCAGAGGGTCAGACAGTAAAGAGGACAGACATGGACATGGAGGTTATTGCTTTTTTATTGCTTTCTTTCTTCTTATTTATTTATTTATTTATTTATTTATTTATTTATTTTCATATCATTTATTTTAACAGTTTAGATCTGTTTCTTTGGAATAAAATGCCTTTACTTGTGAAGAAAGTCATTTTAAATTAAATCATTTGTTTAATTTGATTCACTGCAGTATATTGTAAGTGGGATATTATTTATTTATAAATTGTTTGTGAAGACAAACTTGTAACATATGCAGTTCTCTGTAAGTTGTCTCTCATGTAGTACTGATATTACTTATAACAGAGGCATGGTGCTTAATAATGACATTTAAAAAACCCAATAAAGCAGAGAAATGATCAATAAAAGTACATTAAATTGACAAATAATGTATTCTTCTTCAGACATGGGTCCCATAGGTTCTCCTCTAACTCCTGGAGGCTCGGGTCCTATGAGTTCAGCCAGTCTCATGAGGGAGAGTGACATTCGCCCAAGCATGAATGACCTGCAGAACATATTTGATACTTCAGATGATGACAGCAATGATGATGCAGTAAGTTGGTTTAAGTTTTCATTGAATGGTAATGTTTTATGTAATGAGTTTCATTTGCATTACATGTTGAGGTATGACTATTTTAAGTTCACTTCAGTTATGGTATTATAGTGTTTTACTTTGTTTTCCAACTTTGGAGTCTTCTTAACACGTTTTATAACATTCAAGATGAAATATGTTTCATCTAAAGGGGACCATTTAAATAATTTTTCCTTTTACCTTAATTAAAAAGGCTTGTGCTACATCTTAATCCGTACATTTCAGTATTTTTTAAATAGTATTATTTCCAGTTTCAGCCTCCTTCCCCTCCACCCAGCAATAAACCAGAAGAAACCACCATTAAGTCAGCAAAGACAACACTTGTCAATTCAGGAGGTTCTGGTGCCATAGGTATGTATTTACAATAAAACTGCAATAATAAAACTGTTTATATATATATGCACACTCCAGTGCAAACATTTTTTTACTGTAAAAGCTAAAGGTGAAAAAAATATTGTGTAAAGCCTGCAACAAGGCAATATTTCTGAAATCACTGAATACTTGTAAGTTTAAGCTATTTGCCAAGTTTTGTCATGCTCAGTTAATGAACCATACATTTTGTTTATCTGTCAGTTTTTAATTATCCTATTAAATGTCAAATTTTAGAGCATCTCCAAATATAGTATGCTGTTTCATTTTTCTGTTGAACCAGATACTACTCAGTTATCAAGGATGTTCCCCACCCCACCTTCCCAGGAGAACAACATGGCCCACTCCCCTTGTACAGGAACTGATGTCCACACTGACCCCTCTTCAGTGCTGGATTCCAGAGTGGACCATTTTGCTCAGATGAGCCCATCACATGAAAACAGGGTAAAAGTCAGAAACATATTCACTTATTGTCATTCACCTCTGTCCATCTGAAGTTTCCTTCATCTTATATTGTAGATAAAATAAATGTCATAAGAATTCAAGTAGGTGTGTAATAATCTGTAAATTGGCAAATTGGATTTAAATTGGAAAAGGGAAAAGGTTGGTAGCTATAAAATCTGTATAGTAACAGCTAAAAATAACTTTGCCCTTAAAATTTAAATATTTGATACAGGGGTGTTGCTGGATTCTTCTGTTGATTAACAATGGGATCTAATTATCACTTATTTAAGGATCCAAGTATTCTATTTTTCCCCTTGTAGGCTGTTGTTATCTAAGTTTGTTGAAATTCTAAGAAATGGGAACAAAATTCATCAATATGAAATCAAAAAGTAATTCAAACAATACTGAATTGGCAATATACGTATAACATATTGATTGTTCAAAGTTAGTAGCTCACATTTCCTCTACACCTATCCTGCAGGACTGGAGCTTTGTATTCAGACCACCGCCTTCAGCAAAGTTTGTGGGTTCTGACAAATATGGTCCTATTGATCTACCGAGTGCAAAGATGTCTCCAGTCCATGTTCCTGTGGAGCTGGCTTATAGACCATCTTGGCAGTTTCCCATCCCAGTCATTGAGAAACATCATCCTCCAGCTAAGTAAGTTCACATGTGATCCATGTGTGTTAAATACATGTTAGACACTTGTTATACCACCAGTGATTGGACAAGAATTGAAGTTGGTGATGACTTAAATGCCTAATGTGCTAAATGCTTCATTCATTGATTGAAGATGTTTGTAGACCAAATGCTTTGTGAAACTGTAGACAAATGGTCAGAGGTATTGAAATGTTTGTGCTGTTGACAGCTCAATTTCTGTTGTTGTAATGAATTTTTAATTAGATTTCTTATTTTTTTGCATCTTTTTACAGTCAAATCCTCCCAGGTGTCCCTGTAGCAGAAAGTACGCCAGTCAGAGGTTTGGGAGAAAAACCTCATCCCTCTCCAGCGACCTTCACGGGGACTTCCCCTGGGTCTGCAGGGTACATAGGGCACTCACCTGCAGCTTACCCTGGTCCAGGGACCTCTCCAGCAGCTTTCACAGGTAGCATGCCTGGGGCTTCTCCAGCAGCATTCCATGGGATGGTCCAGCAACGGACCCCTGCAAGTTATGATCTGCAATCTCCTGCTTCAAATGCATCATCATATCTGAATAAAAATTTGAGTTCTGTTGATAATCAAGGCACAAACTTACAGATGCCTGAAGCCCATGGGCTGGTATTGAATATAGTACTCTCTGAAACCCTGCTCAATTTATTCAAGGATCATAATTATGACAGTTGCAATATTTGTGTGTGTCAAGGGAACATCAAGGGGAGCGATGTTGGGCTTTATCTGGATGACCCAACCAATGAGCCTCAATACAGGTGCACTTGTGGCTTCAGTGCTGTCAGGAACAGAATATGTGGTCAGAACAGTGGATTATTCTACGAAGATGAACTAGAAATCACTGGAATTCCCCATGATCATTATGAAAGGAGGAAACCCAGTTTGTTAGCAATAGAACCGAAGAAGGATGAAAATGGAGTCAGTAAAACTGGGTCTTCAACACTGTCTAGTGATATACCACAAGATTTGTTGTTACTGCTCCAGGAAACTTTCTCTTTCTTCTTCCCAGCTTCAGCATTCAGGATATATAACCAGCTGGGTAGCCTTGGGGGAGCCCCACTGGATACACCATTAATGGAGATTAAAGGTGCGTAATGGTTGTGGAAGAAATGGATAAGTGGGTTTTTTCTGTCTCCTTTTTAACTGTCTTTTAAACAAGCTGTTTTAAAGTTCACTTAGGATTCCGAAGGAATGGAAATAGGAAAATTAAGTCTAAATCCATTTTTTAGTATTCTTCAATGTAAATGATGTAAATGTCTATGTGGAGCTAAGGGCCACTAGCTGGAATGCTTTAGATTTTAGCTAAAGAGATGTGGTGAGAATTATTTTCCTATAGTGGATTTTATACTGAAGGTGAGACTGGTAATGACACTCACAAAACACACAGAAGTGCTTAACTAATATAAAATCAATATGATTTGTGCAATAGATGTTTGATTCCATATTGTCTGTGGTTTTATAGTTATGCTTTATTGTTGCATTGCAGATGGTTGTGATGCATGTTACACTGCCCTTGAGCAGGGAAGACAAGCCACAGATAACTGCTCTTCACAGAAATTGGAAGAATCTGTTGTCAAGGCTTCCTGCCTGCACAAGTGGCCTTACACACACAGTAAGTTGAGAAGGCCATAATACAGGATTACTAAATGACTTTTTTATGGGAAGTGAAGGGTTATTAAGAAGAAAAGGCAATAGTGGATAACACAAGTGTAGGAACAGCTGAATGTGTGTTTTTAATATATTCCACATAATAGCCATATGAAATATCATATTTGGTTCCCTTGGAAAGAGAAATATTGTCTATGGGTTTAGGTAACTTCATAATGTTATAATAGGTAATGCTCTCTGTGCAATTAGTGCATTTATATGAATGAAAATAGGATATATGAATTTGGTTAAGATTGATGTGCAAAGTAAAACATTGTTCACATTTGTACAGGAGGTGCCATCTTGCCAACCAACCCACAAGATGTGGTGCGATTATTGAAGTCTCTACAACCACTCCTCCAAGATGCAATACAAAAGAAACGTACCACAAGGTTATGGGAGCAGGTGTACCAGATCAGTGGGCCATTGTCGTGGAAAGATTTCCACTTGCTTGCAGGAAGAGGTTAATTGATTTTCTTTTCTTTTTTTTATAAAGTCTATGTTCATAAAAAAAAATCACAACTGCTGTTAAGGACAAGATGTTTATTTGCTTATAGGAAAGTTTACTTGTGACTGCATTTGAATGGTGGGAATAGTCAAGATATCATTTCTGTCATAGTTGAAAATCAAAAATGTGAAAAGATGATTTGATATAAAAATTTGAACCATTTCTATTTACTTCTAGGATCTGATGAGGCACATGAACCTCAGCCTATTCCTTCACTATTGGTGGGATATGACCGGGATTGGTTATCACAGTCACCATTGGCAATCAAATTCTGGGTAAGAGTTCAGGCTGCATTGCCTGCTCTGTTTATTACATTTTAAAATTTTAACCTGTATAATGAACTTATATCTGGTTATGATCTCAGTCCTCAGAATTTTATTTTATTTTTTCCAGGATAAACTTCTGCTTGAGCCTTACTGCAAACCTCGAGACATCGCATATGTTGTGGTTGCACCAGAAAATGATTTTGTTTTAAATTATGTGAGGAATTTTTTCAAAGACCTGAGCACCATGTATGAGTTGTGCAGGCTAGGAAGACACAGTCCTATTGACAAGGTTCTGAGAGATGGTATCATGAGGGTAGGAAAAACAGCAGCAAGGAAACTTGCTGAGGAACCTGTGGATGCCTGGTTTACTCAGATAGGTAGGATTGCAAATGAAATACAACCAGTGCATGTTATTGTAAACTTCATTTTTATGAATATTTCAAGGTAACCAATTACACATGCTTCAGGGTTTTATATATATATATATATATATATATATATATATATATATATATATATCAGACTTTACGAAAGGCCAAAAAATCTGTCAGACATTCTGTCTGACAAGCTTGAAAATTCTGTCAGACCGAAACAAAATCTGTCAGACCGAAGTAAAATAATAAAAATATGAACCATTATTCATCTTTTCATGTGTATTTTCTAACGTTTTAAATCATTGACATTAAATCAATTATTAAATTTTTGATATATATTTATTTGTAAAAAAGTAAAATAAAAAATAGGCAAAAAATTACTTGCATAACAAGTTGCTTTTTATTTAATGAAAAAGATGCTGTGGAATGACACAAGGACTAAAAACAATACAAGTATGAAGAATGTGTAGTTATTAATATCAAATGTATACATGTCCATAAAAACGTCTGTTAATCAGATAACCATTTCACACATTGTTTTTGGCAATAACATATGCATTTTGAAACAGCACAATTGAAGCTTTGACAGGGACTGTCCGGTCCGAGTCTAAGTTTCTTCTTCATTTTATTTCTTTTTTTTATAAAAAGAAACTCAAACTGTGAGCTTTCATCAAGTTCATGTGCACTTTCTCCAACTAGTGGTGAACGGTACATGCAAATACGTACATATGTTCCATAATTTAAGAACCCGTAATAAAGCTGTAACATTTATGTTGCTATTGATCAAAATGATAACTGTAGTACTCCTGACACTCGGCACACACTATTTTCCTCTCCTACAGATCATAAGTCCACCAGGGCCTACCTTCTTTCCAATTTTAATAAACTTCCGTTTCTCTTCCTCACTTCATTTTCATTTTTGCCACGCTTTGCACCAACGAAGTGTTTAAAGTTCAACAACGTCATTTCTAAGCAAAAAGCTTATCCATGAGTACTATGTACGACTGATAATGAAGAAACAGAGGATCAAGTCTGTAAAAACGCAAATAGCACGAGCACATGTGTTGCGGCCATCTTGTTGTGTAGGGGTATTACGAAAACGAAAACGAGACTGTACATTACATCACTCAGGAATCCCCCAACCTCAGCCAGTCACAAAATAGTATTTGTGAGTGAAACTGAGGTTAATATATTATGTATAATTACTTGGGAACTCCCCGAGATTTTCACCCCGTCTCTCTTTTTGAATGAAGTAAAATATATCGTCCAGAAAAGAAACAACAACGTATTCCTTATATTTACACATTCCCAGTCAGTTTGAAAACTCGCCGGACATAAGGTCCGACGATACAGGATTTTTTATCGGACCGAGACGAAATTTGCCAGGCATGTCCGACGGTCCGACGCCTTTCGTAAAGTCTGATATATACACACACAAAAAAGGGAATGAAAATAATTTCAGGCAGAGTATTACAATTAAAAGGTATTTTTGTTCTTGGACTTGGTGATAAAATTATTACATTGTTACTTTCAGGTGATTCTGTTGTTGCATCTAAGCTGAAACTGTATGCACAAGTATGCAAACATCATCTTGGTAAGCTAAAATATTTTCTTTGCATAATTTTATAACTTGATAGTATCTGCTTGAAATTTGTTTGATTTTGCGAGTCAGGAGATGCAAGTTATGTAAGGAGTGGGATTTTATTTAAGTATTTGACATATACAAGAGGCACTTTTTTTTTTCTACATAAAATGTCATGATCAAAAGACAAATAGTAGATATGAATTCTGCTTTCTTTTAAGCCCCATTTTTGTCCCAAACCCCACTGGACAAGATGTTTAGTCCTGGCGGTGGACGGTCTACCTATAAATCTGCTGCACACTCGGCTCCTTCTCCTGCACACACACCTGATGGCCAGGGAGCTGCCACACCAAACCACAATGATGACAAAGATAGAGGTAGGGAATCTGCTTTTCTTAACAGCTTAGGCCAATATGGAGATGACTATTTATACCAGTGATTGATTTATTATAATTACAAAGTTTAACATTATTTTATGGTACAAATTTTTTTTATGTCACACTTAATAATGAGGTATTTATAAAAACTTGGAAGTCGCCTGAACGATGAAACAGAAAAATTAAATAAATTATGTCCAATTTTCAGATTTTGGATCAGAGGCTTCAGGCCATGGTAGTCATGGGGATGGTGACCATGATGAAGCATCTGAGGTGCCAGCTTTAATGGTGTACATAGTTGACCCATTTACCCAGGGCCAGCAGTGGGAAGGCATCAGTAGACTCTCTATGATGGGACTTCTCAGGTGCTATCAAGAGTTAATCAATAACTTGCCTGAGAGCTTACAGAACAATGTGCACTTGCAGGTAAGGGTGTTGATGATGAAGAAGATGGATAAATTGGTTATTAGTATCAACACGCTTTAGTAAGTCCCAAAGTATACATAACATTTAGAAGATTTCAGATAATTATACTCACTGAAAGTTGGGGTGGGATTATTTGCTGCTTTTGTAATATAGAGTTTTTGGAATAACTGTGAATTCTCCATCTTTTCTTCTGTTCCAGATATTGCCTCTCCAGACCATCCTAGATCGCAGTGGGGATTGTAACCATATGCAGCACATGAAATCCATGGCCTTCTCTATCTTTAGTCAGTGTAGGCAGGCCCTGACACACACTGTGGTAGGAAGGACTCTCACAGGATTTGGTCCAGCTGCAGCTGCTGAAGCTATTTGCAAAAGAAGCATGGTGAGTCTGTAGTCTTGTTGCTTCCACTTCTAATATGTAGATTAAAATTTTGTTAATGATCATGGCATTGAAAACAACTTGTATTTTATGGTGAACTGTCATTGATTTGGGCTTATTTGTTATGTTTCATTTTGATTTTTAAATTGAATTGTCCATGATTTGTGACTGCTGTAGCTGAAGATATAAAATGAAAAATAATGCAGAGTTCGATCTTTGTAGGACACAATTGACCTACTTTTCACATTGCACTTTCAAATAACAGGCATTCCTGTTTATTCTTTTGATTTATATTTTTTTTTTCATTTAAATGTCTTCCAGCAGGATAAAATGAAGATTCAAAACAAGCTGTATAGTCCACCATATGTCCTAGCCCCCATGAAAGACAAGCAATCCCAGCTGGCTGAGACTTGTGGAGAGGTCAGAGAGCGGAGTGCCAAGTTTTTCTGTGGTTACTGCCTGTCAGAGGACCAGAGGTGGCTCCTGGCAGTATGCACAGATGACAGAGGAGATCTGATGGAGACCTGCACTATTAACATTGAGATTCCAAACAGAAACAGAAGAAAGAAGGCTTCGGCTAGAAAGATTGGACTACAGAAGCTGTGGGACTTCATTCTTAGTGTGATATCAACTACCACCCTACCTTGGAGACTGGTCATTGGGAGGTTTGGCAGACTGGGGCATGGAGAGTTGAAGGGTAAGTTCTCCCATGGAGTCTATTCATGACTGTACCAGTGTATTACTAAGACATAACTTTCAATTTTGGTCTGGCTGAGAAAGATCTGGTATTTAGATGTGTAATGTTTAGGGATACTTTGGTGGAGACCATTTTAGAGATCAGTGAAAAATAATTCAGTTTATTGTTCTTTTTTATTCCTAGATATACTACTTAATCAAAAACATGCCTGTGTTAAAATTTATCACTTCCATTTATAATACAGAACCAAGTTTATAATAGGAGTCACTTTTGTAAGAATAATATTTTGGGCAAATAAAAAACATAATATTTCAGTTTTTTAATTGGACTTAAACTGTAGAGGTTTTATGAAACTTGTAAAATAAATTATTTATTATTTTCATGTTAAATTTTAGGTTGGTCAGGGTTATTGAGTCGAAAGTCCTTATTGCGCGCCAGCAAGCAGATGAGAGATATTTGTGACCAGTGCTCTGTTCTGAGTAATAATGACTACCCCTGCATTTTGAGTGCCTGCCTGGTGTCCATGGAGACTCAGAGTACATTCCTGGTACTGCCTGACTCTGTGAAACCAGAGGAGAAGAGGGCCAGCAATGCTCCCCTAGACACTCCACATGATGCCTCTGTCACACACATATTGGTATTCCCAACATCATCTACAGCTCAGGTAAGTGCATATTGTTAATTATTACAATAAAAAAAGATGTTTTTAACAATTGTTGTGGGTTATGTACAATTGTTGAATTTTGAAATATTTATTTATCTTCAAGAGTAATAATATAGATAATATGTCGATTGCTAGAATGACTACTCTAATATTAGAGAGATGATTTTGGACTTTGTAACATCATCATAAATCATGCTTTTTTATGTCTAGAAATCTTGCATTACATGATATTTTTGGGAGTTATCCATGTCTACTAAATTCTTGCTTTTCACTTTCCAACAGCCCAATACTTCTGCTCAGACAAACGAACATGACTTGGCAGCTCAGCTAGGCACAGACCTTGGAGATGATGACCCTCTCTTTGCTGGACTCTCTGAAGATCTGAACATTGATCAAGATCTGAACAGTTTCTTTGGTTTGGCCGACTCTCCCAACCAGTCCCCTGTGGGGTCTCCCAAGGCTGATGGCCCAGGTTCACCTGGGATGGGAGTGGGTGGTAGACAGTCTCCTTCTCACTACACACCAGGAGGAAAGGTGAGAACAATAGATAGTAAAAATAATACAGAGAAACATTTCATCACTAGCTATTTGAGAATGAATTTAGAATTAACATTTTTCACATTGTCATTTTCAGTAGCAAAGTGAGTGTTTCTTCAGTAGGATAACATTGTTTTTGTCTGTTCAGTCTCATCCGTGTGCTCCTGTAGATTTCTTTAAGTAACTTTTATTAACTTGAATTCTGTTTCATTTTGTAAAGATTAGCTTATTGAATTTCCTTCAATTTATCTCTGTGACAGACAAACAGAGGAGCATCCATTTCCCTGGACTTGCAAGAAGAGGCCAATCTTCTGCAGCAGCCATTGGCTATGGGGTACTACCTGTCCACAGCAAAGACTGGGCCACTGCCTAAGTGGTTCTGGTCCTCTTGTCCACACAAGGAGAATGTATGCCCTGTCACTTTTAAGGTAGGAAAATCATTTTCTGCAAATGATTTTTGTCATTAAAGATACTTTAAAAATGATGTCCTTGTTTTATAAGTTATTTTGTGTTAAAGTGCATATTTAAGCATTGATTAGCTAATAAAACTCATTCTTATGTTGATATTAGATCAAAACAGCATCTCTGTCACTACAAGCATGTACACATACTCAGGCATGTATTCTGTGTAGTTCTTCTTTTCATCAATTGAAAAATAAAATTCGAACTTGATTATTTTTGCCAAACAATATTCCAGGCTGCCCTCCATGTGCATGTTCCTATGGTGCAGCAAAATCAGGATGAACTATTCCACACCAATATGAATAAGCTGTCCCATCCACTGGATTCAAATGCCACTTGTGATGTTTTAAGGTAAAAAAAGAATAGTTAATTCTCTTAATGTGGTACATTCATGTATTGTTTCAAAGAAATGAACTTTGGGGTGATGATAACATATATTCTTGCAATTTGTTATACATAGATGTAGAATTTGTTGTAAGTTCAAGCACTTCACAGCTATTCTTATCAAAAAAAGAAGTAATTTAAAAAGGAGAAATGGTTTTCCTGAAAAGTTTGAACTAATGAGTAGAGAGGCCTTTTTAAGAGAGTTGAAAGCTATGCTTTTTAACTAAAGCGTAATATTTTCTCTTATAACAAATAGAATTTAATGTTGTTTTCAGGTATGTCTTGGAGACGTATAATGCTCTGTCATGGCTTACCATTGATCCTGCCAAAAATGACCGTCGCACTTGTCTACCAATCCATTTTGCCATCCTCATGCAGATCTACCAAGCCATGAATGTGTTTTTATAAACATTCAGCAATACTGCAGGTGGAATATCAGTGGTCTTTTTTTAGAAAGCTCTTTTAAAGCATGTGCAACAAAATTGAACTTGTATTAAAAGTTGAGCTCTGATTTCAACAGTATTTATCATTTATGAATACATTATTGAGAAAGAAGGGTAGCATGATGCCTGTTTCTTTGAAAAGGCTGCAAGTCTTAGAACTGTTATTCCTTCGTGTCTTCTCTTGTAATATTTGACAAGCATTTAAAGTGCAATGAAAATGGAACTCTTTGCAGAATAAGAAAGAAATGACATAAAATCTATGTAACGTTTACTTGATGTCATTTTCAAATTGCAATCTAGTCGAAGATTAGCCATTGTGATATATTTTCATAATATCGAAACAATGGTATATAATTTGGTATGAGATGTATGTATTACTGATACAGTGCAAGCCAGTTGTTCACATGCAATTCTTCATAGAAGCATTTTATATCTTGTATATATGAAGGCAGATATGTATATAAAGAATATAAGAAGTGAAAAAAGTGCGAAGAGCATCCTTCAGAAAGCATAAAATGCTCAGATTCAAGTTCACCTGCCAAAATAGATAAATATTTAAAAATTTCTATCTGGTGTATAGAAGTTGCAATGTTTTATCATCAGTATATAATGTTCTGGAACATTTAGATGTCACTCCCATTATTATCAAGGCATTGAATTAAAATAACCGTTGTTTTAGTAAAGGGTAAGGTGTATTTACCAAAACTGATCAAATTGTGCAAAAAACACTTTTAGGGTTTCAGATTTAAGGAATATCTTTTCAATTTCAAAATGAAATTGTTGCATTTCTATTTAAAAAGACAAATTTGTGTGTTGAAAAGGGACCCTCTTTTATGTTGTTGCATATTTTAAATTTTTTCATCAAATTACCTCATTTTCATGATTTACTTTACTTGATTAACTATACTTTTTTTGTGCGCTGCTGTCTACTTTTTATACCATCTTAATTTTTATAGAACTGTAAATGTCAGCATGTATATGCTTGACCTGAGTTATCAGTATATCATAAAAAAAAAAGTTTTTCTCTATTTTGGCAAGTAGTTCTCTAGGTATTTATGTCACGGTGTCATCTTGTTGGCTGATGCTTCTATGTGATAGTTGTGTCATGGGAAGAATAGGGTACAATACAGGCATATTTATTGACTGTTATCAGTGGAAGTGTAGTATATTTTAAGACTAGTTTTGTACAGGTGTATAGCACTGTGCTACAATAATGCACGTAATAGATATATTAGAAAATATTTATTATTATAGTGTAAATAGTTGTGCACGATATTCTGAGCCCAGTGGCATTGACGAATAGGTGGTGAGAAGTAAGGCAACCATACCACAGCTGTGTGAAAAGATAGGAAAACAGGCCTTTACTTGCCTACAGGTGCTTCTGCAACAGCTGTACATTGTGCAACTTTGTGTGTAGACAGTGCCCATGAAACTTGAATCAGAAAAAATGGTCACACAATCATGTATAATCTTTATCATGTTGTAGTTGTGATGCTTGGTTAAAAAATCATGGAGATGTGATATATCATCAGCTGTTGCCATGTATAGTAGCTGTGAAAATTCCAAATATTTTAGCAGTTCAGATTATAATCCAACGTAACTGTAAGTTAAACTATTGAAATTGTTATATTTTCTTGGTTGGAAGTACAGTAGCCAGCCATGCAAAAATAAAATTATAATCAAAATAAGCTTGGTTTATGTTTATTTATTGCACATTCCCATAAAAAAGACACTTTGCATGATGTAAATAAATTAAAATGGTACAATTATCAACTTCAAGATCATTTGAACTGTGGTAAACACAACACACCAGAAATACTAACACTGATTGACTAAAGGACATCTATACTAAATTGAAAACATGGACACGCTGACATGAATATAGCTGTTAACAGGTCAATATGGTGGTTTTGAGCAAGAAACACTTGAGAAAACAAAAAGTAGTGCACCATAAATTCCATGTGTATGATGGAAAGTTCACGTTTATGACATTTCTAGTTCTCACTATATGCAAAGGTCCTTAATCTTTTCAGATTTAAGTCAAAATGGGCCTAATGAGTGAACCAGATTTTACTGTGATCTTCTGTTTGTTACATATTTGTTGGGTGTAAACATTGCATCTCCTTAAAATACTGCATTAACCAGAGGACTGACTCTTTCAAGCCTAGGGATATCAAAGCACTTTGCCCAGCAACGGTTTATCACATGGATAGTTACTTTCCACACAGGGGTTTCAGTGTATTCATTATCATGTATCTGGAAAATGCCACGTAAAGCCACCGAAACCACACATACTGGCTGGCATGAGCTTCCATAGCTTTCTGTAATGAAAGAATTTTTTAGCAATATGGATCTGCTGTTGGGGAAACAGTATTCAACATGACTCAAGTCTATGATATGGACCTATAATAAGTTATAAATGATAATCATAAAGGACTACTAGGCCATATCTTGTAAGTCTTGCCCATTTAACTAAATAATAATACTTGCCTTAGCTTTGTGTACATCCAGCCAATTACTCAACATAAGCTGACCATCAAAATAAAAACTGTATGGAAGATCCAAAAGTAGAGAATATTTCCTCAGGAGATTCACACTGACTAGTCTATATGCTTCAATCTCTGAAAATATTTAAACATTCACTTAAACCATTAATTTTTATTTTCTCTGACAAAATAAGAGGTACTGAGATAAATTAAACATATTACCTCAGAAAATGCATTTCAATTGTAAAATGATGCTCAAATCAAAATATATATTCTCAGATTACTGGCATATTCAGCATCTTTATGCCATAAAATAAATGCAATAACTATTATGCAAAAAACTTACTTGATCTCCTCTGTGACTTGGTGAACAGAGATCTGGAAAGAAAACCCATATATTACAAAGTGAATCATTTCAGAAAAACACCAGCTTTTGTAGTAGACCATTGACACCACTTTTTTAAAATTGAAATCTGAAAATAATTATTCAAGTGCAGATGTGTCTTAACTTAGACACCTTGCCAAAAGAGTTGACAAATTATACATTATAAAAGGACTTAAATCTGCTATCTTAGCTTATACACACACTAAGGGGGCTTTCCCAGAGATTTAGATCGATCTAAAGATTATGTTTTAGATCGACCTAACTCCCTGGGGGTTCACGCTAAATTGCAGTCAGCCCAGCGGGCACCATAGTTAATTACCCCCTTACAGCTTTTAGTAGGCGGGACAGACGCTTAAGCCGGCCAAGCTGACAGACTCCCCACAGGGATAGATCGATCTAAAAATCTATGGAAATGGGGTGTAAGTACAATGATTACAAGTGATTTTCCAAGTGATGCATAACATTTTTAATGTTTAAAAATTTTCGACTGTACATGGAAAGAAATTGTTACCATTACACATGCATGTCTATAAATGCTTACTTCACTCCATGATATACTGCAATATGATTTCTATGCCCACTAACACCATACCCATCAAAGGTTATTACCTGCAAAACAATATAAATCAAAAAGGGCATCTTTATAATGAGAATATGGTGTTTGCACATGCTTATTTATAATAAATATAAGTTAAATGCACAGACTTTTTGCAGAAAAAAGGAACTTTTGGAGGTCAAAATCCAATGCAGAGTTACTTTAAAGTACTTATAATTAATGAAATTTAGGTTACAGTAACCCCACAGTGTACAGACTCTATAGGTGAAGAAGCTTGTCTCCAGTTCCTGGCTGAGCCTTATATGCTGTATTGATCCTAGACAGCACATATATCTGAACAATGATATTGACAATACATCAGCTTCAGGGCAGTGCACAGCTGGTCACGATAAAGTCAGATGACAGTAAAGACTTTGACTGTTCAATGATCAAATATAAATAAATTTAACTGAGCACGCATCATTTAACTTTTTTATAAATTTACATGAACCAAATTTCGTGCAAAATATGAAAGAAAATTAAATAAATAAAATAATAAAATACATACACAACCAATGGAGAATTCTTTGATATGCTGCTGAACAACATCTGCCACTATTAATGGATCCCAGTTAAAATTAGGATCATCTGGCAAAGAGCTACAAAAGGGTAACAAATGAAAAGATAATTACTCAGTATGTAGGCAAAAACCACTAAAATTATCTTTTGTTCAAAGCTAAATATACCAAAATATTGTTCAGTCAAAATCTTATCTATGGTTATTTATCAAATTTGGAATGAAATGAAAATCAGCATTCTAGGGATTCTTTTGGTGATAAAAAGTTAGTAAAATCCTGTAACTATAGATTGTTAAATATACAATAATATTTGTGAATTGGGTTTTCATTCACCCATGCATCTAAGCCTCTAATCACACTTTACTTAAGGAACCATCATTTTGTACACCTAGTTTACATTTATATTAATAAGAATTAACAAAAGCTAACCTATGATCTAGCACTGTAACATTTTTCAAAGGTATACCAAGTATTGCACAGCTCTTCTGTAACTCTTTTTTCCTTATATCTCCTTTTTGGTTATAATTTCCTGGAATGATGATAAAACAAAGCTTTATATAAATACATTATCTGGTCTCAAAAGACATAAAACCATCACAATGATTCTGAATGTTTTTAAATACATGTATGACAGTATCTGAGACATTATTTTCAATAATTCCATATCCTAATAAAATTCAATCCTCCCTACAATATCAAGCTTTAGAGAATCGGCAATCCCAGGTTAACCCATCTGAACAGCCAGTCCCCAAACAAACTATTGCCCAAAATTGTGTGTATTAAACATAGACGGGAAAACAAAAGTTAACAATGTTTGTTTCAATGTTTTATCCAGACTTTACCTGATGACAGACAAAGGAGATGTACCTCATGCCCCGTTTTTCGAAGCTGGAATATAGTAGGGCTAAAAAACATGCATTCGTCATCAGGATGCGCTGTAACAATTAAAACATCGTGTGATGAAATAAAAGTCTTCCCAGCTGGAGATATGAATCTAATAAATTTATGAATACCCAAAAATAATATCACAAGCAACGCAGCAATCGGAATCGTGATCATCTTTCACCGGCGATGCCGCAAAAAATATGTCGTAATAAACATGAAATAATAGAGTTTAAAAATAAAAATTGAATATTAAACTTTGAAACACACAGTGTACACAAAATGCTTTCCTATTCAAAAATATCCCTACAACAATTGTTAATTTGAATCCTGGTATTAATATTTACGACATTGTCTTTATTTCACGTACCCATATATGATGCGCAAAATAATGCGCAATACGCTGTAAACAACGTCTCCTTGGCGACTAGTGAAATTGGATGGGCAAGTAGGTTTTAAAAAGCGAGGAAATTTTGTAAATTTGAGGCTTCTCAACAGGAAAGCAAAATTGTGAGTTATTATGACTATATCGTTTGTCATATTTATCAAAGAATCGACCAAGTAACAAGGTTTATCGCGTAAAAATTCGTTTAGAACCACATAGCTAAGTTGAAAGTGTCACAGTCATGGCAGACGAAGAAAAGGCTTCAGCACCGGCTGAAGTTGGTGAGACAAATGAAACTGAAGCAAAAGAGGCGGTTCATGAAGCGGAACAGAAAAATGCTGAATCTGAACAAAAAGCAGATCAGTCTGAAGAATCCACAGCTCAAAACGAAGTAGTGGATACAGCTCCAACAGAGGCGGAAGGTGCTGTTGTGAACACTGGTGAAACGTCTGTAGAAGCTACAGCACCTGCAGCCACAGAAGATGGTGAGGGAGGTGTGGATGAAACTGAGCAGGCGAAAACTGCAGAAGCTGATACAGAAGCTGCCGAAAAAGCCCCTACTCCCATTGTAACAGATATTAAAGAGGAAGAGAAAGATCCATCAGATCCATCAAATAAGAGTGAGGGCGAGAAAGCCCCATCACCTGATGATGTAGAAAAGGTGGATGCAGGAGAGGAGCCTAAGGAAACAGTAGCTACCAATGATTCCCAAGAACCAGCAGCTGCTGACAACACCCAAGAACCAGCAGCTGCTGACAACACCCAAGAACCAGCAGCTACTGACAACACCCAAGAACCTGCCGCTACTGACAACACCCAAGAACCAGCAGCTACTGACAACACCCCAGAACAAGCACAAGATGAGCATGAGGAAGGGGTTGTTGGTACAGATAAACCACCAACATCAGCAGCTGCAGAAAACCAGGGAATGGGACCTTCTGAAACAGATGCTGATGAAAAAGCAACTTCACCACCTGCTGAAAAGCCACCTACTCCCCCTGAGGCACCGGATGCTCCCAGAATGGCAGGACCTCCACCGCCCATACAACTTGACTCACCTAAACCACCTACTCCTTCTGAGGTACCACAGCAGCCTGCTGATCTCAAACCGCCTACTCCGCCTGAGCCAACTGTTAATGCAGTATCACCACCGGCAGCAGAATCACCAGCAACTGCTGCACCACAATCAGAACTGCCAACAGAGGGTTCTGCTGATGGTGCTCAAGTTCCAACAGAAGAAGTGCCACCACCACCACCACCTGATGCACCACCAGCACCTCACCAGCCATCACAAACACAGAATATACTTACAGTGGATGCAGATGTACCTGTGGATGAATCACCATTTTCTGCCTTGGTAGGTGGATAGCTATTACTTAAAGTGTATCTTTAATAAATGGTAAAGTCCTATGTAAGTATGTTGCTCCTGTTTTTTCATTTGCTTCCAATGTTTTTTTCTTTTTTGTGATATATATATATATATATATATATATATATATATATATATATATATATATCCCACANACATAGAGGGCGAAATGAACACAGCCAGAAGTGCCACTCCCACTTTTGACCCATAATCTGATTATTTTTGATTTTTTTTTTCTTCGTTGGTTTTTTTTTTTTTTTTTTTTTTTGGGGGGGGAGGGGGGTCCCATTGATTTAAACTGGTTATCCATTGCTTATGTTATATAAAAATTACTTACAACCAGAAAAATGCAAGCAAAGATGCTAAATTGAATATTGATAAGATGTGTCAAAAATGTTTGTCTAAATATATTTGAAAAATCAATATATTAATATTGTTTTCTTTTTTGTAATTGTTTGGTTGTTGTGTAGGGTCATTATTCAGTTTATTTTATCATGGTTAACACACTTTCCAGAACCTAATATGGTCATTTGGTATGAACAAAAATATCCCAGTTCTCAACTTGACAGATCCAAACAGAAAGATGATAGCATATGCTTGTGCACATGCTGGTATTTTGTACAACTTTAGGGATAACACACAAAAGATATTACAAGGACATGTAAGTTACATAAATATGAATTTTATGTACAGAATTCTAGTTGTTTAATATATATTTTTAAGAATATAATTTTTATATATTTACTTAATACTGTTTATTTTATACTTATTTTTAGAAATTTAATTCATACATATATATAATATTCATAAGATATCAACTTAATAATTTCTTAACATGTTATGCTGAAAATTGTACTTGTGTATTAATGTTTCTGATATGTGTAAAAGGTTCTGTTTTCTTTCCAGTGCAACCCTCTGTCCTGTATGTGCACTAGTGCAGACAAAAGATGGTTGGTAACAGCAGACAAAGGAAGAGATAACTTGGTTATCATCTGGGATACATCATCAGGGTAAGCCAAATCAGAGGAGGTGTGCATTGATTTTATTGGTAGCTGTGCACATACTGCTTTTTATATATTTTAAGGCAATTTTCGTTTAGGTAAATATTGTTGATGAAATCAAAAACATCCCAGACTGACACTTTGGTACAGTTATGCATGCTGTATAATGTGAAGCTACCCATTACCAATTATATTTTAGTCTTTGGTTTGCAAATGTTTGTGATGCTATATAAAAGCATTGCCTTTAATTATGCCTTTAACTATTTTAGTGTACCAGTTCAAACACTTTTTGATCCACACCCTGAGGTAGGGGTGGCAGCCATTGCTATGACTCCAGATGCCAAATACATAGCAACCATCAGTGCTGCAGAGGATCAGGTAAAAATGAACAGAAATCACTTCACAGTCTACACAGAACAACACTGTCTAAATATAATACTTTATGATAAATCTGCTATGTTCTGTTGTAGTTTTAGCAGCTTTAAGTCTTTAAAGATGTTTATTTGTATATGATGAAAAATTAAATGGTAGCTTTAGTGAAAGGTCTGAAATTTGGAACAATTACTCATTTTTTGTTTTTGTGACGTATATGTTATCAATACCAATAAGTGTTGACAATCATAACTACCTCAATTGGACTTTTATTGATAAATGGTACTGCCTGATACTTAAACAGTCTAGTATATCAACATTTATGATATGAATAATTTTATCCAGACTCTGAGTATTTGGGACTGGACTGTTGATGGAGAGAAGCCTGTGTGTAAAACAAACCTCAAGGCAGAGTATGGGCATCAGGTATGAAAAACAAGGAAATAAATTTTTGTCACTATTTTCATTTTGCAGCTTATGTTAAATTTTTTTTCGTTTATAGTTTCTCTATATGTTTTTTAATGACTGGTGATCAACAGATTTCTATTCTTGGAAACTGCTTGCATTTTCAAAAATAATACATGTAAGTTATTCATTAAGTTTTCTTAGATTGTACAACTGTTGTGGTGATCAACAGAATTATGTTCTTGGAAACTGCTAGTTCTTATTAAAAGAAAATAAAGAAATCATTATGGAATTCTTTAAAAATAGTGTGGTGAGTCAAGGAGTGCTATCCAGATTCTGTTTTCAAGTTTCAAAGATAATATTCATAGGTATTTCTTTTTTTTTTTCAGCACTACATTCATTTCAACCCAGATGATACCTTCCAGCTGGTCAGCAACAGTGAAAGCCAAGTCATCTTTTATTCTTGGGTATGTGAACAAAACCAGTTGGTATTCAGAACAAGATAACATTTCATTATGATTTTTCCCAATAATGAAGTTTTTCAGGTTTCTGTTGCTTAGTTTGGTATACCATTCATCATTCTTGTAATTGTGGTTTCCTTGAGCTCAACTACTACAACTGAGACCTGCAAAACCATATTGTTCAACCAAATTATGAGCATAGAAAAGACAGACATTTTAATTTATGCAAAGTGCAAACTATCATGGTTTCCACACTTTTAAATTTACTCTAGACTCTAGTAAACATACTTAGGCTCCGTTTACATGGAAAATCTATTTTCTAAAAATCTAAAAATCTATTTTCGGTATCCTGTGATCACGGTCTGTGCCCTGGATACCCCGCGGCGTAATTACTGGCAGCGCGAGCGAGTTACTTCCATAGCTGTAATTAATTCTCGGCTGCGCTCGGAGGAGATTCTGATACCTTGATGCATCGCTTGCCATCGGATCATGATGGTTGCACTCATATCTGTCATGTGTATAAGGTCTTCACCTTCTTCGTCTTGTTGTTGCACAAAATCGACAAACACAATTTTCAAAGCAACCGTGACCGCCATTTACTTTCTAACTTCCTACTGCGCTTGCATCAAGGTATCAGAATCTCCTCCGAGCGCAGCCGAGAATTAATTACAGCTTTGGAAGTAACTTGCTCGCGCTGCCAGTAATTACGCCGCGAGGTATCCAGGGCACAGACCGTGATCACAAGATACCAAAAATAGATTTTCAGATTTTTAGAAAATAGATTTTCCATGTGAACGGAGCCTTATTGTATCATCTATGTTTGACAGCCTTAAAAACTACTGAATCAGTTGAACAATATTCACTTAATATCCATGGTATCTTATATGGTTTGGGCCTTGGTATTGTAGTCCTCAGGTCAGTTGGAGTACTTTGCCCCACCTCTACAAGATGAGGATTTCAACAAGCAAGTAGGTCGATACAGTCAGACCATCTACCAAACCAACAGTTCAAGAGCACTCACAGCAACATCAGTGGGTAACCTGGTGGTATGGGACAATAACAAACCATTAACTAAAGGTGAGAACAGTATTTTGTATCAGATGTATGGGTTCTATTCTGTAAAACTGAGTTGGTAAAATAATTATACCAACTCAATTTTACTGAAAAATTGAGGTTTTTGCAATATATTTATTAGTTTAATAGTAGTCTTTATTAGGTGATATAACTGTTGTTTATATAGTAGTCATGACCCATGTATTACAGTTGCATTACCCCTTCAAAAATACTTCTGAGTCTTAGGTATCATTGCAACTGATTTCACATTTTACTACAGCAATTCATCCTTGTAGTATGTGTAAGAAATATGTACTTTATGTACAACTGGAAGACATGACATTTTGACAAAAGACATGATGGTGATCATAGATCTATTAGATAGTCAAGTGCATGTACAGAAACACTTAATGTGCGGTGAAACCGTTTTGCATTTTCAGTTGTCAGCACTGATCCTTCACCAGACAAGAAAGCACTGAAGCTTGTTAAGCTGCAAGATAGAGCAATCAATGTTCTTACTACAACTGACGGGTAAGTGTTTACAGACATATATCTCTGATGATAAGCATTTGCAATATTGAATCACAGAGGGTAAATGGTTTGATAGCAGTGTGTTTTTTTCCCTCCTGTTAATTTTATTTTCATTTTTTTTTCAGTACAGCAAAATGCTTTCTCACCCTACGTAAAATAGAAGTAGCATGAATAATGTTTTTGTAGCTTGTTATAAAAATTGCTGTTTTCCATACTTTTCACAATTCTCATTGGTTTATGTTAATTTTTTAGACTGATGTTCTTTGCGGTCAGACTAAGGCTTCATTCACATGCAATGTCTATTTTCTAAATTTTATTTTCTATTCGCAGTATGTCTTATGATCACGGTCTGTGCCCTGAATATCCCGCAGCGTAATTACTGGCAGCGCGAGCCAGTTACTATAAGTTACTATAAGTAACTGGCTCGCGCTGCCAGTAATTACGCGGCGGGATATTCGGGGCACAGACCGTGATCATAAGATAGCGCGAATAGAAAATAGATTTTTAGAAAATAGACATTCCATGTGAACGAAGCCTAATGTTGCGTAATTCTATTTCCAGATATATTGTAACAGGGGATGTCTTAGGCCACGTTCGCTTCCTAGACCAGACACTTAAGCTGATTATGTGGTAAGAATTAGTTCAGCATTACTACAAGTGTATGATTAACAGTGTTATTAATAGATGTATATTCAGTGTGTTTTACCCTTAATTTCTTGGGCTTTCAATAAGATATATTGTTTTAGAAGTTGTTGGCATAGCATCATGGTTATTTTCTTATCATTCATCTGTATGATTTCCTGCGCCACGTGTCATAATTGTGACTTATCCAAATTGAAGTATGATATTTCATTGTGACAGGTATCAAGATTTCAATCTGGGGCCTATCAGTTCCATCTCTTTTGCTTGTGATCCCCAATTTCATGACAGGTGAGAACAGTGTTCATTGAGTAAAAAGCTGGCACTGATGATAATGTCATTAATAACACTATCACTTGTGTTTATTTAATACACATTTCACTGTCATTATTGCTTGAGTTTCAGTGTACCACACTTGGTGTTATTTCACAGGTAATAATAGTAATGCACGTGTAACATGAAGTGTCACAGCAGAGATAATGTGTAGTTTGTTTTCATGTTCATAGCAGATAATGTTTTTCTGATTGAGTAATAGCCCACTAACTCACTGGTGTTCATTTCACGGCACTCTCATTTGCAATATGCACTGCACTTTTCCATTATAGAACTGAGGATACATGGGAGGAGGAGCAATTTGGACAGCATCAGAGTTTGAGGTTAGCATTTTAAATGTTGTAGGATATTCACCACCCTTTAAATATTTGTCAGAATTTTTTTGTATTCTCAGGTAAAATCTTAGATTTTCTCAATATAAGACTGAAAATAGAAAGAGTAAAATATTTTTTCAGTAATATAATGTAAGCAGAAAACAATAGCTCACCAATTATTAAAACATTGATAACTGCCAGATTATCTTACATGTACATCAAGCCAAGATGGGTCTCTGATCATTGACTAGCAGGCATTGGATTTCATTAAACAGTATACTGCATGTTAAGTTCCCTAGTGCTAATGACATTTTATTGAATTTTAACTAACAGTTAAAGGCTTTTCTTATAAACAGTTAACCATGTTATATATTTGAAATCAGACATACTTCATATGCCAGTTAGTTGTAGCACTATTGTACGCATTTTAGTTTTTGAGTAAGAACCCATTCTGATAGACACATGTTACTAGTTGGGTTGATCCAACTCTGCAGGGGATTCTCGTTAAGTACAATCTGTGGAATCAGGTTAATTGTCTGACATGCCTTCTTAAGCAGCTAGGGAGTAATTAACCCAAATAAATTTACCCCCTAGCTGCTAGAGGAGGCTTGGCATTCAATTAAGCCAATTGCACTTAACGAGAGCCACCACAGAGTTGGACTGACCAAAATAGTGTCTGATGTGTCCACTGAATGCTCCCTACCATAACATCAGACACATTTTCATCTAACTGTTCAATTTTCTATTTGAAACAGACTGAAAGACCAAAGGGAATATCCAGCAGATGCTACAATCAAGGCACAGAAGCTTATCATCCGAGACTTTGTTGTTGGTACCTCTACAGCTGTTTATGGACATATAACTACACAGGGAACTATCATTGATGTAAGTTTACGCATGTAACTATGTCTGTGTATTAACTAAAATGAACAATTAACTGAAAACATAATCCATGTTTTTTCTCCTATGAGATTTACCTCTGCTTGCTTTCTGTATTTTAAAAAGTGAGATTGATTTCTTGGTAAAGCTAAACAGCAAAGGCAGAATAGAACTGCAGATGTGATACAGACATCTCTGAGAGTATATTTTAACAGCTTGTGGTTGTTTATCTGATCTCAGAACATTATAGACCAATGCAGTTTAAAATGGAATGTAAGCTGTTGTGATAATAAAAAAGGACAAATTCAATAAGAGAAAGCACCATATTAAATTTGATGTTTGAGTGAAAATAAAAATGAACTTGTGAGTCAAGGATGAAATTTAATCAATGAGTCAGTTTTTTTAGAAACAAGTTATCTCACCAATGTAAATGATAATCTTCCGTATTGTTCCCAACCTACTGAGCACTGCATTACAAATTGACAAATGTCAGAAAATCAATGGGTTGGTCATTGTTTTGTGTGAGATGTTTTGACGGGACAGAAATCAGATGAACACGTGTCAGTAGTTTCTATATAGCTTTGTTTTTTTTTAGGTGATTCACCGTGATCATGATGCTTCTGTCCATGCTCTGGCTGCTCATCCTTTTAGGTAGGTATGATTCTAGTTATCACTCTGTGGAGAAAAAAAATTAATTCAGATGTCAGTGGTCATCAAGTTTAAGCACTTTCCTCTTTAGAAAGCACATAAGGAATTACATTACTCTTTTGCACAAATTAAATTAAGAGTATGTAATGCTTATTGTTGATTTAGTATAAATCAATGAAAATCCATGAATTCCATAGGGCATACAAGAAAAGAATTCCTAACTCATGAGGGGCATTGTTAATTCTTACTTTCAAGTTTCAGACATTTGTAGTAATTAAAACACGGGGATAAAACTCATGAAGCAACCGTCTTTTTTGATATTACCTAATATAATACTGCTTTACTTTCAGACCACAGATAGCCATGGGCAGTTATTCAGGTCTATTAAAGCTTTGGGACTATGAAAAAAGGTAATTATTTTATTACAATAATATTATTGAAAATAACAGACTCTATAATTATTTTTGCAATCACAAATTTCCTTGTGATTCTGCAATGAAGCCAGTTATAAAAATGATGAAAGAATGATTGACACTGCATGATTTATTACTACATGCTTGTTTGAAAAGATTAAGCTTTTTTAATTATTTGAGGTAGTGTTACAAACCACACTTTTTATTCTAGAATTGTGATAGCTTCCCGGTACTTTGAGAGAGGAAACATGATCAGATGTTGTTCATTTGATCCTACAGGATCTTTTATAGGTAAGAAATTTCTTCTTTTCTCTTTTATTTTTTTACATACCAAGAAATATTGTTCAGTCAAGAATTTAATTATTTATTTTTATCTATTAAGTATATATATTTATTTCCAAATCAAAAGTAATTTTGAAAAAAAATACTTACGCCTTCTGTTTTGATGTTGCATGTGCATGCATTTGCTTTTACTGAAACTTACTAGAGTTATATATTTGAAATCAGACTTACTTCAAATGCCAGTTAGTTGTAGCACTGTTATGTGCTTTTTTGTTTTTGAGTACACACCCATTCAGATAGACACATGGTACTAGTAAAGGTGGTTTGATAATTTTTTCCATATTTTTTGATACTTTCTTAAAACATAATCTTTAAACTTTTGACATAATTATTAAAGCTGATCTTTAATCTTAATGTGAAGAAAAATTTAGGTTTATATTGATTGGTTTTTTGTTTGTTTGAGACTTGAATGTTTTCAGAGCCATGGTGATAAGTTTTATCACACAAATATATAGATTAAACATAACAAAAGCCAGAGGAAATTCCTTTGGTTATGTTCATGTGTATTCAAGACAGAAAATGTAGTAAAATGCATGATATTTGGTGGGTGTCTCGTTCATAATTATGATTCTTTCATAGATGCTGTTTGTTTCTGGTGATGTGTTAATGTGGCACATTTTTATGTTTAAGTCTGTTACCATTGTATATGATCTCTGTAGAAAGAGTTGGTAGTGTGCCATGTCCAGCAGGTAATCAAGAGCTACTGCCACAGACAAGTTTACCTTTTAACCTAAAGTCAAGAGGTTTCAGGTGTTATTCACTTGCACATTAACCCGAAGTTACAAAATTGGTATTGAAGTCACAGTTTAGAATTATATATAATGATATTCAATATACATATATAAATGTCAATAGAATTATATGACTGAAATACTGAAAACACCATAATATGATATTTAGTCACTTGCTTAGTTATGCATTATATCTTATCAGGATTTCCAATAACAATTAAATGAACAAGGCTTTCATATGAAAGAAACCGGCTTTAAATGCTATATACATATATGTAGGTATATGAATTTTTATTAAGGACAAAATTATAAATGACAAGTATATGCTGTGATAAATGAGTTGCATTGGTGTAATCACCAAGATCAGCCAAGCCCCCAGCAGATCTGGCATCCTGTAGACACTCAGCATCAACTCATTTTTTCAGTTTAATTAAATGTCAAAACCATCAAAGGGAATCTCTCTGGTTTTCTGAAAGGGATAATTCAGCTATCCCTCATGCTTAAAACCCTGCACTTATAATTTAAACTCTAAAAACTGCTCTGATGTTAAAAGGGCCCTTGTAACTCCCATTGAAAATAAGCTTAGGTGACAAAAATCTTTCCCACAACCATGTTTTGGTCATGAATATCTATATAAACACTTATCAATAACATAAAAAAAACATTGCTAAATGCAACCAGATGTTGTTCATCTAAAGTAATGTTATCCTAATGTTGAGTTCATTTGGGTTGTGTTGCAATATTCCTCGAAAGCAATTTATAATGGAAGCATTTTTCAAATCAATGAAATAATCCATTAGTGATTGCAATTACTACCAATAATAACGGTAACTAGTATCAGGAAATGCATGACATATCCATTATGTTTTTCTGTGCCATCTTCCTTGACATAGATTAGATTGATTAAATGAAAGGTATCTGGTTCATCTAAGTACAATTTGTTTCATGTATCAGCAGTGGTTTAATATGTTTATTCTTATTGTTAAGAAATAGAGCATATTTAAACTTTTTTTGTTTTACCTTTTAAGCTGTGGGTTTCATGAATGGAGCAGTTAATGTGGTGAATGCATTTGATTTACAAGATGAGTGCAGTGAGCCTTTCCGCTATGCCAGAGATGTCATTACACACTGTGCTTTCTCTCATGATTCTCAGTATTTGGCAACTGCAGTAAGTACTATGTATTCTCTGTGCATGATACAGCTACTCAGTTGTAAAATTATGTACAGTGTGTAATTTTTTTTCTTATCATTTTTCATTTGATCATTTGTCTTTTTGTTAGCAGGATATTTAATAGTGATTGAAGCAATTTTGTCTAAAGCACTTTAAATTGTGATGATGAACTGTTTAATAATTCAAGAGTTTTCCATTAATTTTCTTCAAAACTAAAATTTATCAATATCTTAAATAATTTATTTTCTGCTTGCTCAAGTGCACTGTTAAGATATTGTTTGCAAGCTCATACAGGGTTATGTTTCAATTTAAATAAGTACAGTTGTAATCAAGTAGATTTTTCTCTTACACCAACACTTGATGCTTTTAACAAAATCTACAAAGTCAAAAGTATCTGCGTTTACATGTTCTTTTCACTACAAATGGTCAACAAATATTAGAGACCAATACCCCCTAATGTAAGACTGCATCTGTGCTCTAGGATGGGGAGTGCACTGTGTCAGTATTCAAAGCACAGCACACAGATGGAGAAGAACCTTGGATCTACTTAGGCAGACATCGAGCTCATTACAAGCTCATCAAAGACTTGATATTTGGAGTCCAGTTAGATTCCAATCTACCTAGGCTTATGTCCTTGGGAGCAGACAGAGTGCTTGTAAGTACAAATACATAAGCTCAGGATGAAGACCATGTTATTGGAATTGGTGTGATTGCTTGGTCATACATTAAACTCACCAATATTTTATGACTTGAGCTCACTACTCATTAAGTATTTATGTTGTAATATTATTGGATGCTTAATGAGCCTTGTTTTCTTTTTATTGAGTTTCGCCATATGTAATTGAATATTTGATTAAAAAGAGTATAATAATGCGACAGTCTAAAGTTTGGCAAAAACCTGCTCACTTCACCTACGAGTATGATACCCACCAGCTGTAAATGACATCAATTTGAACCATCCACTACAGTGTCTTTTCACAGTACAATGACAGTCAGTATTGGTTCTAACCTTTTTGCATCATGACTACCATTATATTTTTGATAATTGCTGTCGAAAAGTGTGAAAAAAAGTAAAAGTCTAAAAAATCTAAAAGTGGATCTAAAAATTCAAATGTAAAGTCTAAAATAGTACATAAACATTTACACCTAAACAAATGGTTAAAAAGTGAAGGTCAATTCAGACATGTTCTTCTTCTCCCAGGTGGAATATGACTTGCAGAATAGTGGCAAGGATGACCTGCGTGTAATGGAGTCTGACAGGATAGAACAGAGTGCCCAGCCACTGTGTCTCACGTGGTATCCAGCTCTCAAGAAAGAACACTTCATTCTCACAGTAAATGACCAGGTAAGGCACAGTATAAATTTGATAGTGAAATTTAGATGTATATTGAATTTTTTGTTTTATTTTATTTTTTTGAATGATTGTGAACTATCAGTATTGTAAACCAAAGCCAAAAACTTATTACTGTGTAGATATTTATGTAATCAGTGAGGATGGGAAAGATAAATGATTTAAATTTCAAAAATAATCTCAGGCATACATTTGAAATGTGAGTCAGAATACTAAGTATCTTGTATACATGGTAATAAAGCTTTTCAGATATGTTTATTGCCAAGTGTACTACAAATAAGCTTTTCAAAGATTCGGAACTTGTTAATTTTTTTGTTCTTCGTTGATTTTGTTAAATAAAACTGCAGTTAAATCAAGCACTGAAGCAATATAGTATTAGCTCAAACAGAAAATCACAAGTTGTATTCTAGTCTCACCACTGACAATGATGTATTGACATTGTCTTTGTTTTGTTTAGTGAAACAGAGTTACAAATTTGATTAGGTCTTGCAAGAATTATGACTGTCCATGTTATGAGAGTTAATAATGTCTCTAGCGGCAGATTCCAAATCCATGAGGATGGACGGTATTTCATTATAAAACTGACACCATTTGATCGGTTCATTTCCTAATTGTGCAGCAGTTGTTGAACAAACAAAGCAGTGAAGCGTTACAATATTGGTACCAGCAGCATTTAAAATTGATAGATCACACAATGGTGAATAATTTAGCTTTTTTTACATTGAGCAGGTGACATAGTGATTTTTAAACCTCATGCAGTTTGTATGACAAGTTATCATCAGTGTACCCAATAAAATGTGGTATTGTTGTTGTTTTAGATCTATAGTATAAATATGATGGATAAGAAATAAAAATTGTACAGTATCATATCATTAAAAGTTAAATGTTATCCATTTTGGAAAAGTAATTCCATATAGCAGTGTTGTTTGGTAAATGAAAGATTTAAAGTGTTGTAACCAAAGTGGTGTTTTATCTCTGTTGTAAAGACACAGCTGTCAAAAATGAAAAGTTAGCTAATTAGTTTTCTGTTGAAAGCAAGTCCATATGTCATGCTTGTATTCATGTATCAGACATGTGCATTTATTGAAAAAAGTGATAGTGAAACACGCTTTCTTTGCAGTACAAATTCAAGCTGTATAATTCCACCACCAAAATGTGCAGGAAAACCCTTTTGGGGCCAACATATGGGTCTCCAATCCAAAAGTGAGTATACAAAAAAAAAAAAAGTTAAATGTTTGCAAGTGCACGCGTGCACACACACACACACATACACACACACACACACACACACTTAAGTCCCACAGAGGTTTATTCAGAATATTTTATAGCCCTAGTCTTATTCACATTGCCGATAAGTTTGACCATTCTTAGCTGCAGGCCTCCTAANTATTGCCAACTGTACTACAAATAAGCTTTTCAAAGATTCGGAACTTGTTAATTTTTTTGTTCTTCGTTGATTTTGTTAAATAAAACTGCAGTTAAATCAAGCACTGAAGCAATATAGTATTAGCTCAAACAGAAAATCACAAGTTGTATTCTAGTCTCACCACTGACAATGATGTATTGACATTGTCTTTGTTTTGTTTAGTGAAACAGAGTTACAAATTTGATTAGGTCTTGCAAGAATTATGACTGTCCATGTTATGAGAGTTAATAATGTCTCTAGCGGCAGATTCCAAATCCATGAGGATGGACGGTATTTCATTATAAAACTGACACCATTTGATCGGTTCATTTCCTAATTGTGCAGCAGTTGTTGAACAAACAAAGCAGTGAAGCGTTACAATATTGGTACCAGCAGCATTTAAAATTGATAGATCACACAATGGTGAATAATTTAGCTTTTTTTACATTGAGCAGGTGACATAGTGATTTTTAAACCTCATGCAGTTATTATACATTGTTTTCTTTGTATGACAAGTTATCATCAGTGTACCCAATAAAATGTGGTATTGTTGTTGTTTTAGATCTATAGTATAAATATGATGGATAAGAAATAAAAATTGTACAGTATCATATCATTAAAAGTTAAATGTTATCCATTTTGGAAAAGTAATTCCATATAGCAGTGTTGTTTGGTAAATGAAAGATTTAAAGTGTTGTAACCAAGGTGGTGTTTTATCTCTGTTGTAAAGACACAGCTGTCAAAAATGAAAAGTTAGCTAATTAGTTTTCTGTTGAAAGCAAGTCCATATGTCATGCTTGTATTCATGTATCAGACATGTGCATTTATTGAAAAAAGTGATAGTGAAACACGCTTTCTTTGCAGTACAAATTCAAGCTGTATAATTCCACCACCAAAATGTGCAGGAAAACCCTTTTGGGGCCAACATATGGGTCTCCAATCCAAAAGTGAGTATACAAAAAAAAAAAAAGTTAAATGTTTGCAAGTGCACGCGTGCACACACACACACACACATACACACACACACACACACACACACTTAAGTCCCACAGAGGTTTATTCAGAATATTTTATAGCCCTAGTCTTATTCACATTGCCGATAAGTTTGGCCATTCTTAGCTGCAGGCCTCCTAATTAAGTTGAGTACCACTGGTAGCAGGTGTATTCCTATTGCTTTCTGAGTTAGTTTCGTTCTGTGCTTAGCAGCAAGGATGACAAGTAGATGGAAGAAAGGATTACTTTTGCTACCTTTGGTGACCTTAGCTTAATCGTGGCTTAATCAGGCTGCCCACAATGAAGGATGATGCTGAGAAGAGTCACCCTGTCTGCAATACAAATGTAACTTCAGATTTAAAAAAGCAAATACTTTGAGCAACTGTATCACTTGCTCATTAACAGGGCAGTATCTTAATAATACCAGTGCTGCTTAAGTACTGCAAGTGCCTGAGCATTACTGGTGTTCTGCCTGTGTAACAATTTTATGAACAACCCACAGATATTTTGCTCAACACTACTGATACAGTTCATGATTCTGAGCATTTTTACAGGTTTCCACACAGCGACAAGTTTTCTTATAGAGTGACCTTGCATCCAGGTTTTCATGTCTCGTTTTCACAATGCACTGAATCAAAATCATGTACATTTGTCCAGCAATCTTCCTTTCAATTAGTTTGCATTGAAGTCTACTCTTCATCAAAAACTCTTATTATAATTTGATGATTGTAACATTAATTTGGAAAATTAACACTTATAAAAACTCAAATATACTTTATTTTTTCCTTCAATCTAGGAAACAAAATCTAGTAAAAATCATGCCAAGATTCCTCTCTAGCTGAGTCAGAAACCTGTAGTTGTGCATGGAAACACAAAATGTAAACGTGGTGTTGTGAATATTGGTGGGTTGTGTGAGACTTGTGAGATGTATGAAAACAGCAGTAAAACTAAAACTTAAACAGAAGGTAGTTAAGGAGTCCTAAATGTAATACCTTTATGTTATTTCTGTTTTTCAGGATAGCAATCATCCCCACTCCAGACCCAGATAACAGCAAGAGATACCTTGCTTACATCAATGATGACAAGGTGGGACTCCATATGCTGCCTCTGGATGGTAATCCACACAATGCCATGGCTCTGGTAGCACATCCTACAGGGGTAAGTACAATCTTACTAAACATTAGTAATACTAAGTGATTTCACTTTAAGTGAAAAAAAATGGTGGAATGATATCACGTTTAAGTGGATTGGCTTGAAACAGCATCAAAAGGGATAATAATTCTTCGTATGAGATCTATATTTCACAATAAAAGCATTGTGAACAACTCATGGAAATTTAATATATTCTGTTGTACCACAAAAAACAGCAGTTATAGCTACTATTCTGATATCTGAGCTTGTCTTTAGACCACGTGACCTCCATTGATGGCTATACCCTATACTCTTAAGAGATTATAACAAAAAACAAACTTTTTAGAAAAAAAACAGGGACTAACTTTGAATGTAAAAATGGATTCATTAACCATTGGAGTATGGGAAAATTATTGTTTACTCCAGGAAAATTCATTTTTTGGTCAAAACAAAAAGTTATTATCCCTTTAAGAACATAAAGAAAAACAACAATATTGCTGGTGGCATATTAAAAAAAGAGAGAAATGCACATATGAGCATTTGCAAATAAGCTGCAGTATTATTACCTGGGTTTTGAATAGCTGGCTCATCCAATCAGGGAAATTGATTTTTAACAACAGGAAGTGCTATGTTGCAGTTTGCTGTCATCTAAAAAGCTGGTGACAAAAGCAAATTGCAGACTTTGGGATTTTGTTCAGTGATAGACTTATCATAAGGCTAATGGATCCACATGGGACCTGGGGATCCTGAATTTTTAATAAAAACACCCTTAAAATTATTTGTTAGCTTTCCATCTCTTTCTTGCAACCTAAGCTTCTATTTCTTTCTCTCTCTCTCTCTCTCCTCCCCCCCCCCCCCTCCACCCCTTGAATTTGTTGTTGTATTAATGCAGTTCAACTCACTTCGAAATCAGTGCCTCCTCTCACAGGTCCATGGAGCCCCAAGAGTTTTGTGGAAGAGATATCTAAGGTCAAGTGGGGAGGCATATTTCTATCAGATCAATAGTAATCAGCACTTATGCCCACTTCTTGCACATTTATAGGAAAGAATTCAAATGCTCTATGACATATGCTCCACTACTGTATGTTTACCCACTCAACTGCCAACATGTATAAGTGTGTCTGCCAGGTGACTGGTTTGACTGTGCTGTTAGTATCTTCTACTGTGTTCATTTATTGGTTTTATACCCAGTAAACTTGCCAATTAATGGCACGCTTTATAGGTAAAAATTGTTAATCTAAAAGAACAGTTCTCAGTGTGAATAAAAACAGCTAGGGGTTTGTTTAAAGACAGGGCATTGACTGGTATATGTACCATAGTTGTTGGACAGAACTGGTCCACTGTGAGCAGCATGATCTTCATAAAACCATAGGATGAAATGCACCTTTCCTGTCAGCTCAGGATACAGTGGAACTGCCTGTGGGTCACGGTTGTATTCATCAGTGCTGATCACTGTGAATTACCGTTTTGTGATTTCAGGTTGCTAACCTGGCCTGCAGTTATGATGGTAAATATGTGTTCACTGCTGGAGGGCCAGACTGCACTGTACACATGTGGCAACTCAATGTGCTGTAAGTATGGATTTATTATATGGCTTTATTGGGATTCTGGTCTCAGCTTGTGATTTAGATGAACCAGCCAACTGCTGTTTTTTTTTTTTTTTTTCTATAAGGATTTGCATTTTAACTTATGGTGGAATTTTTGATTAAATATAAATACAGAATCTTTGGTTTGAACAAGATTTTATCATATGCTTTGACAATTAATACTTAGTCTGGCAAAACTTGAAAGGAGCTGTCAGTCATGGAGAAAAATGGGTGATTTTTGGACCTCAAATATTAATTGCCATTTTATGAATACAGAGCACTTGAGGCACAGTCAAAGATGGGAGGTGAGGACCTGATACCTTTCTATGGTCTGCTGGATGGAGGTCGAGATGGTGAGCTGTTTGCAGAACTGGAGAATTATTTTTATTATGCTCAAATAAGAAGGTAAGAACATCTAAAAGAATATTACACTGAGAGCTTGTCAATGAAATGTTGTTTACTTTTTTTCTTAAGCTTCTAAATAAGTTTTAAAGGCATTCTAGTCAAAGTTTCTAAATAAGTTTTTGAAGGCATTCTAGTCAAAATAGGCCACTATATAAAGAAATATAAATTGCCTGAAAATTTCACCAATTTCAACTTGAACACCAAGATATAATATAAATAAATCTATTCTTCGAGCACTATAAACCCTAAAGTTTTGTATAAGAATCTTTTAATCTTTTACATATCTAAAACAAACTTTCATGTCATCAGAACTATTAAAGGGTTTACATAACAAATGATGTCCAAATAACAATACCATGCAGTGTCTACAGATGATGTTAGGCATGTTGTTGAAATAGAGGTTTTTGAAATTTTTAGAAAAAATATTATGTCTATATTATTGTAATTTTCAGAAAAAATATTTTGTTTATCTTACTGTTATTCTTAGGTACCCCCACTTTATTCTTTGTCTTCAATTTTTTTACATTTATGTCTGTGTTTACTTTTTATTTTTGGAAAAGTTGGTTACATAGTATGCATCTGCAAAAGAGCTCCCATCACAAATTCTGTTTCTTTATCAAAGGTGAAGAAATCGAGAGAAAATAAGAATGAAAGATTGGGTTAAACCAGGTGTACTGAGAGTAATTATTTGGTCTCTGTACTTTGAAGAGCATATGAACTGGTGGTTGTTAACCTCCTGTGGTTGCCCTATTGATCTGAGCCCCTCTAGAGAGTATACAGAAACCATGGCTGAAATTAGAATTGGATCTTGGAAATAAAATATTGGCACTGCACTGGCAGAATTCTGGGCACACTTGTACTACTGAGCAATTGATCTGGCTGGTAGAGTCGGGTGTATAACATTGCAAAACATTAACTCTTGATTTTGTGAAAATTATTTGCTTGTAATAGGCTGTTTGATAGTTAACTTGATTGACTATCTTGAAATTTTGTATATACTGAGTTGTGTACTTGACCTAAGACCCAAGTTATTTATTATGATATTTAATTTTTTGTACATTTTATCAACAACCAAAGCACATTTTCGGCAAGATACATGTATATATTGTTTTCAATAAAAGGTAAATATCCTGAAAAGAACAGTGTTGAGTATAGAAGCTTATCTTTAAATTTTACTGTTGACATAAGGGTTCGAATCTATGTGGAGAATTTAATCGGTCTTGGCATATGGAAGCATTCCATTACTTGTAAGAAAAGTGCTTTATGCATAAATGTTTTATTTTACAGTCAAGGTGTGAATACTATGGACACTAGAGCTGTTTCTGTGAAGATTCCATTATCTGAGGTGCCATATGTCATGATGGCCATGGGATTTTATCCATCTCAGCAAGAGGTAGGTCTCATTTGATGGGAGATAATACAACATGTTGATGCATTTTTGTACAAAGTCGGTCTTTGCTCTGTAGATGTGAAAAAGTCAACCAGTGTGGGTGAATAAAATAATGTGAAACTTATTTTTTACTTAAGCAATGGTAAAATCAATATAAAACACAAAAATAGAACCTTTTTGATAGTGCCCCAAAATAACTTGAATAACCACATATTAAAAGCATGTAAGTTTTTCTAGTATCTTATCTCTCAAGTCTGTGCTAAACCTGGTTCAGCAGTAATTGCAGGTCTTCACAATACATTTATCAGCTATCTGATCTATTGCCAAGCTTAAAAAAATCTTAACCCTCTTACTCTGGCTGCGTAATGCTTGACATGGCGACTCACTGTCCACACTTCTGGTAATGCAGTTACAGACCTTCTAAATTATTAGTTTAGATGTGGTCTGAAAGGAATGGCATTGTAGAAGGATGCTTGTTTTGCTCTGTGGAAATTTATCAAAGAACTTGCAGCTGTGATTAAATTTGCTCCTGATGTGGGTTAAAGTGCATTTGAGTCAAATGTATTTCTGTTCAAATTGGTATGACAATTTCTAAGTACTCTGTACATAACAGAGTCTGGGATTTATGCCATATAATCCCATAATTAGATTTGTTAATGACTCCACAGATTGTGTTGACCAGGTCAGCAGGTTAAGATCAATCATCAGAACACATGCATCTTGTGTCTAGTGATATATTTTAATTTCAAAATTCCACTTTTTTATTTAAAGATGATTTTCAAATGTAGAAAAACATATGTAAGTTATGTGCTTGGACATGTGGAGATTACACAGCTTATGGGAAACAGCAACAGCAGATGTCTACCGGTATATTTAATTACTGCTTATACCTCAGTTGAGTTTGTGTTGTTAACCCCCCTCCTTTTTTTGGTATTCATTACTACATGTATTATTAATGATTGTACAAAAGATATAAAACAGTAAATAGCAAAAACATTGAATATTTTACATAAAATGGTATATTACACGGCAATGCATCATATATATTTCCAGATTCAAGACATGTTGAATGAAGTGAAATACAGTGAATATGTTGAAACAGGGAAATATGTGGAGGAGATTGATCTAGGAGAGTTTATAAGATGTAAGTAATCAGTGGTTCATTTTTTGGATTGTAAATGTACAAGACATGCTCTATGTGTTACTGGTGTTCATGTTTATAAAGGCGACTGTAATATCATAATTTCTTGGCACAGCTTCTGTTGGTCACGGGTGTTTCACCATACACTGAGCTTAACATTGGAGATTTTTCAAAGCCCAGGTGGAGTATGTCCGTTTCAAATATACAGGAGGGGGGAGTTCAGATTTTAACTGCTGGGGAAAATCTGTTGTATCTGTTATCATGGGTCAGGTGAAAACATCAGTGACCAGCAAAAGTCCTTATGAGGAGGACACAAACATAGTCATTATCTTCATAGACATTGACTTTGAGAGTCCAGTTGTAGATTCAAATATTGTAAAAAAATAAACTGTCTATATATATACCTAACAATGGATTAATATTGATACATGTTTTAGTCCATGTAACCACAAATTTTTACATTTGATTGTTATTTTATACATAAAACACTTTTTGATTTATTATAAGAAGAGATTGTTTTCCTCATATATAAATTGCAGTCTGATGATTAACATGCATTTCTGTCCAGAAATATACATATATCAATAATTTACTAAATCTGTACTTAATTTTCAAATGTCAGTTTAATAATTCATCTAGATACAAGGTGTAAAATGAGACATTCCAAGTAAAAAAACAGGTTCACAATGTTATGAAATTCCTAAAAGCTGCATTTTGACAGCAATTTGATAATAGGTATATAATTTGGTAAGGCAAAAAATCCCCAATCCTCTATTGCCATCACTGTAATATGGTCAATCAAAAGTGATATGTTAGACAACTGATTTATGCCATGAAGTACAACATATGCCTGCAGCTATGTCTGCAAGATGGTTGGCTTTTACCAAATCTAGCACTAAATATGATACTGTTGTGTCAGTCTGTGAATGGGAAATAAACATTAGTGAGCTTAGTGGAAGCCAGCCATCTTGATAAGTATAACTTAGTGATATTGATCTCATGTTTGGAAGGAGGAGGAGGAGGGATAAATGGAATAAGATCTTGGAGGATATACAGTTGGAACTAAAAGGTTGTAGAAATAACACACCTTGTTAATGTTAATCTGATAATTTGATTAGGTGAAACATTGGATATGTTGTTGTTTTTTCACACAGTTGAAGGTGTAGATATTTTCAGTATATTCACAATTTTCCAAATGTGGAAAAAATAAGGAAAATGCTTTTTTATTTCCCATGAAGAAATCTATTAATTTTTTACATTTGATTGATTTTCTATGTTGCAGTGTATATTAACCATCGACCAGCTTTTGGATTGTCTCCTGAAAGACTGGCTGCAGCATTTGAGACCCTGGGGCTGCCCACAGAACAAGGCTATGCCATTGACAGGGGAGAGCTTTTAGATCTACTGCAAAGCAAAGGTAAATATTTTTGTTTTTGCAATTTGGTCTTTTAACTTAAGTGTTTGACATTTGATACAATTTATGTGTTTGTTTGGTTGTTCAACAGACTGTTATTTCTTCCATTTAATCCCAGATTCTTCCAAAAAGTTCAGCCTTATTTTAGCTTTCACCAAACCAAAAAGCTCTTGGAAAGTCACGCAAGGGTCAAAACTTTTTTATTACACCATGTGTATTGCATAACAGGTTTGGATTGGCATGAATCAATCTTGAGGCATGTGTGGCGTTAACTTATTTCTTTAGAGCTTGTGACATTCATTACACTTGAATAGTTTAACTTCAGTACCTCCACCAAAGAAGTTATATTTTGCATTTGTTGATTTGTTAGTTAACAGCCTAACTCTATATTTTATTAACAGATTTTGAAAAAATTTTCAGGTAATTAAGAAATGGGCTGACTTAAAATTGATTAGTTATTGGTTCTGAACTTCTGATCCATTAATTGCTTAGTTAATTAATTAATTAAAATGATAACTGAGCTGCCTTGGCAGAGTTCTGCATTTCCTGAGTGATTTTCTTGTAGGCAAAACAGAGGCTGCCTAAGAATGCAGAATATTAACTGTTGAATACTAAAAAAATAATCTTTGGGAAAAATATAACCACCTTGAGCTGAACTACAAATTAATTGTCAGCAATGGTGTAATTACTTCCTAATTTAGATAAAAGGTGAATACATTTTTCTCTGTAAATACTCATTTCCTTGTAGTGCTTACCAATCTGTTTCAGTATATTGTTATCCTGTTACTGAAATCCTGAGAGTATTGATTGATTGCAATCAGACTTCAGGGGTTATCTTAAGAGTAATCCCCGTAAAGACTTGAGGTACTGGAATACTGACAAGGGCAATGTGCTTGGTCAGTGGCAATCACTTAATTACCATACTAACTTAGATATTTTATATGCAATTGGCAACCAAAAGACTGATAGAATTTAATTATGCTTTTCCTTCTCATAAATAGCTATATCTACACACAATTGAATCATAGTACATGGCTTCTTTCTCAGTTGAATAGTATATTAATTTTGTTATGTTGTCGGTTCCTCTCTGTGGCAGATATTGTTATTACCATACTCAGCTGGAAATTGCAGTACTTGGCACAAGGGCCTTAAGGCAGGAATGCCAGTCAAAGCACATAAAAACTACAATGAATTGAAAAGCCTATTTGTTACACATAATGTCATCCATAGTAGTCCAGATAAGTGTCATACAGGTCAATTTAGGAAGATAACTAAAATATGAGTCAACATTATCATCACAGTCAAGCTCTTGATAGTTTAATTGATAATCCCACCCACTTAAAAATACAACTAGCTTTAGTGCATACAGTCCATCAGCAAAGAGATAATCATTAAACCATATGTGAATCCAGTAGGTGAATTCCGTTCTTCCATAATTCAATTGCCAGTGGCATACGGCATTACTCTGCTATCTTTGCTGCGCAACCTGGAGGGCTTGACTGCTCACTGGGGCACACAGTGGCAGTCTATGTAGAGTGTCTCCATCTAGTGGGAGAATATCCTTAACTGCCAACAAATTACAAATTATAAGTCCTTGTCTTACTCTTGACAGTCAGAGTCATGTAACTGACTTTGAAAATTTATCATTTTCAGCCTAAGCTATGTTGAAATAAAACTCCTCAACTCTGCCAAATTGGAATCATTTTGGTATTCACTACTGTTGATGTTGATAAAGAGACCCTTGACATGTAACTCAAAGTGATCAAAAAGTTTGTAATTTGATCCTGAAATCCACCCTCTTCATCTGTTGATCTGGGACCAGCAGTAGGTGGGATGTCATGGTAATAAAGGAACTTTGCATGTCACTGGGTGCCTGTACGGTAATCACACATAGTTCTGTGTGGCAGTTGTTATGGTTGCAAAGGGTTAATGTTTCCCTGATTGATGTTTCCCTTTTCAAGAGGAAATGTCATGAACCTGTTAAGAGCTGTCCTGATATAACTTGCATGTTTTGTGTTTTTGGATAATGTGAGCTAATGTTTTAATACCATGAAACTAGTATTAAACTAGGAGGTTTAACAGAAATGATGTCTTGGAGACAAGTGTAACTGTTAAATTCTATGCACAAAGTATTCATTCAAACCAAGGTATTAGTATGATTGGTGCTTTATAGCATGTTATGATATAATGTATTATACATGTCTTTTTAGCTTGATTAAAGCATGCAATATCAACCTGTATGTAACCTACAGGATGTGTTTTATTACGTTAGGACTAGTGTTACCAATTCCTAACTACACCAATCTCTTCTTGAAGCAAATATTGATATATTTGATTTAAGATGCCTGGTAAAGTCTGCCTGTTAACTGTAATCATGATGATAATTCTAATAAATAGATATACTATTAATTTGATATTTATACTTCTGCGGTAAGTACCATATTTAAAGTAATGTATAAAGAGTTAATTACCAGGTGTATGCAAAGTCAGTTATGATTGATGTAAATTTTCATCATGGTTTTATTTTAATTTGTAGTTTAGTGATATAATGACCCCACGTTGTTTGCTAATAGTATGACAGCTGGGGTATGTACATGTAGCAGTCTAGACTGCTGCTTGTCTCATCTGGACCATGTTACCATGTGGATTGTTACATTACACTAGCATGTGTGAATGATGTCTGCCAAATATGGCACAAATTATGTATGCTCCAGTAAGATGAGATATAAGGTTATCACACTGCTTCAGACAGTACACTTCTTGCTGCTACTAGGTAACTTCTAGGAAGGTAAAATGCAAGTCATTTTGCATACAGGGACATACAGCACATTTATAGTGGTCACTTATTATAAGACTATTGCTTAGCAGGTGAACTTGAGGCAGAGAGAGTTCAAAGGGCCATAGCTCTTGCTTGTAGACAGAATAGTTGCCATTAGTGAAAATGATATATTTTAACTAAAATATGAATAATTTTTCATAATTTTGCAGTAATTTATTATTGGGTTGGCTCTAAAGTGTGGTTTAACTCCAAGATAAATTTGCATTCAAACCTAAAGGGATGTAAATATCAGGTAAGCATGTAGCAACAAACAGCTCATTTAGAAATGCTCCCAACTTTAATTTTGCAGGTGAACACATGACAGAGTATGAGCTAGCTGAGTGCCTGACAACACTGCTGGGGTTCAATGCTGAAGGGGGCAGCAGTGAGATGCATGAGTTTGATCCCTCCACAGCGGGAGACATAATTGAGGAAAACCTGCCCCAGGACATCACTGTAGACATGTTTGCTGATGAGTTGCTGGGATTTTCTATGTATGTGCCCCCTGGACTGCCAGAGGGGCTGGCCACACATGAAACACAGACAGAAACCCTAGAGACATGATCAAGATGTTCTAGCTATTAATACCAGCAAAAAAAGAGACATACCAATGTTAATGGAACTTGAAATGTAAAAATCAGAATCCCAAAATATTGGAGAACAACTGGTAGATCATTTTTCAGTTTCACTCGAGGGAGTTGAATATACAGCACAAAAGAAGATTTGATTTCATATTATTGCATCATTTTGGATCTGTGTAATAATATACTAAGCACAATTCAATTTATAGCTGTTGTTTTGATCTGTGGGCATTTGGATTTTGACATCTGTTGTGTCTTTTAAGGCTGTTCATTAACTTAATATCACTGTGAACCTAATGATTGACTTAAGATCTCTTTGTTCTCTGCCCAGTTCACTATGTACCTGACTGACTGGCAATATAAAGTAAGTTGGTAGCCACAGTTCCCAATTACTTAAATGAAAAAAGGGGGAGGAAAAAGGAATAGCAATCCATCACTCCCCCCAGTATAATTAAGTAGTGCCAAGCAAGAGATGAAACCCAACCTATGCCATACACTATGACATAGCTGTGTCACAGGCCATACTTATCTCAACAAGATAATTCAGGCATTAAACACATTTATCAGGTCTGCACATTCATAGGAAGTGTACAGGACCTTAATACAACCATAAAGCAACAGATGCAGGTGTATTGTCTCATAAATTAAAATATTTACCTAAGTTATATCAATACATATAACTTTGTTTTGTACATAATGTGAATACTATATATAATGTATTTTTAAGGGTTCATAATAAAAGAATTATGCTTAATTTGGAATCCTTATACTCTATACCAGTTGTTCTTTGTTTCCAAGCCGTGTGTGAAACTTACATAAATTTCCCATTTATGTGTTATCAGATGGAAATGGTGACCGGTAAGTCTGGGCTGTGGGGGGTTGTGGTTGTGGTTTATGGCTTTCATTTGGAAGGGACTTGTGATAAAGGACTGCCTTTTTGGCCTTATGATAACCAAGCAAATCCTGATTTGAAGGCCTAAGGCCTCATTCCCATAGACACCATCGGTCTATATGGATAAAGCCAACTCCGCTGGGACACTTGCTGACTGCAATCAGCTCCTGGTATTGACTAGAATACAGAAAAGCTGGTGATTATACGACAACACGAGATTAGACATCAAGCTTTTAGGTGGGATGCTATATTTGATCCAGGGACTAGTAAGTCCACTGTTTTGAATGTGGTCAATGATGTCCATGGGAATGGGGTACTTAGAGGGAGAGAACTGGCAGAGATATGCCCATAGTTACTATTGAACTTGAATAGGAAGTTATATACTGGCAATCTAGCTGTGACCTTGAATTTGACCTTTGACCTACTTTCTCTAAGAACTGAACATTGGAAATTTGCCGGCCTTTGTATCTCCAAAACTGACAAAGATATGCCCATCATTTTGAACTTGAATATGAAGTCATACACTGGCAATCCAGCTATGACCTTGAATTTGACCTTTGACCTACTTTTCTCTTTGAACTGAACTTTGAAATTTTTCCCTCTCTTATTTCTCTAAAACTGGGAGAGATACGCCCATAGTTACTGTTGAACTTGAATAGGAATTCATATACTGGCAATCCAACTGTGACCTTGAAATTGATCTTTGACCTACTTTTCACCATGAACTGCACTTCACAATTTTCCAAGCTCTTATATTTATTATTGAACTTGGATGAGAAGTCCTATATTCACAATCTTACTGCAACCTTGGATTTGACCTTTTAATTTTCCCTGCAATTTTGTTAATAATTGTAATTTTTTACAGAAAAAAATTGAGAACTCTTGGTCACTGCATTTTGTAGAACTAGACAAGCACAGCACTGGAGATGGTTTCCCTTTTTTTGTTTTGTTTTCCATAAGAATGTACTTACTCCAGCTGGTGGTACAATACCTGGAGGCAGTACCACCTCTCTGATCCTCTAGTTTTTTTTATGTTTTAATAATTTTAAAGGCCAAACCTCTATTAGTATCACTGTTAGATGGTTAGATGAGACCAAGAGATTTTATTTTTTCTAAAGCCCTCTCCTTCTATGAGCTATTAAAGAAAAAAAGAAGAAAATTAAAATTTATGCCTGAATGAAAAGATTACCAGCAGAGTGTCAGAAAGCTATTGTATACAACCTTGTTTTTTTATGCTTTGCTCACTTGAGGGATGGCAGCCATATCAGCCTCTGCATGAGATCAGTTTGAAGGTAATCTGTTGCCTCACTGCAGCTCTTTAATCAGCTATAATGACAAGTGAAGCTTATTCCGTGTTACTAATACTGACTGATTTCATTACCCCTTACCAGAAAACACACCGTCTGCTTAGTGCTCAAATCAAATATTGATCATAACCTAGTACTAACACCTTTCTCTATCTTAATGTTTATAGCCCTTTATAAAGTCGCCTATTCACCCTAGTTTCTTATATTCTTAGGTCACTAAAACTCTCCCACCTAGCACCTTAAAGAAAAGAAGAAGGGGGTGAGGGGCAATTTTCTTTCCGCAAAACAACGTTTGAGGAAAGTAAACTGAAACATGATGTAGCAAATGAAATTTCATGAAAAAAAGTTGTTTTGTAGATATTTCAGTAACTGTATAAATAAATATTTGATCTGTGAAATATTAGTCCTACGTTATAGCTCATTTTTAACGCAGACAAATTTATAATTGACAAATGACACACTGAAAGAATAAAAAAAATTCAATTTAGTAAAATTGCAGCAGTTGCTTTTGTGGATATTCACAGATGAAAACTAGTATATGATTGAGATACTCGAGTTAAAAATCAAAAGTTTTGATACCGTTTTATCTGAGGTCATCTGACATAGCGTGATTTTCCTGGCATACATCTGACTGCGTATAGAGCGTCAATCAGATATTCACAGCTGCAATTCTTTGAAGCGCTTTCATTACTAAGTGCGCTTGAGGTAGCAGGATTTTATTTACTTATTTTTCCTTGGATAGAGATCAGAACAAAATGACTGGCTACATTGCAACCTTGGGAAATATAATAAACAACATCCAAATATTTTTTCTTTCAGATCGATAAGGTCGGTACATTGGCAGCAATAGTTGATTTGAAAGCGGGTCTGCTCAATACCAAGTCTCTCCTATGATAACATTTTAAGGCCACACAAATGCTATGTTGACACTGGGGTGTCTCTCCTTATCATTTCAATATTGTTGTGAACGCTCTTTCTTGCCGTGATCTTACATATACCTTTAAGTTGCATGCATGTATGCACGCGTGTGCGTGGTACAATATTATCACAAGCTACAAAAATGTTAAATTACTACTGTGATCCGCCTTTATTTCTTCTCCTAAGATGAGACTTGTAGACGTCCATATAGAGTCCCAACCGACACAGCATCGCGTGACGATGTCGCCCTCATCTTGTTGACTAAGCAGTCACTGTAGATAAAGGTAAATGGATTATATATTCGAATGAACGGCATGGGGGACGGGCAAGCAGATGAACATCTGCACACATTCAATACTTTGGACAAACGGAGAAAGAGAGCATACGTGATAACAATCTTAAGCAAGAAAAAATGAATTGATGACAAAATGTTTTCTGTGCCTTTTTTTGATTTAGTATTCTAAGTAATACACGTGCAACGTATGTTTAATGAGGAATTAAGATTTATAGTCTGTTGTGTATCTTTGCAAACGTACGAGAATATTTTATTTACCAGTGCTTTACTAGGGTGAAACTCCTATGTCGAACAAATTTTATCAGATGAATTATCTAATAAAATGTTGATGTATTTCTGTTAAACACGACAAAGCATCATCATAACTCATTTTAGCCCGTTGATGCAATTAATGAGTTTTGATTTTTGGGTTCTGAAAAGGCAGTTCTAAGTAAATTACTAACAAATATACTTCATGGCTTGTGAGAGCAACGTACCTGTGAAGTTTAAAATTCGAATATGAAGCTTTTTTATAATATCGCAGAATATGCCTGCAAATGACAGACAGGCCAGGAAAATAAATCTGCCAGCCACGCAGGTGATCACAAGCAAGAAGTTCGCCAAGTAGATCGAGATAATTTAACCCATGCAATTTCTCGCTACCAAATCCTAAACTTTTTCAATTTCAGACCCTTCTCCATCAGCAGATAATGTGAAGAAACTCACTGTTGACCCCTGTGTAGAAGTCAAGTCGACCCACATGCCATCAGGGCAGTCTTTGCAAAAATATAAATAAATAAATAAATAAATAAATAAAATAAAAAATAACAATAACAATAACAATACAAGAAAGTATTTAAAAAAACAACGTCAAATTCAGTATTAACCAACAAGTTACAAAATCGTCTGTGTATATTTCATTTTATTTATTTATTTATTTATTTATTTATTTTTTTCGTTTTTTCCAATGACATTTTTCAAATAACAATATCTTACTTCACTTTAAGGCAATATGCCATGCTGGATTGGTCTCCTCTCTCTTTCTCTCTCTCTCTCTCCGGTCTGTCTCTCTATTTCAAGCACTATCTTGAGCTTGGATATAGGTCTTAGCGTACTCAAATTTAAAACAAGGAAATATCAATGTTTTTAAATTAATTTATTAGCCTATCATTTTAAGCATCTGTGCGTCATCTTGAAATTCGATGTTTTTACTTTAAATTATTTAGGTTTGCTTGTTTAAAACTTCACCTTAGGTTATCCATCAAAAAACTCCTTTTATTTTGCTATAAAAAAAACCATTTGCCCTGAGCGATAGATTTGCTATGTTGACCCCCACCCGCTACCCCCTTTGCTCATCTTTTAGATTGATTTACAGCATGTACATAAGAGAAAAAAGAGAAGTTATATGTGCTTTATTTTCGTCTTTTGCACCCTGATAATGACATGGTATGTCACTAGACTATGTCTGCAATGGCACAGTTGGTGAGTGGGGTGTGGTATCCCCTCCTTCCTGTCCATCACGCACAGAGAGCAGAGTAGCCCGCTTTAGCCCATACTGATCCTACCATTCAGAGCATCATCTTCACACTTAGTGTGTGTATCATTGACTATTGTGAGGTTAAGATTGTGTTGCGACTCCATGCCCGTGCAGTAAACGACCATGTACACGCTCCTGGGTGTAACGCTTTCAGCCTGGGATTAGGCCTACTGATTGGAAAGACATAACAACCGCCAGAGAAATGTTGATAAAGTTATTGTTTAACATTGTAACTTATATTTCTTTGCTGTAAAATTTATTAAATAACATGCAACGTCGATGCTTTTGTTGTTGTATGTCGTTAAAAATTTGGTTAAACATTACCACGTGCTGGGACTATTCCTGCATGCGGAATGATATATACGGGACTTTGCAGTGAAGCGGCCATATTGTGCTATCCGCCATTTGAACAATCAAAGGCGAATTTGTGGTTCCACTTCCTTCGGAATTTCGGCAGATTTCTCAACTAATATAGTGTCGATCGCAATTTGGAGTCTACGAACACCCAGTATATTTCCCGGGGTATCTGATGAGGGTGCCAGTTCGGGCATAGTGGGTGAATTTAAGGAGATATTCAATGGAGAAAGAAGGAAAGGAGCGAAAAGTCAGACAGCCTCGGCGAGAAAAGACTCCCAAATCCAAAGAAAAAGTGAGGCCTGACTCGCCTGGGTACGTCGATGAAGAGCATAATCTGTCCCCTCCCCCTAAGCCTTCGAAGGATAAGGGGAAAGGGAAAAATAAACTCAAAAACAATGCCAGTAATGCAGCATTTGAAGAAGACATAATAGATGGATTTGCAATCATGAGCTGCAAAA